TTTGGCAGGGATTCCAGAGGTCCATCCATGATCAGCGAGCTCACCGATTCGGGGGTAAAGCGGGCTTATGACGAAGGTGCCGATGCTTTCTTTCAGGTTTTTAAGCTGTTCGACTCGCTCAGCAGATTCTTGAGATTCACATGCGAGATCTAGTCCTGAACCCTTGTAAGGAAGTTTAGTCGAACGAGGCCAGCATCGTATGTGTTTCTGGCCTCAAAATTCATTTGTATACACACATGTTGTCAAGAGAGACTTCGAGGCCACTCGTTGCCCGCGCGGGCGCTCCAAGGCACATGGTTGTTTGGAACCGTAGATGGAGAAGCCGCAGTAGCACAGCCCCCATTTGCTTAATACACGAAGCTCTCAGAGCGCCAGCGTGGATTCAGAGAAACGTGTGGATAGAATTTGCTACATTCAATACGGCCGCGCGCTAGTCAAGTCAGTCAAGGGTTCTAAGCGGAGTGGTCAGGGACCCCAAACTCCTATCTAAGAAGGGTTTTGCAGTCACATAAAAGCGATTTTACCACGCACCCGTCCAGAAATTGTGGCGATGGAATGCTCATTCCAATTGTTTTCGTTCAGCGAGCCGATCTTGTTGCGCTGGTGTTCTAGAGTGCCGATTCTGCTTGAGTCGTTTGGTTGTGATTGAGACAATGGAATGTTCCTTTACGGCTTTTCATTGAATTGCTCTAGGCTAGGCCTGTTTTTTTTTTGTCAAAGCTATTCCCCAAACCTTCTTCCCGTTTTTGGAGGGTTTTCCCTTGGATTTTTCATCAAGCACTGGGGAGAAGAAGGCCTTTGCCATTGCCTTTGCTTCGATCTGAGGAAGGAGGGACACCAGCACGAGGTGGCGGTGCTGCAGCGGCTGGTGGAGAAGAGTCAGGAGGAGGCCCCGAGAAAGCCCAGTGTGCCAAAGGGGAAATCCAGCCACTCAAATGGGTATGGGTCAAAACCAATTGGCATCCCATGTTGGGGTAGGTGCACCACCCATTTTAGAAGCTATTTAAGTGGGGATTGGGATGTTCACTGGGGGTACGGGGATTTTGACCCATGGCCAAATGGCGATTGGGAATATCCCTCCGATTCACTCAAAGAGCGAATGTCTTTATAAAGTCGCACGGTGCTCTCCTGGAGTATTGTATCGCGAACACGGGGGCCCAACAAATTGGTGCCTCTTGGTTTCCCTTGAATCCAAGCTGAAAATGACACCCTCAACAAAAACAACAGATTCATCTTGTGAAGAGAAACCACCTTGCTAGGAACGCAATGAAAATCCAGACGCCTAGTCTATCATCCACTGTCATCTTGTACCCTTTGCAACCCATGCCCCCAGGTTGTTTCGTGTTGGTTTTCCATCCAAAGGGCCGAAACCGCTGGTTGCTTATAAGATACACCTCATGGCTGCGCATCGGCTCAGGTGGACAAGGCCAAGGAGAGCCACCGCAAGGTGCAGCAGGAGCTGCAGGGCGTGAAGCGCCTCGTTTCTAGGATTGGGCGAGGTGTTCTCGGGTCCTACAGTTCCACCCCAAGGGACACGGGATAGATGCGCTTATGTTCCCCTGCATCTATTTGATGGCGAAAAGACTAGAACGAAGCCAAAGGGTATTGGTTGTTGGTGCCCTATGCCTTGTTTGACCAGGTTTGGTTCGCGCACCGAGCCCGATTGTGTGTTGCTCTGGTACTGGTACTCCAACAGGTTCACACACCTGACATGTGTGTTCTTGCTGCAAGCAACTTTGCACTGCCAGCCCCGGCTGCTTGTGGCGAGCAGAGTTGTCACCAGCGAATGACACGTGAAGCTGTGGGCCGCGAGCTCCGAGGAAGATGTTCGAGCAACAAACGCGGCAGATGCACAAGCTCAAAGCGCAAGAAGCCGAAAAAGCGCGACTTGGCAGCATCTTATGACCGGTTCGTTGTGCTGGGTGTTACGCAGCCGGCGTTATAATTGTTGTTTATTTGTTCCATGAAGCCAATCTATGCTGCACCAATTAGATATTGGCGTCTAGCCAATTTCCAGTTTGCGTGTAGGGTTTACTTCACATGGTCAGTCGTGCTAAACAAGCCCATGCTGGTAAAGGGTGTGTTGAACATTTGATTTTGCCTTTATGTTAAGCGATAATATATGTCGATGAGGGCACGGCTTGGGGAAGTTACTTTGGCTTGCTGTTGGACCACTGGCCTGCAGAATGTTTCGTCTGCGTGCGTGCGTGCGTGCGTGCGTGAGTGGGTGGGTGTGTGTGTGTATATATACAGATATATATATATATATGTCTATATGTGTGTGTGTGGGTGGGTGCGCGCGTGCGTGCGTGCGTGCGTGCGTGCGTGGGTGGGTGGGTGGGTGGGTGTGTGTGTGTGTGTGTGTTGGTTGTACTTGTTTATGCAATCATGCTCCATCATGCTCCATTGCTGCAGCAGGATGTAATCTGAGGGGGTCGACGTTGAGTTCATAAGTGCCTGCCACTCTGCAGGTTCATTCAGAAAGTCTAGTTGCAGAAACAACTCCCCCCTATTGCCACTCGAATCTGCTGGGGGGGATTTAGTTTTAGCCATCCATGAGCCCTGATTTGCTAGTTGTTTGAAGCCGCAGTTTAGTTTTGGCACGGCCGGGTGTCCGCTGATTTCGTCTCGGCATGCGTGGCCTGGGGCAACATTGTAGAGGATGTGCCCCTTCCTTTTAGCAGGGAAAGGGGATTGCTGATACTTTCATGGTTCGTTGTTCCCCATCAATTTTCAACAAGATGGGGACATCTTTCTAAAATCTGGCCCCAACTGGCCCATCATTTCAACTTTGCAAGGAAGACAGCGGGGCATGGATGAGTTTGTTTTTCAGCCTTTCCCCCCCCCCTTTATACCCCCGGCCCCGCCCATATGTAGTCCACACAAATTGATTCGCAACCGTGGCGCCGGTTGCGAGCGAGGCAGGAGATGACGAAGCTGAAGCAGCACCAGGAGCAGCGCCGCGAGGAGCTCGAGCAACTGCAGCGCCTCGCAGCCACGGTTGCTGCTTGCGGGTGGTGGGTACGGTCGCCGGTTTTGGGCGTGGTTGAATGGGGAACCAAAGGGAAGCCGGTAAGTTTTGGTAGGTTCCGTTTTGAGCCCAACCCTCGAAAGGCTTCCCTTTTTGGAGAGTTGAAGAATCTTAAAGAGGTAAGCCAAACCGAAACAAGCCCTTTGTTTTTCGGGGGGGGGGGGAGGGGGACGGGGGCGGGGGCGGGTTGAGAACGTCATGACGGGTTTGTCTCAAAATACTCCTGGATCATCTAAATCGAACAGGACATACTTACTTAGGTTTGTCAAAATAATTAGTAGTCTAAGTTTGTGGCTTTTCCCAGTATTCAAAGGGTTTAAGATCCATCACAGCTGGCTCAGGATTTTGTCCATCCACAGTGGGCGACCTCCAAAATGTCTTGAAGTTTCCTCTTGGCTCGCCTTTACCAACGAAAAGGGGATACCCTCAAACAAAGGACAGACCCATATATATAGAAGCGCCTGAATGAGAGCAGCACTTGCTCCATGAATCTGGGATCTATAAGGGATAGGGTTTGGGCAAGATCATGTCGATGCGAAGTAGATAGTTCAGATGTGCTTGGCCAGTTAACCCAGGCAGCCTGAACATGGCCGATGTTCACTGTCAAGAGGAAGCCCGCATATCAGGCTTATGAGCTGTTTCCATGTACACATTTACTCAAGCTAGCGGCCCCAACCTGACCTTTAAAGCTTCAATGTCTGAACCAGAAGTATCCTCTACTTGTGCACACCTCCTGGATTGAAGAACTTGGCTTGGCCAAACCAAAAGGGGTGACTGACAAGGCGTTTAGACGGCCCTGGGTTTCACTCTTTGCTATCTTGAGCCCAGGGTAGGAACCAGGAATCCCACTCCTTGAGTCTCAGCTGCTGGTTTCATTTGGGATCTTTGAGATGTTAGCAAATCAAGACATGTTATGCTCATTGCTTGCTGACTCAGCAGCTGTCTATTCACAAGTTCGCAGGGTGACATACGCCAAGCTCAGCCTTCAGCGAACCAATCACCCACATCTCCATGCAAAAAGCTTAGCACCCCCACCCACCCCACCGCACAGCCACCCCACCAGCCACCCCACAGCCACCCCACCCACAGCCCGGTCAGCCCAGGGCGGAGTTCCAAGCCTCTGCCGCGGAAGCGGCGCGGCTCCGCGCCGCGGAGGCGGAGCGCTCCGCTGAGCTGCGGCGCCTCGAGGCCCTGCAGCTGCAGCACCAGCGCCTAGGACGCATCGAACGCGTCGGACGCGTCGGACGCGTCAGGATGGCTCGTGTTGATTTTTGTTCCCCAAGCGTATCCCTTTGTTTGGGTATTTTCGAGCGATGAGCAGATATTTGATATGTGGGTTGTTGATTTGGCTGGTGTGTTTACTTACTTATGTTGAGATGCATATAATGTCCAATCGGGATTAGTAAAGGGGGGTCCCCCCCCCCCTCCCCCCCCCCTCCCCCCCCCGATGATGGGGGCATCTGGAATAGTATCTTGAGATCCAGCTCAAGTGAGTTTCCATTTGATTTAGTATTGGCAGACTTGAGTTTCCATTTGATTTAGTATTGCTGGAGCTTCCTTTTGAGATTTGGAACTGAGTTTCCATTTGATTTAGTATTGCTGGAGCTTCCTTTTGAGATTTGGAAGGTGTTTCCATTTGATTTAGTATTGGCAGACTTGAGTTTCCATTTGATTTAGTATTGCTGGAGCTTCCTTTTGAGATTTGGAACTGAGTTTCCATTTGATTTAGTATTGCTGGAGCTTCCTTTCGAGCTTCCTAAGAGGTAACTGCAGTTCGGGAGTTGCATTTTTCAGGGGGGCCAATGCATCAAGACTTTATTGTAGGGGCCCCTGGAATAAAGTCTCGCCGCTTAAACTTTGCTACCCCCTTTGTGGGTTTGACGGTGGGCAGTTTTTGAACAAGAGACATGTAAGGAAACTTGAGTTTGGGGAAGGTCTGCAGTTTGGATTTTGGGAAGAAAGAAGCAAGCTTCACCAGCATCACCTTGGATTGTTTTTGAATTTGGCCAGTTGGTTAGCTAAGAGGTAACTGCAATTAGGGAGTTGCATTTTTCAGGGGGGCCAATGCATCAAGACTTTATTATAGGGGCCCCTGGAATAAAGTCTCGGGCTTAAAATTTGGGGGGCTGAAGTACTACCCCCTTTGTGGGTTTGACGGTGGGCAGTTTTTAAACAAGAGACATGTAAGGAAACTTGAGTTTGGGGAAGGTCTGCAGTTTGGATTTGGGAAGAAAGCAGCAAGCTTCACCAGCATCACCTGGGATTGTTTTTGAATTTGCCTGGCTATCTCTCCTCTCCTTCCTCTCCTTCCTCTCCTTTTTCTTTTTTTGATTTTTGTTTTTTCTAAATAAGAATGGGCAGGGCTGGCGGGTGCTTGTCTTTATTCTAGGTGCATTTATTCATTATTTTGGGCCCCCCATTTGTCTTTATTACAGGTGCATTTTCTACTCCTACGTGGACATTACAGATTATGTATATATATATGTGTTCATAGTTATTCCTACACGGGCATTTGCATACATCAAGCGTTGCCAGTCATGCGACAGGCTAAATTGACACTTTGGCTCTTGGCAAAGTGAAACAGTTTTATTAGCGCATCAGTGACTCCTGAGCGGTGTGATGGCAGGGTGTTGAGGTGTCTTGCTGTGTTTGTGGGGTTCTAGTGGCTTGTCTTCCTATGAAAGTGTCTTCTGTTGTTCAATTGTTTTTGGTAGGTGTGCTTACTTGATACTGTACCTCGCAAGATTGTGTTGGTAGAATGATTTCAGATGATGCAACCATGTGGAGGGAGTACATGTGCCAGTTAGGCATGCAAGAGTTTCTTTGTCGTGCGCTGAGTATCCGCTGTTGACTGTGCACCACGACACATGTGTATCCTTGTTGTGGCATATGGGCAGCACACTCGCTTCACTATTAGTCTTGGGCGGTTGTGTTGAGTGCGGCAGCTAAGCATGCGGTATACCCTTTGTATGGCCCCGATAGAAACTCTGCGTGCGGATGCCATGTTGGCAAGAGAAGCTGCCAAGGACACAAAAGATGTCCCACATTTATGTAGCTCTGAATCTTCCTAAGGGTCCAAGTATCTTGGATGGATGTTCTCACCGCTTGTCGGTCCCTTACATCCTCAAAAGGTACTTGGAGCTTGTGGGTGTGGACGCAAGCCGAAGCCGTTCGCCGTGCCATCTCCAAGGCAAGACCTGGAGAAGTCCAAAGCGGCCTACGAGCACCAGGCGCCTGCCATCGGAAGATTCCTTTGTTGTCTCAAGCATAGGTGTCCTTTTTGGTTGTTTTGGTTGAAAAATAGATGGCCCTGGTTTACCTGGTGGTTTCATCATCTACCAGGGCCATTTGTTTCCTCTAAAGGGACGCCTATGGTCCCAAGGGATTTCAAAAATATCAATCAAGCGGGATGTATGAGCACTCTCCGGAGTGGAGTCATTTGTCAGCCAAACCGCTCAAGCTCTCAGGGATGCTTCTCAGATAATTTGGGATCCGACAGAATTGCAAACAATAGGGCAAAATTGGCTTTTCACTAGAATAGAACGTGCACAAGTGCAAAACAGCCCACCATCACAACACCTGCATGTTTCAGAGTCGCGTGTTTCTTGTTTAATTCTCAGCAGATCCTCCCCTCTAAATTCTAGAACGCTCGAGATTGGCCAACTCAAGGTATACTGTGGATGGACAAGCTCCTACACCAGTTGGGCGTTTATCCCAGTATTCACATCCGGTTTCATCCGGTGCCAAAGAAAGTCTGAACCTTTTATGTACCACTAAAATGGTCTTTCCAAAAAGGTGGCTGAAGTCCAGGTTCTCAATGAGTAAAATAGATTGGACACCTCCAGAATTCGCCAGGTTTCCTTCTGACTCTGTGTCTATTGGCTTCTGGTCCAGTCGGCCACATAGGCATAAACCCCACACAGCAAACAAACCGGGGCCTTGGATTTGGTCCATCCCCCTGGTTGAAGTTTCTCTTTGGCTTCCCCAACGGGGGGCTCGGACAGACCGGACGGCTCGAGCGAGACCGGCCGCAGGTGTCGGAGGTTGAGGCGCTGAAGGCGGCGACGGAGCAGCTGGCGACCCAGCTGGCGCAGAGCGGGGAGGCGTCCCAGGTGCTGCGGCGCTTGGTCCGCACTTGGGACCGTCCGAAGCGGATGGCTGGGTTTTCGGCTGTGGTTGTCAAAACCGTTTTGGGATCCCATTTTGGTTGGTAGGTGAAGTCACCACCCATTTTAGAACCTATTTTAGTGGGGATTGGGATATTCACTGGGGGTACGATTTGGCTTTTGACCCATGGCCATTTCTCAGCCCCTTCAGCCTGTCGCTATGCCGGTGTCGGTTGCCATCATGGGAAGTTAGGAGGGCATGCCTGGCATCAGTGCGGGCATGGCGCCAAGGGGTTGCAGTGGTGAAGTTCTCTGTGCCCACTTCAGGGTGAACACTGAAAACTGGGGCTCCTTTTGCTTCTCTGAGGTGTTTGCCAAAGTGTGTTGAAGCCTTTTTGAGAGTTGAGAAGCTGTAGGTATCTTTGACAGTCTTAGATTTCTCCTCTTGAGCAGAAGCCCGGAAACTCGTGTTTTGGAGCATCCAGAGCTCTACAGTGGCTTGCACTGATAGTCGTTCAAAGCTCCCTTTCTACCCCCGGTCACTGCACCCATGTCCTCGGGCTGAAGTTTGCACCTAGGAAGTCGCTGGAAGAGAAGGAAGCGGAGCTGGGCCACCTCGGACTGCCTGCGTATGCCTGCGTTGTGAGTCATCCTTTCCGAGCCTTTCGCCCAGACTTCAATTTGCGGCGCGGAACTTCTAGCTTAAGTGCAAAAAGTTAGAGGGGACTGGACAGAATGCAGGGTTCGAAATAGCCAAGCTCCGCCGCCAGAAACGGAATGATTTGTAGACAGAAGCAACGTTTCAGTGGCTCCACAAAATGACGATCGTCACATAGTTGCTTGCTTTTTCATGCAGTACATTAGGCCTCAAGATATGGCAGGTGTCCGGTTTCAACAGAACAGGGCTTTCCTGGGTTCTCCTCCACAACTATTTTGCATATTTAGGGTAGACCCAATATGGAACACAATCCTAACATATTCCACTAGACATCTTGCTGAAGGACGCAGAGGGGTGGTCAAAATGGCCACACTTATGTTGACCACCATATGCCACACCAGCCCCTATACGTGGTTTCTTACTATTCAGAATGCTGGCAAGGCAACCCACGAAAGTCGTCCAGCCTACAGAATCAGCCAAACCCTTCAACGCTACTAGGTCCCCCAGTAGTGCCCTTTCACCCTTCTTTGGGGGAGGATTCCCCTACTAAAATAGACTCCAGAAAAAAGTTGGTACCCTTATTCTAACCTCTCTACTGGAGGACCTATAGGCTATGTTTTTCTTTCCCCGAGCGAGCGCAGGACAGCGGCAGAAGGAGTTGGAGGAGGCGGAGGCCAAGCGCGAGGAGCACCTGGCGCAGCTGGAGACTGCGGCGCTCCAAGCGCAGCAGGTGAAAGAGACTCTCGAAGGACGGGGGGGTACACGGGAGCCGGTGGGGTGGGTGGGGTGCCGATGGCAAATTTTAGGGCGCAGTGTGTTGGAACCCTTCAAAAGTAGGCTCCGGAAGAGGACTTGCCTCTGCAAATCATGGCTTAATTAAGTTGATTGCTTTGACTTTTAGCACGGGAGTTCCCGTATAAATCAGGTTCGTGCGCGATTCGTGCGTGGTTTGCTGAACTGGGGTGTTTCAATCGCACACCAAAGATTATGCGCTCCGAGACAAGATGCGTGACAAGTTGAATCGTGCCAAACAAGCCCACTTAACTTTGCCCTGCTAATATAACAAGACTATATCAGACATACACCTCTCTATGATACTATGCCGCCACACATCCAGCGTCTTCCCCGTTTTCTCGGCGTGGCTTCGCCTTCCGATGGAAGCCCCGTGCAGGTCAGCTGCACCTGTTGAAGGCCGAGGACTCCTCCAAGGCCAAACGCCTGGCTGAGTTGCAGGACGTCTTGGCCGCCCAAGCCGAGGACGGCACGCCCAAAGAGGGCAGAAGCCAAAAGGGGCAGTTGGTTGGGAGATGTGAGGACTCAGGGTGTGGCCCCAAGTTTTTCAATCAGCTGCAAGGCCATTTTGGCGTTTTGATATGTTCTGCACACTGGTTGTCTTGTGCCAGGGAAACAAGACACGATGTTTCGCGGGGCAGTTGGGGGTTGCTGTTACCGTTGCGCAGCAACTGAACAGCGGCAACGGGCAGGCCCTGGCCATGCAACTCGCATAATTTTTGGCGCTCTCTGCACGACATCTGGATGCAAAGTTGGACTTCAGAGTAATATTATTGAGGGCAATGGATGGAAATCAGACTGTTAGGCCAGCGGGCTGTCAATTAACTGAGGAACCGGAAACAACATGTTTGATGTTTGCTTCTATGTCCAGTTTTCTACCCCATCACAAGTGGCAGGATATGAAGACTGCGCAAGCTGAGCTGCAGCACAGGGAGGCTGAGCTGGAGCGGAGCAAGGCAGGGAAGACTTCGGGTGGTTTATGGCAGAAGCGATGCCGTAAGCCAGAATCTTGCCACACAATATCCGCAATCCACAGCCGCACATATATGTGGCACATTACATTTTAAAGAGGCACAAACAAAACAGCAGCAGCAGCAGCAGCAGCAGCAGCAGCCACGACCACAAGGACAACGACCTGCTTCCAGCTTTGCCCTTGTTGGCCCCACTTCACGCGCTAAACATGAGGAGGAAAGTTACCCACCTAAGCTATCTTCCTTTTTCCCCCAGCCCCCACCAAAAAAAACACCCAACCAACGCCCACGGGAAAATTCCAACAACCGAAGCTGCTGTACTGTGCCCCAGGGCCCTCAACCGCTCTGCCCCCTTCGGCCGCTCACCAAACTGGCGCAGGCCCAGGTGATGGTCCTCGAAACCGCGGGGCGGCAGAAGGCACAGCGGCTCCAGGAGTTGCAGCCCCCTGGGCTGCATTCGGCTCGAGCGGGCTATGGGAACTTTGTTGAGCCACAATCAAGCAATCAAGTTAGTAAGGGGCAGTCTTAGCCAGAAATAGTTGCGGCCGCCTTCTTAATTCTTTACATGGTTCTGGGTAGACCATTTAATACAAAGGGTTTTGATTGTGACTCATGTGACCTTTAATGGTCCGCCGGTTTGATTTTTCTGGGACAGGTCACTAGATTTAACTTTGTGGGTGCAATTTCAAGATTAGCATATTATCAGGAAATGACAAGTCTGAACTTGTGCATACTTCGGCTCGCGCCAAATCAATGTATACACACTTGGGCAGGTTCGGGCAACAGACTTCCTGAGGTAAGGGTGTGGTTTATCGTTCTACGCACACACCAGTTAAAGTCTGAACTTGCCAAACATCCGCACATGTTTAGCGTGTGAAACCAATCTTGAGACCCACTTGCCCGTGATTGCCGCTGCCTATCCCAGCCAACGCCCTAAATTGAAGAAGCCGTTGGGTTGGCAAACATCCGCTTCTAGCCGAAGCGCTTTCTCCAGCAGAAACAAGCTATGCAATCAGTTTGAATGTGATCGTTGATAGATGTGGCGTTAGTCCCTTGTGGTCAGATTCATGCTTTTTGGCGGGGCAAGGAATAGTTTGGATCAATGGCAGGATGCACGGATGCTGTTCTGCGATTTCGTGTCAACATGGCATTTGGTTGTCAAACAACTCAGGAAGTGGAAAGACGACTGCGAGGATATGCGAGAACGTTTGCTGAGCGGCAAATTGGGCCAGAAAGCCGGCTAGTGAGGAGCAAGCCCGGATTCTCCCAAGCTCAAGGGCTTTTCGGCTTGCGAGTTGCTACTCCTTCTCTTTCACGGGCATTCGGCATTAGCACTCTGAGAGCACCAAGCCTGAAATTTGAGGGCAGCATTGCGCCTGAGCTCGCAAGCACATGTTCGGGGCCCCTGAGGAAAAACGAACTTGGAATGCAAATTTGTGGCTGGCCGGTCAGCAATCCGGGATTGATAGACACACTTTCAGATTAGAGCTCGTTTCGTAGGTTGAAGCTGCTTGCGGTCTGGGAGTTAGCCAGTTCGCCCCTTCCAACCTTCCAACGGAAACCTGCCGCTCAAAAAGCGTCTCAGGAGAAAGACATCCGAACGTTTGGAACCCCCCTCGTACTGTTCAAGTCTTGCGTTTAGGAATGTTAAGGATTCCAGGCGCTAGCTATGCTCCTGGTTAGCAAGCCTTGGAGTCTCCGGTTTTCTTTTTGACTTGTCGGAACGACAGCTGGATGTTTGCCGGAGATGTGAAAGGTCGCAGAGTCGCAAGTGCTGGCCACAGCGTTTCCTCTGGTCTTTGAAGCCAAAAAAAAGTGTCCTTGTGCTATCAGGCTAAGGGGGGCCGTTTTCTGCTCGATCAAGAGAAGCAACACAAAGCATATGTTTCCAGAGTTAAGTGGCTGTGGAGAGATTTGCTCCTTTCCTCTCGTCATGACTCGCTCTTGGTCAGGATCTCATGTCCACTGCTGTTTCCAGTTTTTTTTGCGGTTCTATGTCTATCATCTCCGGAGCGAAGGGATGAATCCCTATGAATGCTCTGGATGCCATGCCAGACCTTTTTATGATTAAAGAAACGGCCCGTGCTCGCCATTATCTTATTGAGGTGTCTCTCCCCAATCTCTAGTTCTCTTCGTTGGCTGGGTATCAATGAATGAGATGATGGCCACTTTCTTCTCAATCCCTCACCAACAGATAAAGCCTCCGGAGAAAAACAAAGGCTAAAACAAAACACTAAAACAGCAAGTGAGGAACGTGAGAGTGAAGAGCGAAGACATGCCTTCCCCCTCCGTTTAATTTGTTAGGCGTTTGCAGGTAGTCGTACCCGCCAAGCCAGGCGGTTATTCAGCATCGGAATCCACATTCGTCACCGCAGATCTCCATGATCTTGTTTACAGCTTCTCAGGCAAAGGCATCACAATGTCAATCATGCGACACCTTTATGCAACTCCGGCCAATCATTGGCTAGCGCAAGTATGGTTCATGACACGGCAAAGTAGAAAGAGGTCCTGGCGCTGGAACATGTGTTATATGCTATCTGAGGTGGGCCATGGTGGGCCCCATTTGTTGGTTCCACGTACGCTTGCCTTGTTTTCGGTAGTTGGATCGGGGACCCCCGTCATGACGGCCTGATCTGGGCCTTGATGCGTATCAACCTCTAACCCTGGGAGGGCCTGTGGGGATGGATATTAACCTCAGGCTCGAGAAGGCGCTATGGCTTCTACTTAGCAGAGCACGAACCCTCAGTCTTTGGACACCTAGAGTTTGACACAATTTCATACCCACCGAATATATTATATATGTATAGCCTTTTCAACTTGCATAGTCTCACTCTGATCACCATGTTGTTGGCAGTTCCTTGCTGGGCATTGTGGCATTTGTGAAGTCTGGTGCCACTATTTCTTAGCTGCACAGGCCATCCATGAAGTTTGTGTACGTGGTTCCTCACATTATGTGTCTTCTAGCATGATAGTTCAATGCCAATGCCAATCAGGTGCGTTGAAAGGTGATACTCTGGTAACCGAGTGCACGTGTTCCTTTAGGATGAGTCACAACTCTGGGGCATTGTGGCGGAGAAATGCGTCAGTGGTGCAGCAAGTCTTGCTTCATGAATTTCTTCTTTGGTGACACGGATGCTTGGGAATGAATTGGAAGGACCTCTTTCGGGTGAAACAGCCGATGATAGATTCTTGATTGGAGATGGCATGTTTAGGTCTCAAGCCGATGAATTCCGATTGCCCCTACAGGCAACCAAGGGTTTTCTTTGTCCTGTAATCAATGCGATTGATGCTTCTTTGCTCCCGGCGAAACCCATCCACCAATCCTATGGCTTCTGAGCCTGAACTTGAACCGCCATTCTGCCACTTCCCCGTCGCTTCGACGCAGGCTGGTGGATCCTCGCGGGGCTCCCAAGCTATCCAAGTCACTTCACGTGACCTTGGCTTTGGTTTTGGCAATGGGTTTTGGTTTGTCAAGGTGGGGGGACGGTGTGGAGAAAGGTCACACAACTTATACAAGCTGATGCCAGATATTTGCAATGCTGAAGCGCATGCGGCAACTGTTTGGCCCTTCAGGTTTGTTGGCAGTGTTTCCCGAAAGCCTTCCTTTGTGATGAACCAGGCTCGGCTTGCAGGTGCGTGCGCACATGCGAAGCGTTTGTTCGAGGAAGGTTGCTGTTGTTGAGGCTTTGCTTTTGTTTTTGCTGTTCTGTGTTGACACCTGCAGCAGAGGAAAGGAAATACATAGAGAGGATACCAGGGTTTTTTGGTTTGTTGAAGTACCCCGCAGGGTAAATTACCATCACCCAAGATGCTAATATCATTCCTGTGGTTTGATTCTTTCAGGTTTCAATCTTATATGCAACATATCTTCAATCACATTGAGAAACTGTTGATGCCTAGAAGAGTTGGGAAGCACCGTCGAGGATTGGCATGAGAACAGATCATGGCCACCTAAATACATTTGACGCAGGCAAATCCTATGCTATTGCGTGGCACAGTCCCCAGCCACAAACGTGAATGGCAGATGCAAGCGGAGCTCAGAGCCGTGTTCCAAGTAATGGCCTGCGAAGTGCATGCTCAAAGCAAGAACTGGGACTCCGTTCAAGCGTATTTCTTCCCGCAATCAAACGGTCTCCCTTTCAAGCATGAGATCAACAAGCCTTCCGCCCAGCTCACATCAGATCCAGCTCATCTTCATCTTCAGAGCCAAAGGAAGCAGGCACGCGTCAACGCCCCGACCTGGCACATTCCACTCGTCCTTGAGGGCGCGCAGCGTCACCGCCCCTGAGGGTGGAACATGAATGCAACTTTTCATTCGGGTGTATTCTGCTCAGCATGCCTAGCGTTGAGTCTGCCGATGAGCGCCCGGGTGGGCTTGTGTGGGTCCCTCTGGCCCGGAAGGCTGTGGAGCTATGGTTGGATCGCTGAGATTGTTCTGCACCCAGGCTCACTCAACAGGATCGTGTGAGCCAACCATTGGCATGTATGAACCATGTTGGACATTGGTATTTCTCACTTGACGCATTTAGGCTCAAACCTTTAACTTGCTACCATGAAGGAAGTTGTAAACATTTAGCACACTCATGGTTGCCAGCAGCATATGGGGCATGTTCGATGACGGCCCGCCCTTCAACAACATGTGTTGCCCTGTTGCGATTCTTGGCCTACTAACCTGGTTATTGTCAAATATTGTGAAAACGAGTGTTAAATCGGTACACAAACTGCTGGAAAAGGCAGTTATGAGTGTGCAGTGTTCTTCCAACGCGACTCATTGACGAGAGCATTCCTTCGGCAACCCAGCGTGATATTCAGGATGTATAGTTGCTTAGTCTGAAGTTGAGCGACCAACATAAAATCAAGCCTAATCCATCAGTCGTTGAGCAACCGAAAAAGGACGCCCAAAAAAAGACTATATATATATATATCATCCATGAGTCGTTAAATGTCGTTAAGCGACCGAAAAGGACGCCCCCAAAATAGAACTATTAATCCATCAGTCGTAGTGTGACCGAAAAGGACGCCCCAAAACAGCAACTAATCCATCAGTCGTTGAGTGACCAAATTTGTTTGACACACAAGGCATGGCATAGTTTCCTATACCCTCTGTGGCCCACATTTGAGTGACCAACAAAAAGAAGCTCACCCATCGGGTCTTGCGACCCGTCGCTCCGATCCGAACCTGTCGCCATGGAGAAGTCCGTGGCGCTGAAGTTGGCGCAGCGCTGCCTGCCCTTCTTCGAGCGCAAGGGCGGCTCGGTCGAGCCAGGTGCTTGGGCCGTTTGTCCAAACCGTGTGCTCTCAATGGGGCAACCCCCCTTCAACATAGAGGGCTGTAGGATTTTGACCAGGCTCTGTAGGGGTAGCTTCCATTTCCGTTCTTTCCAGGGATCCTTCTTTTCAGGAAACCATCAAAGTTTCGGGGGAAGCGGCTGGTGTGTGAAAAGAACGATGGTTGAAAAGAATGGGGAATCAACCCCTAGAAATTTGAGGTTCACGAAGTGACAGAGATGAGACATTATCAGAGAGCCCTTAACGGGGGTCGCCGCAACGGGTTTGGATTTCAGGCAGGAAACAGGTTAGGGCCGCTAAAGCATGAATCTATCTTTGGTAGGAAAAGCTGAGGCGCTGACCGAAGTTTATGCAAGCCGGTTCGAATCGACACAGCTGGGATTGTTAGAGACAGACGAGCGTTTAAATTGATTGCTAGGTCCCCCAGTAGTGCCCTTTTACCGTTTCTTTTTTGGGGGAGGGTTCCCCTTCTAAAATAGACTACTGAAAAAAGGGTACCCTTCTTCTAACCTATCTACTGGAGGACCTAGATTGGCCGGCTCGATTTATGATGTTTCAAGCCCCAGAGCCCGGCTGCAGAGCAACTCAGAAACTGGCGGACACATGGTTTGACAGGTTCCCAGATTCCGTGTTGTCCATCCATAATATGTAGAAGGCAGGACTATGTTTAATGTATAATCCAGAAGATCAAATTTCTGGCATGTTCATGGGATGCTCTGATCCTGAAGCCTGTTTCGCAACTACACGTGAGAACAATATTGCAGCTTGCTTGCCTGTCAAATATTGGCACGTAACCAGCTGGTCTGGAAATTAGTCAATGGTGGGTATTTGATAATTGCAGGAAACCTAGCACAAAGGATCTCGTCATTGTGATTGGACTTTGGGACTGAGACATACTTAGTCTTACTCAGTCTCTGTACAAGCTGCGGTTTGAATGCTTGTGAAATCACTATTCGATCACCGCGCTTCATCGAGTGCGCATGTGTTGTTGTTCTGCCTGGGAGTAATTTGTCGGCATGGCAGTGGGCCAATAACTGCACATGGGAACGGTTTGGCGGTTTGGCTTTGAAGGCTGATGCTGTGAACAACCTAAACTCTGCCCATACCTTTTCAGCTCTCGCCAAGGTGTGGGCAGGCTAACGGACATCGAAAGCGTACGGCCCAAGAGCCTGTGCTTTGACTGGAACGTGCCAGGGGCAGATTGCGCGTGCGTTCCGAGGTACTTGAGGCACAAATGTTTTTGGGTCTACCGAGAAGACACGTCGTTGGAATGTGGGGGAGTTTTGAATATCGGTCTGTGAGGTCCAACCTAGAAAGGCGCAGCTTTCAGGGAAACGTTCAGAAGGTCTGGGGGAACAGTGGGCATCGTCGGCAACGTGACTTGTCAAAATAGGCCCCATATTGGGAAAGAGCCTAAAACCCCGATTGGCCACTGTAGTAATAGGTGGTGCTACTACCCGGTTTCAGGAATTCATAGTAAGGCCTAGATGATTTTTTACAGCCATCTTGGTAGAACCAAAAGGCAACGGGTTTCGGAAAGCACCCAGTGCTTCTGTTGACTCAACATTCCTTGAACCGCAGCTGCAGCTGGCTGATCGCACGCCTACTGTCAATCCTCCACCAACCGTTCTTCCACTCATGTCATGTCAATGTGATAGCGGCCAAACGCCTGAGTCGGTTCAAGCTGGCAAACAAACACAGGGGGCGTCGGGCATGTGTTCACTTAATATTGATAACGTCATTCAATGCAGAAGACTTACTGTTTATCTTCAGCGGGCCCGGCCGCCTGCCCGGGTTTGCCTCGGGCTGAGGTTGGGCTTGTGGACGGGCGCGGGCCGCGTGGACGCAGTGGAGGTGACTGGCAAGGGCGGCTCCGCTTCTTTTGTGGTGAAGACCATCGGCACCTTGGATGGATGAAGGCGTCGAAGGCGTTGATTGAAGATCGAACTGCGGCTTTGAGTTGAACGCAGTTGCTGTGCTTGAACCACCGTCATTGCTTTGAATAAGTAGCATCCTGCTGATCTGGATTGCAACAGATCTCGCAAAAGGGCTTGGATTGTTTCCACACGCATCATGTGTGGCGCACGTTGTTTGCATACCTTTCCGGATGCCGATTTTGTTGTCGTCTTCTGCTCGCAAAAGCGAGAGACATGAAAGCAAACAAATTCGCTGTCGCGAGAGCGCCACATCTAAGCAGATGCCATCCTGAATCCATGCGGGAAGCTTTGCAGCTGCGGAACAACACTCACAGAATCACGTTTACGCAGATGCGAGTCAATTTGGCGGTTTGATGTAGAGATGTCCAGGTGATGCGAATCCTTCTGTGTGTAATGCCTTGCTTATTCTGCCTGCGAAGTGCAAGTTTCGGGTCTCTTCGCCGCTCTCGCTCAGACGGAGCTTGGTGTGCGTTTCCATCAAATACGCCCTCATCCGCAGGCTCCATGATCTGACATTTTGCCATGTGCAAATTTGAGCTCGGCCAACGGCTTTGATCAGGCCCTTCTAGGCAAGGATTATATTCGTTTCAAGCCGGCGTAAAGACGCTGCTCCTTTGCTGGCGTCGGATCAATTGGTTCCGTTCAATCATCAACATGGATGCAAATTGTGTTTACATGTTAATATAAACATAAACAGCCTAGGACACCCTTCGTTGACAGCTTAGCTGACTTGGTCTACAATTGTTGGGCCCATGAGTCAGGCTCTCACAAAGAGATCGATGATGAGCTCGCTTTGGTAGACCACATGTCGTACTACAACGAGGCAACACCGTCATGTTTGGAGGGCTTTATATGTTGTGGACAGCTTCCCTAAGCGCCAATTTCCTGAACAGCATCTTTCGATATCTTTCGTGCACACACACACACAATGTCCGCATTGCCAGGGGTCCATTCAGTGATGTTATATCAGAATGATCAGCTTTTTGTTGGAGGCTTGTTAGTTGAGCTGATTGAAATCTTCGCGGGCAGACAAATCTGCCAACTTTGTCGACATTGCTTCTGCATGATTGATCGTTACATGGTGTATATTTGAATGCACCTTCAGATCTAGCCAAGTGATATGAGTAAGCTGCACGAAGCATGATCCATTGCTGACTCCTTTCAGGACAGTTCAAAAAGAAGCTTGCACGACACCCTTGTGGAGGGGAATGGATGTGGCGACCATTCCCCTTGTAACACCTTCCATTTGTCAATGGACATCTTGCGCAATGGTTTTATAGTTGTCACATTGCATCCCATCAAAATGGAAGTGCACAGATTCCCTTCAGACAACTTTATTTGTGTACACGCTTCTTTTGCACTTCCATGTCTGCCATGTCTGCCATGTCTGCCATGTCTGCCATGTCTGCCATGTCTGCCATGACTGCCATGTCTTCCATGTTTGTTTGTGGCAGAGTACCATTTTGCCTTGTGATCATCACTTACCTTTATTTTTCTCTTTACATACCTTTTGTGCCCCTTTAGGGTAGCCCAATATGAGGAGGACCCCAGATCTCTTTGCGGCCCTCTCACGCTCGGTCCATGCCGGGCGACCTTCCAGGCGACCTTCTACGAGCAGGACTTCGCCGAGCGGCTCTGCGCCTCTGGGGCCATGTGCCCCCAGCCTTTGTTGGTGGACCGCGCGCCCAGCGGGGAGCTCACTATTTGCGCCTCGGCGCGAGGCGAATCGTTGATTTTTGTTTGTTAGTTGTTTTTGCGTGTGTGCGTCTTTTTTTGTAGGGTTTAGGGTTCAGGGTTTAGGGTGGGGAAGCAAAACCTGAAAGCCATTCACAAGTTATACAGAGTACTCGTAACTAACTCTGCGGTGCACAGGTTTTAATTGAGTCAACATGAGGCTACTAAGGCCAAGGATTTGTGTTGGGTGCTGCTGAAAGGGCTGTGTTAGGTTGCCCCTGTGACATCCTTTGACGCATTACCCATGGGAACCAGTTGTAGGCCCCCTTTAAGGGGTGTGTTAGCGTGTTTGTAGGTGCCCATGTTGGGGTCCTGCTACAGTCATGTTGAAGATTTCATTGGAAAGCCACTCATTTGGGGCTCCCCTATTTTGACACGTACCGACTCGATGCAGCGGTTTGTGCTTTTGCCTGCCAAGGCCCGGTTCGGCCTCAGCTTGTGTTTTTCGAGTTTTTCGGCTGGATCAGGGGAAGCAACAGGCAATGAGCGGCAATGAACCAGCATCCGCGGATCCAAGCTGGCAACCAGCAAGCATTTGCCACAGCTTTTCAACTTTCACAGCTCAGCAACACATATTTTTCACCTAAGTCCGGGGCAAGCACTATGACCATCAATCAAGGCGGATTCCTACAGCGCTTTGCTACACGACGAACACCTGGGGAGTTGTTGCATTCGTGTAAATCGGCCCATTGGTTGTAATCGTGTGCAACTGCCCGGGCCATGACCACCACAGCTGAGGCATGACCATGCTGCCTGGTCGCAGCTTTTCGCGCAGCCCTGAGCAGACGCCACGCTGGCAGCAGTTGGATCGGAGTGCCTGGGAACTGGGTATGGGTCAAAATTAAACCACCAGGGGACCGCAGGTTTCAGGTCTGGGTTACAAATTTACCAGGGCCCCATTTTGGGGTACTAGTTTTTGACCCACTGCCTGGCTTGTTTAGCCCCGTTCAAACTCATCAATCTGTACTTACGCCAAATGGTCCAAATGTTTCCTTTGTTGAAGTGGTGTCCTCAAGGGCTGGGACTGATTTCCCCTATGGGCAGCAGCGCTGCTTGGCCTTCGGAGGGCTCTTGGTTTTGAGGGGGGCTCCGGAGTGCCCGGCGCGGTTTCCATTGGGATCTGGTGGGTATGGACACATTTGGCGGTGGTGGTCAAAACATAGGGTAACGGGTAACCCCCAAATGGAACCCTGTGGAAACATGGACCAAAACTTGGTCCAATTCCTGGTTTAATTTTGACCCATACCCATTTCTGCGGATTGGTCGCGATCTTCTCATGGCAATGCAGGCGCCAAGCGCTGCAGTGGCTGGCGCGACTGCATGCGCTCTTCTGGGGCAAGCGAGCAGATGAGGCCGTGAGGCACACCGAAGGCTGTTGCGCGCAGAATCTCGACACAGGGCACTCGTTAGTTCTCCTATGTCCTTTTGGCTGACCGCATATTTTGACTGCGCTCACACTGGTTAGAATCAGAGCCTTGATTTTGGAGTTTGCCCAGAGGGTTCCCACCGGCTATGAGCTGCTGAGGGCAGTATCTGTGGCAAAAACGGCAGGATTAATTCGGATCCTACCCCGCAAAGGTGTCACTAAGCAGGGCGTCAACACTTAAATCTCAGTCAGCCCTGAAGCAACTTAATCTGCTATCTCCCTTCCTGCCTCCCTTAATCCTGCTGGTCAAAGGCAAGATAAAGAAAAGGGAGCAAGGATATGAATGAGTCAAGAGATACAACAAGACAACAAGATTATGCATTAACTAATGCATTTCCCGTGTTTCAAGGTTATTTCTGGCCGGAGCAGCACTTTCGTGCACAGATTCCGTGGCGCAGCACGGAGCACTGATAGATCGATAGCTAGATCCAATGGATGGATAGATTGATAGATTCTGCCTAGTTTATAGCAAGCTCACGTGGGGGTATAAGAGCTCATATATAGATAGCAGGATGGATAGATGGATCGCTGGACAGACAGACAGATACAGATAGAGATAACTGTATGGATAGGTAGCAAGATAGGTCGATCTCGAGAGATAGAAAGATAGAAAGACAGAGAGACAGAAAGACAGGCAGGCAGGCAGGCAGGCAGGCAGGCAGGCAGACAGACAGACAGACAGACAGACAGACCGACAGATCTCGAGATCTCGATAGGTAGGTAGGTAGGTAAGTTGGTAGGTAGGTAGATAGATAGATAGATAGAAGCTGATAGATAGATACACGGATTTATAGGTGGGCATGAAGGTAGAAAGTAGAGCAGTACCAATGTAGAAAGACAGATAGCTCTAGATACACAGATAGATAGATAATGATAGATCTACAGGTAGATACCAATAGATAGAGAGACATAGATGGATGGATAGATAGACATATAGGTAGGTAGGCAGGTAAATGGTTGGGTAGGTAGATCGGTTTACAGATAGATATATCGATAGATAGATAGATAGATCGGTAGATAGATAGATAGATAGATAGATAGATAGATAGATAGATAGATATCAATAGATAGATAGATAGATAGATAGATAGATAGATAGATAGATATCTCAAAAGGTTGGCCTAAATCGATGATATATTCCTAGATAAATACATAGACGGGTCGATGGATAGACAGATAGATAACAGGTAGGCAGATTGCTTGATGGATGGAGAGCTAGATACATATTGATAGATAGATAGACAAACAGATGGATTGGTAGATAGATCGCAGACAAAAAGGTAGATAGATTGGTAGACAGATCGATCCATCAATCGATCGATATGTAGCGAGACAGACAGATAGGAATACCAGGTACATGGATAGACAGATAGATGGGTATATAGATATATTTTATCAGATCCGATTGCATTAGGTCAGGTTAGCCAGATAAGCTAGATGAATAGATAGAGCAAAATACAGATAATCATTGTCTCGGCATTGAAGAAAGAACGAGGGGAGCAGGAGAAAGAGACAGAGAAAGAGAAAGGGGGAAGAGAAGAGAATGAAAAGAAAGAGAGAAAGAACAGAAAGTGAAAGAGAAAGAAGAGACTTATATAGAGACAGAAAGAAAACACTAACAAAACACGAGAAAGGGACATCTAACTACAGGCCTGTTGTTTTTTACAAAACCGCCTCTGTCGGCTCTGCTGCCTTTTGGTATTTTGTGGAAGTCTTACGGCTATTCATTTGTCTAGTCTTTTGTTAGCTTGACGTGCCTTCTAATTTATGTCCTGCTATATCTGTCTTTTTTGTAAACGCTTCACGCTGCCCGCCTCGGCCAGTTTTCTTTTGGTGGGTTTTAGGTAATGTGTCTTGGCTTGACTTGACCTGTGGTGTGTTTTCTGTTTATTTATTTATTTTAGGATTTATTTAAAAGTAAGTGAGTCGGCACCGAAATGCGTGAGCGTATTTCTAATACTTTTGACTTTTGTCACCCCCACGTCGGCCATCACCAACACCATGGCAGCGACTCGTCACGGTAATGACAACGACAATGGCACTCATCACTATCACGACAATCGTCATCGCCTGCACCAAACGCAATCCACATGGCCATGGTTCAACACCAATGGTGCCATTTTGGGATAGGTGAATTCACCACCCATTTTAGAACCTATTTTAGAAGGGATTGGGATGTTGAATCGATTTGGGTTTTGACTCATGGCTCACGTGATACGCCTTGCGCCAGGCAGGGGGCTGCCGAGCGCGCCTGCTTCTGGGACCTCACCCGTCGGCACATCGAGCTGAAACGCATGCCCCAGGACAGGGTCTTCACAGGAGACACACCCAGGTCCATGACGGAACTGGCATGTCTTCCGTGAAAAGTCGTTGGCCATCTGGCAGAAATCCCGCGGATTGGAGCTTGCCCACAACATAGGCAGATTAGCGTCCGGAGATTTGCCCAGCAACCGAAGCAAAGCCTGCTGGGTTTCACAACTCACCAGTTCGACTTTGAGGTGCGGAATGAGTTTATCATTTGGCAGTGTGAAAAATGTCAGCACCAGAACACCGCGCATGTCTTGGAACCAGGATGCGCTGAGATACGCCGCACACGGCATTGATGCGCGCCTGCAGGCGGGGAGATGCTCGCATCATGGCCAATGTAGGGGACTCGTTCTGCATCGGGATGCCCATCAACCTCTTTAATCTGTGAAGAAAGTACAACCTGTTCATCATTCATATTGGCGCATGTCAAGAACTTGAAAGTGGAGGCTCTCAGTTTGAACTGTGACCCCATGACAGTTTCATAGTTTCACCAGTCGGGCCGTGACATGTGGATGCTCCGTTTGCATCACAAGCCCATCAAAAGCTTTACGGCTAATTTCGCTTGCACTGTCCTTGGTCACCGATGCTTGGTGACTTTTGCTGGTTGAAATTGTCCATGAGTCCATGACTTTGTGCAAACCGGACACCAGCAACCAGCCGTCGTTTCCCCACGATGGCCTCGGTTTCCGCGCACGCCGCGGAAGCCGAGGCGGACAAGATGCAGACCATGTGCCACGGCGACCCGAAGGGCGCCAACATCATGCACGATGAGGAGGCGGGCATTGCCTTCTACGACTTCCAGTGGTTTGGCAAGGCGCCACCCGCCAAGGACGCCGGCGGGAACAGCGGGGCTGTGACCCAACCTCGTGGGGTCGAAAGGTCAAAATGGAACGTGTTATGGGGGTATTGTTGAAAAAAGATCCTGATAGGGGTGGCTGCCTGCCTCCATCACAGCACGGCTGGCTGGAAAGCCCAACGGAACGGACATGCGCCATCCATCAGACTAGTCGAATTTCAACTGTAAGGTTTGTGGTGCCGTTTGAGGACTTCCCAGCTCTTGCAGTATCATCCACAGCAGGCCAACAAGGCCATTCCTCAAGCCATAGATCTTCTTCATTGCTAGAGTCGCATATCCGGGCTATCCACGTTTGAACAAACAGGCTGCGTGCTGAGAGCATCACGCAAAACCAAGAACTGAGCTGAAGCCCACCAAAGCTCACAGCACTCAGCGGGGGTTTTCATCTCTGAACCCCGTTCCTGGCCCGTGTTCTTGGCTAGGAGGACGGCTGGTTTGTGACGGCTGGTTTGTGGTGCATTTCTAGGTGGTACTGCCAAATGCTGTCAGCAAGATTGGTTGCCAGACTTAGATGCGAACTTGCAGAGAGAAAGCCGCAGAAAGCACATCGTGGCAGCAACTAGAGAAAATTTCTCAGGACCAGGAACAGCAGCAGTGTAACAGTGCTGCAGTTTCATGGCATGTGACAAAACATAATATGTCGGTCCAGAGCCGGACCATGACCAACAGGAGGTTGAACAAGGGCCATTCCCAACGGACAAACACTCCTCAGCTTAAGTTTGATCAACTCAAGCAAACATTGCAGAAATGAACATGATGCATTCCAGGAGCCTTGCTCTATTGCTCAGTTACTGGTCCAGGTGTACGCTGATTTTACAACAAGAACATATATCGTCCGCCTCCATTCCCGACAGCGCGCACGCCAACTTCTGCAGGCCACCAGTTCCATGTAAGTGTGTCCTTTTTGGAGGTTGCCCTTTATCGGCTGGCCTCAAGTGCAGGGAAATCTCCCCATCTTAGAAGAGCTACCTCTATACAGAGACACGCCCGTGTTCGGTTCAGTGTTGAAGAGATTTTGGCTATTTCTTCCTATGACCCAAGACAGTAGCGAAATGTGGTGAATCGAATCCCATTTTGCCCAGTGGTACACTATGTTGCAATACATGTCAGGAAACCATCGAGCAAGGCCAAAGACCAGTTCAACCCAACACTCAAACCGATGACACTGACGACATATCGGGGGGTTGCGTTAAAATAGGTCATCTATTGCTTATTTTATGTATTTATCTGTTTGGGGGGTTCCCCAGCGACCTCGAAAGGCTACCAACTCCGCAAAACAGAAATCCACACACACACGCACAGCTCGAGTGGTAGGGGTAGAAGATGGAATTGGTTTCCTTCACTTGTTCCATCGAGGTTCACTTTGCGAAGATACCTTGGGCCAATTTGAGAGTCACTTTTGCCGTCTGACTCAGAGACCCCTTGTGAGGCAGGTGGTTTTGGGATGTATGGGATGTATCAAGTGAGGAACCTTTGGGAGTTGGAAAGGATCCCTTATTCCCTTTTGGTGGTTTTGATCATCACCCAACTCTCGTTGCTTGGTGGCTCCTCGCCATCCCCTTAGCCTTTTAGCCTTTTAGTGTTTAGTGGTAGTTTCCATTTAACCCACTAAAAGTTAAACTTTTAGCTTCAATTGGTAGGCGTGATGCTTTCAGTTGAAACATGGGGATTCGATGCCAGGACTTGGCCTACTTCTTCGGTGTGGCCGCAGGAGGTTTGTCCTCCGAGGACAAGGAGAGGGAGCTGCTGCGGGCCTATCACGCGGAGTTGACCCCGCTGCTGGACCGGTCAATCGCGAAAATCCGCTTGGCCATGTGTGTGTGTGTTATTTGAGGTACCCTTTGTGGGGTTGGTTGAAAGGGGGACCAAAGCGATTTTTGGGGGTCCCCTATTTTGACGGACGGGTGGAGACCTGCGTAATGGCTTGACCTTCGTATTTTGCACATGCGATCTTCTTTGGTTTGGATTGACGCTGTTCAATGATGTCCTTTTCGATGATCCTGGGTCGTACAAATACATCCAGAATGCCCAAAGCTCCAAGACCCTTCTCAAGAGGTACTTCAACCTCTGTTTCATTCTCAGAAACTATCCTAGGGTACTTGTTGCTGGCAATATCTCTTTTGCACGGCGTCTTGCAGTCTTGCAGGAGGCGCAATCAGAGGCAGTTCCGGAGTTCGAAGACCTTTGGAACTCCTACCACCTTGCCCTTTGCGATTTGGGCAGATGGATGGTGGGTGCCGCGGTGGAAGACGTCAGCCGACATTGGGCGCTTTTAAGCAGCTGCGTTTGTGTGTCGAGGGTACCCTTTTGCGTGTCCCAGCGAGAAACAAGAAAAAGGAACACCCACCTCTAGGTTGCCCCTTTTTAACACATGCCCACCAAACCACGCTTGGTGAACATAGTATTTGAACTCCTTGGGATAGACAAGTGTTTCACCAGGTGGGATTGGTAGTGGCATGGCATTGACTTGCATGCCATGTCTGTGTTGAGGGAGATCGTCATGGCTTGCCCAAACCCTTTCTCTGCACATGGATACTCAGGATGATATGTGCATGTTCAAAATATATTCACCTAAACTATATGTGCAGGTTGATGCGATGTGTCCCTATCAATCGCAGGAGCCCTTCGTCATAATGTTTGGTGCCAATCGCATAGGCTTCGCAACGAGCTCACCTTGAAGAAGGTCCCTTGGGGAATCCTTATTTCAGGTTTTGGCCTTGGACTTGCAGATACTGCTTGCTCTTGAGCTGTCCTTCTGTTCACTTTGGAAGCGGGAAGCACACTCAGCCACCTCATACGGCAGGTGGCTTCAGCTTCGGCAACACGCGCCTCATCTTTGGCCACGTCAAAGCGTTGATGACATCTTTGGAGGGCGTTGAACAGTGTGAGGAAAAGTACAAGGAGCCGCTGCGGCATCAAGCTTGTGCGTATTGAGTGTTTATTGTTGTGTAAACATGTATATACACGGATTAATTCATTGTAGCTTAGATATATGACCCTGATGTAGGCTGAATTAAAACGGCTTCCAATTCTTCCCATGGCAAGGATGGTCAGCCGGCCATTCAACAGCCAGCCAAGTTGGCCCGCTCCTAGGCACATGTTTGTGTTCTGTTTTCAGATCATTTCAGACGCATGCGAAAAACCAATCAATCGGCAGCCATACTTCAGTGCAGAGCAATGCACCCGACATCCTGAATGATCACCAGGGCTGAGTTTCGTGGCAAGCTTACCTTGCAGAGGTGCGGAAATTTGTATTTCTGAAATTGCGAGGTGGCAGCGTGGCTCGGTCGCCTTCTTTGTGTGTGAGGATACCCTCTAAAGATCCAGCCGAGAGTTGCACCACCGCTCTCTTGCTGCTCATGATGTTCTCTTTGCTTGAGGCTTTTTCCAGATTCATATTCACTGGCTTTGCGGCCTCAACAACAACAGAGCATGTTGAAGAGCGGACATCCCTTGAATGCTCGCAAGTGGACCACAACCGGCCACGGGAGCGATCCCACATAGATGTCAGGCGAGGGGAAGGCGCCTGCTGCTGACATGCAGAGACAGTCTTGCGACTCGCGACAGAAGACATCGCTTGATTGCAGCAGCCCGAATTTACTGCGACCCGCAGCAATGTGAAAGAAGCATCCCGCACACGTCGACGGCTGGCCCTTAGTTCTCCTCAAATACTGATGAATCATCATGCAATACCCCGCAACTGCCATTCTAATGATTTCGGCCGATTGAACGTCTCGTCAGGAGAAGATCTTCGAGCTTTTTCCACCTTGATGCAGACTCCCCTTAGGGCGTGTCTGATGCCTTTGCAGGGACCCCACCTTCAGCGCGGTCTGTGCGTTAACAAAGAAGCTGGCTGCCTTGGGACATGTGGATCAAGTGATGCTAGCGAGCGATTTCAGCGCGCCAGCTACTTTGCTTCGCAAACTCAATCGGTGCAAAGCTGTTCCCAGAAACATGCCAGGCGAGCAAGTACAGGAAGTTCTGGGCTCAGGATCAGATTGTGGACTTTCGGAAATGAGAGCGACACAGGTCAGTCTCTTACAGATGCTACCTGTGTGCAGTTTTCCTTGCTTGCTCGTTGTGTTCACTTGACAAGTGCGGGACCCTCACAGTGATCACGTGCACAGTTTGCACGCCCTCACCTGGTCATGGAAGCATTGGACTCGAGCAGGCGCAATGTCATTCGGAGCTGAAGTGCCTTGGGCAGTTCATGTTGTTCCCACCTGAACAAGATTGAGCAAGTGAAACAAGTATTTGCAATTCAGTCAGATGTTGGCCCACATGATATCTAGATGTTGATTGCCAAGCTGGCATTTGAAGGGCTCGTGTCTCCCCTTCGCTTGACGTGGCTCAGGCTCCAGAGCCAGTACTAGGCCAGTCTGCCGTGTGTTGTATGGCTGGGACGGGGAAAAAACATTGTGGACAGGGTTGTCAGCTGGGGAAACTCTGATGGAGGCTCGTAGCGGTACTGACGTACAAATCGTTCGTCATATGTGGGTATAGGGGCGAAAGACTAATCGAACCATCTAGTAGCTGGTTCCCTCCAAAGTTTCCCTCAGGATAGCTGGAGTTGAACAGTTTTGTCAGGTAAAGCCAATGATTAGAGGAATCGGGGATGCCTTGTCTTCGACCTATTCTCAAACTTTAAATGGGCAAGATCCACAATGGTTGCTTCGTTGAACTTCTGGGATAAATGCCAACTCTAAGTGGGCCGTTTTTGGTAAGCTGAACTGGCGATGAGGGATGAACCTAACGTTGGGCTAAGGTGCTTAACTGCAGTGCTGCTTGGATATGGTGGAATGCTGGCAGTTGAAGTACTTGTATAATGATATGCGTATATTATACATATACATGTGTATATATATACATGTGAAAAGGTGGTCGGCCCTGGTACGCACTTGTGGGAATCAATCTGACAGACTCGGTGTAGGACTTGGGATCAGGTCTTTAGCAGGCCCTCCTTCAGACCAACTGCAACAGGGCGAACAACAATCTAGATGCCGCGGACTGCGCAACTTGATCTGTCTACCGGCCAAACATGAGACCTCAAACAGTTTGCTTTATCGGGATTTGGGAACGGCAAACCTTCTCGATGAATTTGGATGAGGTGCCCGTGAGCATACGAGGCGCAAGGGACATGTCCGTTGTCATTCTGCAGGCGAAGAGAACTTGGGCCTCGTCTCGCCGGAGAAGCCGGATGAGGAATTGTCCGAGGCACCTGCGCAGGAGCAAAGCCTGAAGAGCGGGGCTGCTGAGAAGGTAGATGTGGTCGATTTAGGATGCACAACCATGACTTGCAGTTCTTACTTGCAATGTGCCATGTGTGTGTGTGTGTGCAATAGATGCTAGGCGACGCAACCTCAAGCCTTCTCAGAAACCTCATGCAACCTCAGACCAGGCATTGGATTTGCTCGGGGGAACGGCGAACGAAAGCTCTTCCCAGGCGAACTGGAAATGGGCCCTTTGGTCGGATATTCTCACACAGTTGTCATACCTCTGACGGATCTTTCACGTAACCCCAGCTTCCCCAGCCGCAGACTAACGTGAAAGTGTCCAGGTCCTTCTCAGTAGCTGTTTGACGATTTTTCCCAAAGGGTCTTGGGAGTTTTCGTGTTAGCCTGATGGAAGCAAGTCTCAATCTGCTCGAACGTGAACTCAATCCGCGCAGGACCACTCCCCGCTTCAAGTGCCGCCGGGAGTGGAATCGCCCGTGGCGTCCCCCTCCGAGCCGGGGTCTTGGGCGAGATGCGCCGGGACCATTTGGGATCATTTGGGGCTTGGAGCGGGATTTCGACTCAGATGCTAAGCACTGAAATGGCCATGGGTCAAAATCCCGCACCCCCACTAAGCACTAAAATAGACTAAAATGGGTGGTGCACCCCAAAATGGTGCCATTGGTTTTGACCTATCTCAGGATGGTGCTTGTTAAAAGCAGTCTGGGGACACCAAACATCGAAAGGACCGACGTTTGCTCTGCCAGCAGGCCATGAGTGGGTTCGATTGATGGCTTGAAATGTTGGGTAGCCGGGTGACTACTTGACAGAGTACTCTGAACGGCCCAGTGAAGGATAGCCTCGGTTCACTGCCAGAAGCTCGCATCATTTCAAGGAATGCCAAGTATGCCTCCGAATACCCCCAAGGTTATGACCAGCTTTTCATGATAATGTTCAGCAGCATACTGGATTCTGGATGTTCCACTTCTCTAATTATGATGTGTTTCCGTAGGGCCAACCTGGAAGTGCCACCTTTGCAAGGATTCATGGCTTACAATGAGCCTTCGTGTTGACCAGACTGACAATATGCTGCTCCGTGCCTTTCAATTCAGGCACCATTGGGAGCGTTTTCTCATATATGATCCAAAAGACAATCAGCATCCTAGAGCCTACTTGTTGCAACCCATTCGGGGTCACCCACATCTTGAGGGGATCTGCTTGTTTTGAGTGGGGGCGTTCCTTGCACGCAGGTCCCCGAAGCAAAATGAGGACGAAGGCCTGGCCCTCAGCTGTCACAGCTTGGGAGGATCGACACGAGTTCCCTCATGGGAACCTGCTATTGTGCTCGATGCAATTGCCAGGGAATGACTCGTTTGTTCTGAGACATCCCAAAAAGTGAAGCAGATGTTTAAGGACAGCACCACAGGTTTGTTCCAGTGATCTTGACCGTATGGGGGGTCCAGATGGGGTCCAGGCTTGGGCCAACCCCCAGGTTTTTCAAACCGAAGCCTTTGGGTCCGGCAGTCCCAGCCAGGCCAGGCGGACAGCCAGGAGCCCAAGCCAACCACTTGGGTGGAGGTGGGGGGTGTTGGGTTGCGGAACAAGAGTCTTTGGAGAAAATGCGCGAGGCGACATCCGAGATTTTACCAAATAGTATTATTGTGAACGCTTCGCGTTGCCCGCCCCGGCCAGTCCGCCTTTGGCTGGCTTTGAGGTAAAGTTTGTGTTGTGTTTGTTAGAGTGAGTGAGTCGGTGCCGAAACGCGTGAGCTGGTTTCCAAGGTAGAGGGTGGGTGCATGTCCGCGCGTTCCACATGGCTTCAGGGGCCAGAACGAGAGCTGCAGAGAGCTACAGAATGGCAATGGGCTTGCCGGTTTCTAAGAAAAAATGAGCGGAGTTGGACCGGCTTTCTTGAGGGGGTTTGAGAGGTTTCTAGAAGGGAGCTTGACCGGTTTCTGCAGGTCAGTTTTAAGGGGGATTTGGCTGGAGTTGGGCCGGTTTTTTGAGGGGATTTGAAATTTGACTGGTTTCTAGATGGGAACTTGATTTGATGTTTCATGGGGGGATTTGACCGGTTTCTAACGTTTTACACTAAATTTGATATAGAGGGGAATTTACCGAAAACAGGGAAATTGGCCTGCTTTGCAGGCTTGGGAGTTCCCGACAAGTTCCAGGCTTGCTTCAGAAGCAGCTCGAGTAGGGATTTGGCCGCCCGACATGCGGAGTGTTTGGACCAGGAAGGTTTTGAGGCTGGAGCAAACCACCCACCTTTTCTAGTGGCTTTGCCTTTCAAACCACATAACTTTGGAGTTGGACCAGGTTATTGCGCGAAATGTAGGAAAGTAGTTGTCAACACATTGTGCCCATTGGATTTTTGCCGTGTGGGTCTCTCTCCAACTGGCTTGTGGCCACTCACGCCCACAACTCAGCTTCCCGCAAGCGCCAGGTGGAGGGCGAAAGTATGGAGGACCTGCAGAGGGAGTTGGAGGCGGATGGGGGCGACCCTTCCTTCAATGGATATGGATGGTATGTTTGAGGTACTGACGGCATCCTAAATCGAGGCATCAAGGTTTTTTGTGCTCCGGTCTGAGCAGCTGACTAAGCAAGTATATGTCAACACGTTGTGCTGACGAGAGTCGCTTCTCTCCAACCGCGTTCTTGTTTGTTGCTTCTGATGTTGCCATGATGCTGAACCATGCTGCTTAACATGTTAGACGGCTTGGGAAGCAGGCTATATGGTAGACCACATCCTGTCACCAGCCATACCAAACTAAGTGGTTCTGTAGGGTCGATTCAGCTGAGGGACTGCTGTTTAGGTCATCCAAGTGGGCGAGCTCAATTGAACGCTCCCGGGATGAAATAATTTGGAAAATGGCGGCAGCATGACGCACCAAGCTTCTGCAAAAGGACGTGCACCAAGATGCCTACAAGATAACCTTTCAGTTTTGGTTCAGTCTTGGCTGCAAGGGCAGCCAATGCAACCGCAGTTGGAACTCCCCTGTTGGCCATGTCAGTCATGGTTTTAGTTCCTGTCGAGGCCTTGATGCGTAGTGCCAGCTGCACAACGTATGATTGACTTCCCCCCAACTCAAGCCAAATCGGGATGCATCTTTTAGTCTTCGAACTCATTCACGCTTGCCAGAATCAACCCTCAACTCAGTGCGTGCCCAACAAATGTCAGCTCATTGGTGTCATGTTTGTTTTTCTCGCACTTCTCAAAACGTATACATTTGTTTAGAAGGGCTCCAGAGCGAGACCAAGCGACTCCGGATCTACCACGTGTTTGACACATGCACTCCGTTCAGCTTAATAGCCAGTGCCAGGTGGTTGGTCGGCCAAAGCCTGGGATTTCAGTGGAGACGCAGACGGAGGAGGCGGACATCCCAGAGGACTCGGGGCGCTTTTGGTCCAGCACGTGAATGCTCAAATTTCAAGCCCCTTTGCCCCACATCTCGGCTACGACTATGTGTGAATTCAACAGGCTTGCTGAAAGTCGTTCGCTGGTCTTTTGAGGCACTTTCTGCAGGTGCTTGCAAGCAGAGTCTGAACGGCAGCGCTGGGCGTCTAGGTCACAAGACATGTGGCACAAGGATGGCTGCAGCCAATTGTCAGATGCAGTTGTGCTGGGAGGCAGTAGGACTCGGTCGCTGCATATACATCAGTGAAGGGGACTGGGTTGCTTTCCGTTGCCTTTGCAGCCGTCTCATGTTGGCAACACCCGCAACATGACAGCGAGGAGACCTACAGCCAGTAGATAGCGACTCTCTGTTTTGTCACTGGGACCAGGCTGATGCGTGCAACGTGTGGACATCACCGAAAATCATTGAAACGCACATATACGAATGCGGTGCATTTGGAACATGGAGTGCGCCACCCAAGGCATCAACGCTCTCACTTTCAGGATCCGACCCTTCAAATGAAGAAACTCAAGGCTTGCCAAGTGTTGAGGACCCAGTGTGCATCATGTTCATTGATCCGTGCTGCCTTTTGGCAGAGGAAACCTAACGATGTAGTACCTTCAATTTTAAGTTAGTATTAAACCTGCTGACTTGACAAGTCACATCGGCGCGGTGGTGTAAGATTTGAGATGCTGCCCTAGGCGGAACACGTCTTAGAACTCGGCCAAGGATAGTGGCAATGCACTGAAGGCCCAACTTCACCTTGACAAATTTATGCAGGTTTCGCTTGCCAAGCCCTTATGCTCCGCTGATTGGAAGCTGGTCGATTCCAATTGCAATCCTTCTGCCGAACACTTGGCACGAAGGGGTCGCTATACATCTCTGTGCATTTGAATTGGGCCCATTGGAACTGAGTTTCTTTGCGATGCTAGCTCAAGTTCAAAGCATCTTCTAGGTGTTCCAGTAGTGCCCGTTTACCTTGTTTTTGGGGAGGGTTCCCCCACTAAAATAGACTACTGAAAAAGAATCGGGTACCCTTATTATTCTAACCTCGCTACTGGAAGGACCTAGTCTTGGTCTTGAAGTCACTTCTTTCAGCCACGTGCACGTCCCAGCCCGCGCTCCGTCCTCGCTATCATTTTCCAGCAGCCAACAAAGGCACGTCGGGGCCAATCTGATTGACATGTACTGAGCGTCAAGGTCCGAACTGAGTTGTACACGTGCAAGGATGTTAAACATTTGGTTCGTTGAAGCTTGCTGAGAGAATCTGTTGATGCAAGCGAAGGATTACATAGACTCACTTCTTCGCCATTCGGCAGTTCCCTCCGAATCTTTCGTCGCTGGCGCCCGAATTTGCGATGCTCGCACCTGCGCCTGCAGCAGCCGTGCGCGGCGCGGGTGCACCGCTGCGCCTTGCAGCTGGCGCTTCAGCGGCGGGCAAGGTACCCATCAGGCTCGCAATGGGGACTCCCAACTCGGATCCGGATCCATTGACTCAAACGGCCAGTTGAGATTGCCTTTCTGAGGGGAGCCATGTTTGAGGGGTTCTTGGATAGTTGGCAGACTTGCCCAGGCCTGCTGCTTTGTAGAATAGGGTCGTAGGCCTTTTGCCAATGTGGCTGACATCATATCGCCATCGTCCTTTGAGTTTCAATTTGAGTGAACAAACATGTTTGCATAACGCTGGACACACCATTCGAGCTGTTCAAAAAGACAAGCTTAAAGAGCCCGCAATTGCAATTGCAGGAAAGAGCGATTCCACACACTTGGCAACACATCACCGCAATCATCGCCAAGTAGCAGTTTGTTTCCACTGCGGCACCTGCAGTGTGTTCCATTTGCCCCACGGACTTAAGTTACTTCCTTTCCAAACCCGTGCCAACTTGAGCCGGCTTCAGTGTTGCTTCAATTTCCGACACACTTGCATGTTCGACCCTGCGGGTTGTAATGGTACTAGCAGCGATTCGCCCCACCCGCGTGGCCCGTCACATCCAAGCAGTTGGTGCATTTGCTTGGATGTTGGGACTTTAACTTTTTGCCACCTTGTGGGTTATCCGTATGAAACCACTAGAAATTTTCATTTTTTTTTTTTAATCAGGGGAGCAGAAAGTCACCGAGAGTTCGCCCAGGTCCCACCGGACCGCCGGCACGGCTCTGGGGGTCGCGGCGCTGCCGCTTGCCGCGGCGGCAAGCCGCGCCCGGCGGCGGAAGCAGCGGCACGCGGCACGCGCGGCGGAAGCGGTGAAGGAGAGCCCCAAGGAGCTGAGCTCGGGGAGTTTTTTTCCAAGTTGTGCCCTAATCTTTTGTGGGGGGAGTTGTTTTTTTTTTCAAGTAGTGCTCTCTTTTTTGTGGGGTGTTTTTTTGTTCATTTTTCCATCTAGTGCTCTCTTTTTTGTGGGGAGTTGTTTTTTTCAAGTAGTGCTCTCTTTTTTGTGGGGTGTTTTGTTTCATTTTTCCATTTAGTGCTCTCTTTTTTGTGGGGAGTTGTTTTTCTTTTTTCCAAGTTGTGCTCTTTTTTGTTCTTTGAATTTTGACTTGTGATGTTTGAACCATGTGATTGCAGGATCACTCTCGATGTTCAGGCTCTCTGAACGTGAACCAGACCCAACGAATTGAATTTGAGCCGGCTGATTGGCCCAGACCGAAAGAGCAGCGCAAGTGAAGTGCAAGCCTATTGGTATGCCAGCGCTTGAACTAAAGGTTTCGCATCCCTATGATATGCTGTTGTCATTATCTAGTTTATCGCTATGCAGATAGGCACAGTTGTGTGAATGCATGATGACATACAACGACAGAGAGGGAAAGAGAGAGGGAAAGAGAGAGAAAGAGAGAGAGAGAGAGAGAGAGAGAGAGAGAGAGAGAGAAAGAGAGAGAGAGAGAGAGAGTGCGAGGCATGTATATTGAGCAAACCTTCATCCCTCACTCTATCTCTGTTCTCTCTCAATTTTCCGCCAGGAAGGGACTTGGAAAGGCGGGGAGAAAGAGAGCTATTCCTTACCCACTCATTTCCTTTCCCATTCAAGCAATGAATGATAGGGAAGGAAATGGGAATGAGTTAGGGATGGAATCCTCTCTTCTCTTTACCCGGCCTCACAATTGAGGCACACATGCAGGACATGCATGTGCGCAATGTGCTTTGTGATGCACTCATGTATGACACACGGCGACTAACAAAGCGTGCCCAAGTGGGAAGTGCTAATTGTGGGCGAATTGTCGCAGAATTGGCTGACCAAAGTCTCATTCGGCTGGCGCATCAATGTATTTCAAGGGTCCAACTCCGTCAGAGCTATTCCCAAGACCGCTCAGAAGGGGTCTCCTGACGCAGGAGGAGACCCCCTGGTTGGAGGTGCTGGGCGCGGTGCTCGGGGCGCTGCTGGACGTGGTGAAGGGCCCGCCCCTGGAGGTCACCGACCAAGCGGCGCCGGGGCTCAAGGCGCTTCGCCGGGTTTCTTTGGTGCGTTTGAAGGGGGTGAGTTTGGCTGGCGTGTGTTTTGTGCAGTGATTGGTGGTAAGTGGTTCTTTTTCAAGAAAGTTCGGTTGTTGGGTGGTTCTCACGGATTGGTCACCCCCTGTTTGATTTGGCACTTTTTTTTGTGTAGGTTCCCAAAGTTTGCGGGGAGCGCCACAGTCAGACGAGGTGCCTTGGATGAGGATTTGCTTGTTCAAAGGGTTGGAAGATGAGCCGGAAACACAATCCTCACCGCTGAGCGACCCTGTACCTGTTGGATCTTGGTCAGGCATTGCTCGGAACCGCTCAAGTCATGCAGCCGTGCGCCACAACCAGGGCCCCAAGAGAAACAACCTGAAAGCCATTTGGAGAGTTCCCTTCCTTCTTCCCAGTCTGGAGCGAATCTGCTTCCAGGACTGATCAGGGCTCCAAGAGCTCTCTTTTTTGTTTCTTCGTTTATTTTTTCCCACTTGATGAGGTCCTTTTGCTTGACTGCCCATGTCATTCAGAGTTTTCAGATTCGGTCCGGAGAGGAGATGGGCAAGCCCGCGCTGGAAGCGCTGGGTGCCTGTAAGGTGCAGGAGCTGACCAGACCCGTGGTTTGTGACGTGGCTGTGGTTGTCACCAATGGGATCCCATTTTGGGGTTTCCGGTGCACCACCCATTTTAGGTGCACCACCCATTTTAGGTGCACCACCCATTTTAGGTGCACCACCCATTTTAGGTGCACCACCCATTTTAGGTGCACCACCCATTTTAGGTGCACCACCCATTTTAGGTGCACCACCCATTTTAGGTGCACCACCCATTTTAGGTGCACCACCCATTTTAGGTGCACCACCCATTTTAGGTCACCACTTATCTTAGGTGCACCACCCATTTTAGGTTGGGTGAGGGATCCAAAAAAAACTTTTTAGGCATCAAAAAGGAACTTATTTCTAAAGATCAAAAAAAACTTATTAGGCATCAAAAAAAACTTATGCTCATTGACTTACTATTAAAAATGAAAAATCAGAGGATCAAAAAAGAACTTTATAGGCATCAAAAAAAGCGTTTCATTTCAGGAAGCACTTTCGCAAGGTCAGGTACAGATTTCGTGGCACGCGCGGCACTTTCGCAAGGTAGGCGCAATGCTTTCGCGGGTCAGGTACAGATTTCGCGGCAGGCGCAGCGCTTTCGCAAGGCGCGGTGCAGATTTCGCGGCAGGCGCAGCACTTTCGCAAGGTCAGGTACAGATTTCGTGGCAGGCGCAATACTTTCGGAAAGGTCAGCCAGATTTCGCAGCAGGCGCAGCACTTTTGCAAGGTCAGGGACAGATTCGCGGCAGATGCAGGACTTTCGCAAGGTGCGGTCCACATTTCGCGGCAGGCGCAGCACTTTCGCAAGAGGTGCCAATTTCGCAGCAGGCGCAGCACTTTCGCAAGGTACGGTGCAGAGTTTGACGCAGGCGCAGCATTAAATCAGCAGGGGGGTTGGGGGGGGGCGGCAGCCCCGCAGGGGCAGCACTTTTGCAAGAGGTACCAATTTCGCGGCAGGCGCAGCACTTTCGCAATACGGTGCAGAGTTTGACGCAGGCGCAGCATTAAATCAGCGGGGGGTTGGGGGGGGCGGCAGCCCCCCCCCATGATGTTCGAAGAAGTGATGAGTCAACAAAGGGTGGTGATGATCGAAGAAGTGATGATTCGCGCCCTTTGCTGTAATCTCTGCAAACATTCTGAAAATCAGCGGGGGGGTTGGGGGGGGCGGCAGCCCCCCCCCATGATGCTCGAAGAAGTGATGATTCAGCAAAGGGTGCGATAATCACTGTCAACCTTCTACAAATCAGCGGGGTGGGTGAGGAAGGCCAGGTACAGATTCAGATTTCGCAGCAGGCGCAGCACTTTAGCAAGGTCAGGTACAGATTCGGCGGTCCGCAGGCGCAGCACTTTCGCAAGAGGTGCCAATTTCGTGGCAGGCGCAGCACTTTCGCAATACGGTGCAGAGTTTGACGCAGGCGCAGCACTTTCGCAATACGGTGCAGAGTTTGACGCAGGCGCAGCATTAAATCAGCGGGGGGGTTGGGGGGGGCGGCGGCCCCCCCCATGATGTTCGAAGAAGTGACGATTCAACAAAGGGTGGTGATGATCGAAGAAGTGATGATTCAGCGAAGGGTGCGGTAATCTCTGCAAACATTCTGAAAATCAGCGGGGGTGTTGGGGGGGGGCGGCGGCCCCCCCCATGATGCTCGAAGAAGTGATGATCAACAAAGGTGGATGATCGAAGAAGTGATGATTCGCACCCTTTGCTGTAATCTCTGCAAACATTCTGAAAATCAGCGGGGGGGTTGGGGGGGGCGGCAGCCCCCCCCATGATGCTCGAAGAAGTGATGATTCAGCAAAGGGTGCGATAATCACTGTCAACCTTCTACAAATCAGCGGGGTGGGTGAGGAAGGTCAGGTACAGATTCAGATTTCGCAGCAGGCGCAGCACTTTGGCAAGGTCAGGTACAGATTCGGCGGTCCGCAGGCGCAGCACTTTCGCAAGAGGTGCCAATTTCGTGGCAGGCGCAGCACTTTCGCAATACGGTGCAGAGTTTGACGCAGGCGCAGCATTAAATCAGCGGGGGGGTTGGGGGGGGCGGCAGCCCCCCCCATGATGTTCGAAGAAGTGACGATTTAACAAAGGGTGGTGATGATCGAAGAAGTGATGATTCAGCGAAGGGTGCGGTAATCTCTGCAAACATTCTGAAAATCAGCGGGGGTGTTGGGGGGGGGCGGCGGCCCCCCCCATGATGCTCGAACAAGTGATGATTCAGCAAAGGGTGCGTTAATCACTGTCAACCTTCTACAAATCAGCGGGGTGGTTGGGGGGGGGTCCTTCCTTCCTTCCTTCCTTCCTTCCTTGCTTCCTTGCTTCCTTGCTTCCTTGCTTCCTTGCTTCCTTGCTTCCTTGCTTCCTTGCTTCCTTGCTTCCTTCCTTCGTTCCTTCCTTCCTTCCTTCCTTCCTTCCTTCCTTCCTTCCTTCCTTCCTTCCTTCCTTCCTTCCTTCCTTCCTTCCTTCCCCCCATAGGAATGAGCATAAGTTTTTTTGTGATGCCTAATAAGTTTTTTGTTGACAGCCAGATCGCCGGGCCACAAGTGGCCTAAGCTGGCTCCCCCCCCCCGCGGGGGGACCACCTTAAAGAAGCAAACAAAGAAGCAAACATGGTGTGGTCCACCTTAAGCACCACCAGGATTAAAACCTGCTAGGGCTAGTTGCTAGCTTGTGGGTGGTAACCGGCCACGTGTTCCTTTTGGTGGGGGGTGCGTGCTACCGACTCAAAAACACCAACGGATTGCTGACGGGGTGCAAAACCGGGAGCAGTCTTCGGGAGCCTTAGTTCCTGAGCGTTTTTTGCCAAGCAGGGTTTGTTGTGGGTCTTTAAGGGTTGACAGGGTTATGCCAGAGGCAACAATTGCTGCCTAGCTGCCTCAAAAACTCAAGCCCGCAGCGCCCGGTAGGGGCAGAAAACTCATGGTGCGGAACACCCTGGCTATTGTCCTCAAGCAAATTTAAAGGAGGGCATGTTTGTTTTGATGCCGATGTCACATGCTACTTCCGCAGCCGTTTCGAGCCAAGTCGCTGAGCACATTCAGAGCGTTTGCCCTGCACTTTGCCCTGCGCCTGGTACGCACATGCTGTCGCTTGTGATTGGAGTATGTTTGGTCAACAAGCATGTATTCTTAAGCAGTCCATGCGGTTTGTCGTTGGTTGCTGCTGCTCAGACTCCAAATGCAGTTGACCCCACAACCAGCACCGCCAATGGGATACACGGTTTCTATTAAGATGACTTGTCTCAAGAGCTCAAGAAACAGATACCCGTTGGGAATTTATGTTGGACCCTCTTTCCACGGACGCACACCCCCTGAACAAGTGGAACCAGTCAGCTGGACCCTCTTAGTGAAAAAAAATTCTGGGAGGGACAGCACTTACTGTAGTATTGCCAATTCTACTTTAGTGTTGCCAATTCCCCCTCTCAGAGCCCCAGTACTTGCGTTAGTATTGCCAATTCTACTTCAGTATTGCCAAGGCTGAGTCTCAGATTCCCAGTACTTACTTTAGAACCCCCCAAAAAAAAAAACAAGGACACTAAAGAGGACCCTTAAAGAGGGTCAGGGCCTCTTGTGAGCAACCCCCTTTCTGTGACTGCTTGCCAGTACTTTTGTGTTCCCCAATGTTTGCCCGGAGTTGTTTGCCTGAGCCCGAGCAGATTCAGAAAGTGAAAAATAGCTCTGTGCTTTTGGATTTATTACTAAAACTTATTGTTGGGGGGGGCAAACAATTTTCCACAACTGAGGACCCCTAACACAGTCACCGGATCCTGAGTTAGACAAAAAGGTTCTACAATAGAGGGTACTATTCCTAAAGGAGGCCCAACATTAATTCCAAGGAGGTTTCCCTTTTAGGATTGGCAACAATTATTGACCCGATCCAAGCTCGCCGGCAAATGGCTTTTTTTTGTCCACGTTGCACGTATCGCACGTCGCTGCGCCAAGAGGCATCGATGCCTCGTGGAGCAGTACAGCGGGCCATGGGAGCGCTGCTCGAGGTGATCAAGTCACCGCTGAAGGCGACTGAACCTTGGACTCCGTTTCTGACGAAAATCAAACCAATCGACGTGTTTGGGGAAGAAGCTTCTCGACCCCAGAATGTCATGTCGATTTTGATGCTTCCCCTTGTCAAAGGGTGTCCTTTAAACCTGAAAAGGAAGGGCCTGCGCGGATTGCTCGTTGCCCAAGGTGAAGCGCCGCACCGAAGCTCAGCCAAATCATTGTTGCTTTTGTTACATATGCGGCATATGCAGTGATAGTGGCGTTTTTGTTCTTGCGCAAAGGACGCGTCCATCCACCGTGTTGCCGGTGGTGTACTTCCAGAAGAAGCACACCTAACTTCAGCGCAGCTTGTTCCAACATTTGCCTTCGTCAACAGACGAAACACATAGGTTTGGGCATTGGCAGTTTACTTGAGGACAGCTACCATGGCACTGACACCAAGGAGTCTCGGCGAAAAAGGAAGGGCACCTTGTTCTGTTGGGCGTGTAGAATGGCGCTTTGTTGGGCACGGTTTTGTGCTGTTTCTTTCGAATGTTTTGTTGAGTGAGTGCTTGCCGGGGGAGGAACCAGCCGCAAGAGCGCCGCCGACCGGTTTGGGCTCTGAGGCGCGCAGAGCCGCGGCGAAGTTCCTCAAGGACGCCAGTGGCTGAAGCCGGCCACGCGCCGGGGCTGTCGGAGATGTCACTTGAGACCTGAGTATGCGTGTGTGTTGTTGTATACTTTATGTTGACATGCAGGTGTGGTGAGGCCGAGGTGCCTGCTTGGTGTGACTTATAGGGATGTCGAAAACAACTCAATCTAGCGGATTGGGGCCTCCGAACATTCTGAGACAAGCGCGCCTCCATTTTGAGCAAGGGCAATTTCATGCTGAATGTGTTTAACAACCCCTCCATGTTGAGAGCATTTTGAGAGAAAAGCTCAATGTGGAACGTTTTGAGGAGAAAACAACACTTTGAAAGCAACTTGCAGTCTAAACATGTTAGAAGACAAACATCCAGTTTGAACCTGTTGAGCAACCCTCCCTTGAGAATACAACTCCCTACTGAGCATATGAACATGAAGCAAATTTCAACTTGGGCACGGACATCCTCTTCAAACATTTCGAAGGCGCAACTCCAATCTGAACATATTGCGCAACACAGATAATGTTGAAGCATAGCAACACAACTCCACGTTGAACATGTTGAAGCACGCGCCTCATTATGAATATCATGAGCAAATACCACCATCTTGGAAGTCACACCATATCATTATGACCCTCCTGTTCTGCCAGGAGAAAAGGAGCAAGGGGGCGCCGGGAGATCAAGGGGGCTTCTGGGATGGACACATGCGAAGGGGGACAACACTTTTGGATCCCTAAAATATTTCGGGGGGTTTCGAGGAATGGCATTTCTGCTGGGTGTCTTCCTTTGCCAGCAGGGTTGTGCAAAAAGTTGATTGAAACAAGAATGCCACGGAGCCCGTTGAAGGGAATCCGTTTAAGCAGTGGTCTAAGCATGCTAAAACAGGCGCTTCCCTGTGCAGTCCCCAGCAAGGCCGGCATGGAGGTGTTCACCTGCGGGCAGGCCTGGGCTCTTCCCAGTTGGATATGCAGAGCCCTTCAAGGGCCCTCCCCCCAAAAGAACCAACCTCTTAGTAATGGGAATCCATCGAAATCCATGACATCAGCAGGCGAAGATGCTGCCCCGGCTTGGCAGCAACGATGCAAAGCCCGCAGCCGAAGTGCTGCCTGGCAGCGTCCAGGTGTTTTCCATCTGTCCAAAGTGAAGTCATTGAGCTGTTTAGTTGGTTGTTAAAAAAACATGCTTTGTTTGATTGCTTTGGGGGGAGGGGCAAATCAGACATCGCCTTGTATAAATTGGTTGCATCTCGTTTCTCCGTCTTTTCAGGCTCCAGCGTGGTGCGTGCTCTCCGACGCAGCCTGGCAGCGATGTGCGTCGCTTCTCTGAGCGCCGTGAACTGTTTCGCCTTTTCTCAGGATGGCCTTGAAAGATGTCTTCCGGCCTCGCCCGCGCCGTGGCTGCAGAGGTAACAAGTTGGATCAGCTAACACCGTTTCTCTGGACCCCCTGCCACTCCACTTGAATAGAAAGCTGGCCGTGTGTGAAAAGGTTGCCAGGCTATTGACCCCATCATCAAAATGCAAGTACGCCCTGATATGATGGAGCACTCCTGGTCTTTTCCCAGTACCACCCATTTGTGCAAGGAACGACAACATCTTGGACTGCGGAGCGCGCATCGGCTCTTATGCCCTTTGGCTGGTCTGCGACACTTTGTTGCACTGGCCAGGTGCAGCTTTTGAACACGGAATAGGGTTCTAATGGATATTCAAGGGACCTCCTTCAGGCTTGCTAGAATGACAGTTGCTAAGGCTTCTCCAGTCGGGTTAGGGGGGGGTTTCAAACAAAAACACGACTGACTGAGGCGTTGGTGGCGACGAGAGCCTGACCTGCATAGAGGCAGACTCCCAGAACTACAACGCCAGGCTCTCAGGTTTTTGCAAGGCTTGCTTTTGGCTTCTTTCAAAAGCAACCAGCAATGGACCCATAATTTCGACAAGCTCTCATTCTGCCCATGCTGGCATTGTCCTTTGGACTAAACGGCATTGGTCGCCATGGCAAGTTGGCCTGTGGTGCCAAGGTCCTTGCAAAGAATCTCAGCCTCCTGACTGCGAATCTTGTGAGACTTGGGCGAAGCGGCCCAAGGCTGGGCCAGACATCAGCACCAGCGGCTTGTCTGTACCTTTGGGGCATCAGCATCCAGCATACTGGCACGTGTGGTTTTGTTTTTGAGGGACCCTCCATGTTGCACAGCCCAGGCATGTGACTGTGCTATGCCACACCTGTCCTCCTAGGGATTGGCCCCGGACCGGCATTGCGCACGTCGCCATTTGGTCAAGATGCGGAGTCACTCAAACGCTGCTTGGCATCAAATGTCCTGAGCACGTCGCGGGAATTATTGTAATAGTAATGTTGACCTTGTACGCATGAGCATCACAGAAGGTCAGTTTTCAGTAATTTTGAGGCCCAGCCCACAAAAACATGAAATGGACCAAAGTATGACTAAGAAGTGCTGACCAACATCAGTTAAGTATTGACACTGTTAGCTATGGGTGTTGTTTTCGTTTTTGATTGGAGATTGGAGCAAGTTGGAAGGATTCGGCAAGTTGAGCTGATCTAGCATTGCCATTTGAACATGAAGCAGCTGCTGCTCTAAGTATGTTTCCTCCCTTCCGAAGCCATTTGGGGCTCTTCTTTTGAGGATGTGCGTTGTTTTTCAGCGGTGTACATTGCCTGGTGTTTTCCTAAACAAACGTGAGGCAATTCCTGTAAATCTAGGGCCATTCGGTGTTTCACATTGTACGGTAATTTTTAAGATGTGAAATGACAACCATGAGTTACAAGAGGCCACGATAGCCCCTTCAAGGCCCCATCAACAGATTGGTGGTCTGGTATTTGCTTGGATGACATTTGCTGAAACATCTAAAGCCACAACATTCCAGTCACGGCATCTTTTTGAGACAGCTTGCTCGGCAACCAGCTAGTCACAGTCAAAGCATCGGCGGGAATGGGGCAAGTAGACACAATCTGACTCGCTCGCTGGAAACGCGTTGCTCCTGCACAGGGTGTCCCGCATTGCCAAGCCCGACGCGCAAGCGGACTTCTACCGCACGCGGGCATTGGCTTTTGGCGGCGTCAACACGCAGCCCGAGGAGATTGCACCTCGGTTCATGATGAGCCTTTTATGACCAGTTTGGCGAATGACGAAAAGCTCATCTATAACTACCATGCAAAGGCTGGATCTCAAATAGTCAGAGGCGCAGTCCTGCCAACAAATCCACTGACGCGCCTTTCGCACCAACACCCAGCTATGCATTTGCACATTACGGGCAGTCATGCCCAGCCAGGTTGGAAGGGCTGGAAAAATAGGTGGGGGATGGGCAGAAATTCATTTTCAAAGGCATTTGCTTAACGCTTTATTAGGTGTAGTTTCATATTCAGTTTCAATAATTGCTTTGCGCGTAGCTTCACTGTGGGAGAATCGTAGGGGATCTTTTTTGCTTTGCCCCAAAAAATGAGCCAGAGGCTTCAAGGCTAGGAACTGAGGGGTGGTCGCCAGCCTAACCAGGGTGCCCGCAAGCTTTGCAGGTGCCGACCTGCCACGTCGAGCGGCTCCGGCAGTTGTCTGGCATCAGCCACTTCTGCCTCGGGAAGTTCGACGTGGAGGGCGCAGCAACCCGTCAAAAACATTGCGGGCGTCTGCAAAGGCGGTTTGCTTTGGTTGCGTAGCATGGCCATGCAGTGCGAGAATCAGCTTACGCCGGCAAAGCCAGTTAAGGAGTGCAAGGCCTTCGAGAAGCTGGAAGGGGCGCCTCCCTTCCTTGTCTTCACAGGCGGGTTCCCTGGCCCGTGGTCGTACCAGGTTTCTTTGGAGCGACTTGAACAATGCTAAGGCTTTATCCCAGTGGCCTCCCCCCCGAAAAAAGCTCGGTCCCTGTTCGGGATTTCCTTGAGGAAAACGACCTTCAACATGCGCGAATCCTTAAGAGTTTCCCCGGGCCGGGGAAGGTGGCTTAGCATTCCACGAGTGAAGCATACCTAGAGATTCGTCGCGGCAAAAAATTCCGCCGCAATTCAAAAAAGGCGCCTTTTTGGAAATGCGGCATTTCTTCATGATTTGCGGCATTTGTTGCAAAATTTGCGGCAGAACTTGTTTTCAGTTTTCCCCCCCCTGATTTGCGGCGGAAATCGGCGGGAATGCGGCGGGAATGCGGCGGGAATCCGGCGGAAATTCCCGGAAAACAAACGGTGTTGCGGCGTTTTGTTTCGGTTGCGGCGTTTTTTTGTTTGCGGCTGACTTTCTGGAATGCGGCTGGAATTTCCGCCGCAATGCGTTGCGGCAGAAATTTCCGCCGCAGGAAATCTAGGTATATAAATAAATACCTGAACCCTCCAAAAGTACTGAAATTTCCGCACATGCAGAAAAAACCGTCAATGTACACTTTTGAGGAAATTTGTCGGAATTCGCTTTTAGCAGGCTTTGAGCGTTTGCTGGGCGATGCACATGAACACAGTTTGCAATTTACATGGCCCGTCATACATAATTCCGTTTCAGGTCATTCGTCTCCTATTGCTGTGGGGCGACATGTGACAGCTTCCTTGCCGCTTTTGTGAGTTTGCAGTTTTCTCATCCAAAATGTAGAAACAGGAAATGCAAGGAAATCGGCGGGACATGCACGGAAATCGGCGGGAAAAGTACGGAAATCTGCGGAAAAAATACGGAAATCAGCGGAACGTTTGCTTGGCCAAATGCGCACCTTTTGTCCTTGGTGAATTGCACACCTTCAAATATATTTCTTGGCCCATGAGCATGACAATCGCCAGTGCCAGCGCCGGAGCTGAACGTGAGATTCTTGCAGGAAAAGGTCGTTGAATGCTCCTGTGTCTCGCGTTGGGCCTGCAAAAAAAGTACAGTTTTTTCTCAAATGTCTGGATTTCAATCAAATGCACGGATTTTTGCCGACAGTCGCAAAAAAGTGCCCTGGTTGGTCCAGGTATATATATATATATAATTACACATGGTTTAAGGTGAACATTGCGCACTCGCCGTGCCAACATGTTGCTTGTTTTGTGTTGCCTTTCACCAATCCTCGCGTGTCCAATGACTGCGCGCGACGCATATCATCCAGTCGCCAAAATTGTCAAAGGTTGAATCAAGGCACCATTTGCAGTGCTCAGCGGCTTTAGACGCATTTGAATGGCGAGCAGACATGCGGAATAATTTGCAACAAGCGCGTATGTCTGCGTAGCTGCAAAATTGCCCAGAAATATGTACTCTTTGTTTGTTTGATTTCCCCAAAAGGAACATTGAAGATTTTGAGCATCTATTTTTCCCTCCAGAATTGTTTCGGGATATTGGCTGCAGGACATTCGCAGTGGTGAAGAGGTCGCCGCCTGGCATGCCGCGAATGTCTCTCAAGGGTTTGAGTGAGCAGGTTTAGAACTTGCCAACATCGAATACCAGTCCAAAGTCAAAAACTGGAGTTTGCTTTCCCATTGCGACTGTGTTGGGAGGTCTCCACTTCAGCTGAGCTAGCCTTGTTTTTCGGGCCAGTAAACATGGTTGAATGGTTGCTAAACTTCCACGTTTCCTTTGGCAGCTTGGCCAGAGGGCGGGCATTCGAGTCTGCCTCAAAGCTTTGCAACATCCCGTGGGCTGAGCTCGCGTCATGCAAGATTCTGAATTGAGCATGCATCTCTATGGTCGAGGCACGGATTGAACACATCATGAGTTTCAAGCCTTGCGGCTTCACTTAAGTTTGGCATTTGTTTGCTGAGGGTTGGTTCTTAGCCACACACATCTACATATAGCACACTTCCATGTAAGGCTGGTGAACAAACAAATGTGCGTTCTCCACCAAAGTTTTCAAAGGCCGCCATCTCAGGATGCAGCCAAGCTTCTCTCGCCGGGCAGGCGGGAGATGTGGGCAAATCGGCCAACGAGAGCAATGAAGACAGGGTGTGGTCATTGGCATGAATCTTGGTGAGCGTGGTGAGCTGCCAGATGACCTGCGTCGCAGGATTATTTTTGCATAGTTGTTTGATTAGGTCCTGTCAGGTGCTGGTCGGTGGGCACAGGTAAATGGTATCCCGGAAAGGCCTGCCAGACAAAGTGAGGTGTATAGGGCAAGATGAAGGCAACACTGGCATTGTACACATTTTCTTTGAGGACAGCAGTTTTGTTTCCGGATCTTGCTATTCACCCTATCATTCTAGAAGCCAAAAACCGAGACGAAGACAAAGTTGGAATCGCTGCCGGATGCTGCGAGTTGTCGGAAGTTTGCAGGGCAGCCTGACTTTGAGCTCCCTGTAACGTCTCTGAATCAAGGATCCATTACAGAGTCTATGCCCAAACGCTTGCAAATAGCTGATAGTACGTATTTTTCATATGCAGAGCGGTGTTGCTTCTCGGATGGCTTCAGCAGGAAAAGTCACAAGGAGAGCCACCAATTTGAAGGGGTCCTGCACACTTTCCCCATAATGTGGCTGTGGGTCAAAACCAATGGTGCCATTTTGGGGTATAGGTGAATTCACCGCCCATTTTAGAACCTATTTTAGTGGTTGGATTGGGATGTTCACTGGGGGCTAACCGATCTGGATTTTGACCCAGGGCCATGTGGACCTCTCGCTAGGAAAGGCGTCTTCTTCCTGACCCACTGGGGCGACTTCAATTCCTGGGAGGTCGCGCAGCAGCTGAAGTCAGCCCTCCAGGCTGGGGGCTATCCAGGTGAGGTGGACCTGTTGAGGCAGGTGCTCGCACGCGATGGTTCTGTGAAGATGAGACACGGGCCTTGCTCCCAACAACCGAAGCCGGTGCAAACACCCTCCATGGCTATAGGTTTGATCCTTTGGTATAGAGTTACACAGACGAGATTGTTTTTAGGTTGCCATTCAAAGCGGTTTCAGCAAAGCGCCGGTGAACTACAACTCGAAGTTCGCCCCGCTTTGCACGAGTGCTTGTCGAGTGCATGCGTCCAGCTTAAGGCTTGCTTGTAAATGGAAGGCATCCTGCATACAATCACAACCAGTGATGTCAATCCAAGCAGAGGAAGCCATTTGTTTTTTGTGTGCACGGGATGCTGGGCGACAAAGCAGCAGCCCAGTTGCCACCGTACCAAAATGAGGGAGATGTGCCTTGCAAAATGCAACCAAGTTGCGCGTTTACCCCACACCGCCTTGCTTGAATTTGCGTTGCTTGATTGGCAGATACCCTCCCATCATGGGGGGGGGTCGGGGTCCTGGTACCCGCTGGGTGCCATGGCAAGGGGCGCCTCGTACGCCTCGCACGGACCGCGTGAGGCGGGGCGGGTGGACAAAAGCAGCGTGAGCCTCGTGGGCATCGGGTCCCAGGGTGCAGCGCAGAAGTTTGCAGAGATGCTGCAGCTGCCCGAGGAGTGACCAAGTTCACTGGCGCCGTCTATACTTTCCTTTCTTTTGAATCTAGGGAATTGTTTGAGGGGTCCCTATTGGATTTGAAAGGAACTCGCGCATGTTTTTGGAACCCAACTCGTTAAGCAGGTTGAAGAGGGAAAAGAGTTTGGACACCCTGGCATGATGTGGTATCGACATTGACAAACAACAGGAATTGTGATCACTACATACTGATTTGGAAGTTTGAACAATCTTTGCAAGGGTTCCCATTTTGGTTACCATGTGGCTGTTGGCTGCATTGAAAGTTCGTTGTTGGTGGTGCTCAGCATTGTTTGTTTTCCTTCTTGTCAATGTTGCCTCAACACCCAGCGGTGTGTAGAGTGAGCACGATGAATCACGTTGTTGCCAAACACTCGGCAGCTGGATTGTTGTTTACAAGAATGCTGGAAACTACCAGCTCGAAGAGAGTTTGAGCTGCTTGCTGGGATGGGAAAGCATTCCCTCTCCAATCGCAAAGCTCAACACCGGAGCATCGGTACTTTGGATAGGACGTTGTTGCCCTCAACGGGTTCCAACTGGAGTGACTTTGATTGGTGGTGAATTGCCGATTCGTTGGTTGCTCTTCGCAACAGTTCATATGTTGGTTGTTGACATCGTTTGAAGGGCTCAGTTCGGGAAATCCGCTTGAAAGCCAGCTTTTCGAGAGACCGAGCATTTTGCGACACAAAGGCGTAGAGCTGCAGCTGTTTGCCTAGCATGTACGAGCTGCAAGTGTTCTTTGGAGCATCTAAGCCTGGGCTGGGCCACAGCTTTGAAAGCAAGCAGAATGTTGGGCCTTCGCCAGGGCTGTCAGGGTCAAGTGCAACTGTCTGAGCCCAACTCCACCCATCAAGTGCCACGCTCTGTTTCCGGGACCTCGGCGAATTTTGACCAGGATCTGAAGATCTACACGGATGAGAGGCACCGGATGCCATGGGCAGTTTTGTGCAGAGCATAAGCTGCTGATGCAACATCAGCTAATTGCCCGCTTGGATATGTAAACACACTAGTTCCTAGCAACTCTCAAAGGAATGCCAATCATAGGCAGGCGCACGAGCGGCGGGACACGTCCTTGGAGTGATTGATCAAAACATGAGTTGCAGAATGTCTATTGCTTTTTCGAGCAGTGTTTGCACTTGTCGGAAAAGCAACCCCATGAAGCTAAGTTGTTCTTTGTCGGGCAAGTCCCTCCACCCATGATTAAGTGTCGTGCAAAGAAGACACAGTGGACCCCGAACAAAGACTTGTTGACGCATTTCTTGGCCATGGTTGTATGTTGCTTGCTTATTATAGTGTTTCATCTCAGGCGCCTACAATGTAAGGGCCACAGAAGACTCCAAAAGTGAACATTTGACACCCTGGCAGAATGGGGAGACTTCGGCTAGATATCCTCATTGGTGCACTATTGCATGCCACCACATCCGTAGAGACGCATGGTTGATTGTTTCCCTACATGAGCCACAATCAAAACCCGGGTAAGTGAAGGTTAGTAAGGGACGATCCCAGCCATAAATAGCTGAGGCCGCCTTCTTAATTCTTTGCATTACATGGTTCTGGGTCGACCATTTTGATACACTCTGTACCGGATTTTGATTATGACTTATGACTCACATGGCTTGCCTGGCAGACGTTGGGAAGCTGACCAATGGCCAGTTCCTTTGATGGATTTCTTTCCCTCTCGTGAGGCTCGAGAACTCAAGAGGAAATGGTCCTCGGTCATGTCCACCTCAAATTGGGATTCTTGTGTGGTTGGACCCTTATAGTTACTATAGTTTGTAGGAAACGACAAAGAGCATGGGCTGGCATGCCGTTTCCGGAAACTTCTCCAATGTGATACAGATATGTGTGCTTTATATTCTCGAGGAGTATGGTTTAAATAGAAGCTGAGCATTTTGTTCTGGTCAACCCGCGGGTTGGGCCAAGTTGTGTGACCCGGGTCCCACTGTGATTCGCAGGGCCTCCTGTCACTCTACGCTCTGCTTCAGCCGCGGCGCGCTGCCGCAGTACGCAGAGCAGCTGAATCCTTACCTACGTGACTGGGGCGCAAGGAATCGGCCATCAGCCGTTGCGTTTGGGTGAATGTCTGGTGTGAACATCCCCCTTGCTCCTTTCAACAATGTGATTTCCTTCCAGGCAGGTGATGTTTACAAGGGACATGTGGGGTGTTGTTTTTGCGGGAGCCTTCTGCTTGTTTAGCGTCTCGATGGGTCCCTCCTAGCCACAAGAATGACGTCCAGGTGGTATCCCGAATAGCAAACGCCTGGGCAAAGACCTCAAAGTTTTCAGCTGTTGGTGAAACGCATGAAATTTATTCAACGCTTCCCTGTTCCTGAAGGTTGGCACAGCATAGATGAGAAAGCATTCTATACACTCTGTAACGGGCTATGATTTGTTGAGGAGTTAGTTCAACATGTTTCCTATCTGCTCAGCACGGATGTCGTTGAGCTCTTGAGCTTGGGGCTACAGCCTTATGTGCGGGCATCTTCTTGTGCTGATGCTGACTCACAGCACTGGGTTGGTCCACCGTGAAGCCATCTTCGCTGATGTCTCTGGGCTCTGACGCAGGCAGTTGGGCGGATGTACCTGGGCCAAATTGTTGCGACGCCACTACACAGGGGAATTACACTTGCCGGGTCCGTCATTTTCGTTTGGTGAATTCATTTTGTTTTGTCCAGGCGTACTATGCAACGAAGGAAATTCCTACCCGACAAAGCTTGATCAGCCATGATGAATTCATTCAGATGCAAGTGCACACAAGCGACTCTTCAAGCTAAATAGCGCCATTCATTTGAGAACCTGAACAGGTTCCAGGCAATTACTTTCGCTGGGTGCCAAATAGTCCAAGTTTTACCAAAACTGGATAGATATGTGTTTTGTTTTTCCTGGCAGGCACCCTGTTTAGTACCCAGTTCCCCCTGATGGGACACTGAGCTGCAAAGCTCCAGTTAGGAGTCTTCCTGATGCTCTTGGGGGTGGGGCTCCTTGGCCTGAGTTCCAGCAAACAGGTGAGACGGCCATGACAGGCCGCAAAAACGGGGACACCCAATACCAATAGACAAGCCGAACAAGCAGCGTACTCATGACATGCACTCATGATATTGATTCCCTATGTCGCGGAGGAAGTCTGGGCCTAATGTGGCATGTGAACCTGGCATGAGAGGAGCTCTTGCCTTCTTGAGGTAACATCCAGCCCAAGCGGGATCCCCGTTTCAGCCGTAAAGAGATGACGCCAACGGTATCGTTACTTATTCCTTGACGGCTGCATCGCTCAAAACGGCTGAAATTGAGAGATGGACTCTCAGCACCACACGCAGTCAAGACATCTTCCGCGAATGCAAAGCTGACCGGAATGTTTCACCAAGTGCCCCCCAGCACATGGGGACTGACCTCCATCTGGTTTCCAGGGATAGGGTTGTGTCTCACTTGCAGCATGGGACCTGCAAGCTGAGCCGTGGGTGTTTGGTCAACACATGCGCCTTGTGCAATCGTCACCTTGTGAGGTCGCCGGGCACCATTCGCACTGTTCTGGGCGGATACATTGGGCAGCTCGGCAGCACAAGGTAGATCTTGCGTACCCTTCGCTGGTTCCAACTTCACAGAATTATGAGAAGTGATGGGCCATCACAAAGCTTTGTGGGGGAAGGGACTTCAGCATTCCCATTTTTTGTTTTGTACCAATCTGTCCGGGCTTACGGAACAGGAGCAGCAACATGTTTGAGACTGTGCACACACCTTGCAACTTCTGTTGATCTCAAGACCTGCACTTTCTGTGTTAATTGGATACGTCTTGTACTGGCGAGTGTAGCACGGTCCTTAGTGCCGGGCGCGGGCTGCACAGGTAGCTGCAAGTCGTATGTTATACAGTTTGTTTGTTGCAATTGTTGTTGGCAGGCAGCTGAAGCCTCGCCTGCTGGTGATACGCATATGACTCTTGTGACTTCCGCTTGTTGTGATGCGACCTGCTGCATGCGGAGACCAACATGTGGCCATTCATTATGATCTTAATGGAGATACTCATCAAGTAGCAGCAAGCTTGAAGTAGCACGCATTGAGGTCTCAAATAATGTGCCTGGCACATTCCTGAAGCTTTCAATGCAGACACAGAAGGCAGAATCATGCAAGCTTACACACACACACACACACACACGCACACACGCGCGCGCACGCGCGAACCATGGCCGAGACCGGATCGCCTGAAGTGGACAAGCGAAACTCATTTGGCGCTGCACTTCGAACAGCCTTTCACCTTGGAGCTTTTGCCAGGGACTCCAAGCAGCCTCGCACGGCCACGCGCTGGATCGACGAGAGCTTGCGGCAGGGGGCACAGCAGGGCCGATTTCCCACAAAGGTACCTGACATGCTGGGCGCGCCTGGGCCGAGATTTTGCAGCTTTCGCTGAACCAGTTTGGGGGCTTGCGGCCTTGCAATCCCAACATGGCTCCAATTGGCGCGTTGGGTCATGGTCATGTCCATTCAACTGGCATGCGGCTGTCTTCGTGGTTCCACATGCACGCCACCGACCTATGCTAAAAATTCAACGGGCGGGTAAGGGGACCATCAAGCCTTCCCCCTCATCCTAGAAAAAGTCAAATATCACCTCATGGAACATCCGTTGGTTCCACTTCACCTCACGAGGCGATGGGGGTCGCAGGCGCTCGGAACACGAGCAAAAACTATTAATTTGTGGGCCAATTGTCCTGTCGGCGGACTAGGTCCTTCACAGTGCCTCCGAATCATCACATGTGAGACAAATCCATAACTCTGATAGGGTTCAGGGATGATCTACCCGACAAACACCTCCTCTTACCTATTAGGATACCTGACGAAGGCTTCTATCCCTGTTCTCCTTGCGGGTAAACAATGGAAAGGTCCTCCATAGGCTCAGTGGCTATTTTGGAGGGACTGGGCCGATCGAGGACTGGAAGATGTTGGACCTGGCGGAGGTTGGCAGCGGTGTGTGGGACGAGGGCTTCGGCAAGGAGGGCCTCAGGCCCTTTGAGCTGGCCACCATCCGGCTGCAGAATATGTGCGGAGGCAGGGAAGATGCCCCTGAGTGAACCTGACCTCCTGGAACCTGGTGAGCCTGACAGGAGTCTTGACCCGCCGGTTGTAGCTTCATCTAACTTTGGGCGCCTTCGCGTCCCTTGAAGCAGGCATCATCGCGCACTGGAGCGAGCTGGCGCCGGAGGATGATGAGCTCTTGGTGCAGCAAGGACAGACAGACTTCCTAGGGAGGAGTACTTCAATGATTCGAAGAACAAAAAAGGAGGCAACAAATAGGAAAAAACAAATACAGCCAACTGCACAAGATGCGCAACCGACAAATTTGCTGGTCTGTTGTTGCTTTGGGGAAGCCACGGGGGGCCCACCCAAGCATCCCACACAGAAAGCATGACTCATGTACCTTTGGGGTGCAGCAAGCAACTTTCTCCTCGGCTCACATTTGTTGTTGTACAGGTGGTCCGCAAAAGGAGATTCCTTTGTAAAGAAATGGAGGATAATGGAGGTGTTGTTTTCCGCTTTCTTAGCCGTGTCTAGAGCTGGGCATTCTGATCCTCTGGGCCCGCGGCCAGGAGGCTGTGTTGTGGCGCAGGACGGCGATGTCAGCTACTACTACCGAGACAAGGCGAAAATTACAGTGCCTTGTTAACTTCCGAATGGAATGGATGCGGGGATGCGACAAAGATGACTTGCAACTTTTGCTTGGAATGTTTGGGAGAATCCACTTCAGATGTTGGCAGGAAGTGCAAGGGGGCGACTTTGCAGCCAGTCCTGAATTGGATTTTGATAGGCAGCAAAATTCAGACTGAGCCCATTGCCAGGGTATCCTTACCTACGTTCCGATGGACGACGCCATTACCGCGTTGCAGACCAGCTCCTGAGTTCATGTGGATGTCGGGCCTTGCTGACCAACTTGACAAAGAAGCTTTTTGCACCTTCAAAAGCAAGCACATGGAAATATGCGTGAAAATGAGGAATACCCTTTTGGATGGTGTTGTATAAGGACACCCATATTTAATATGTAAACCAACTAGCAAATATCAGCAGCGCACCATTGCGCATTGCAGGTGTTCGGGCGACGCCCTGTAGCTTTTCCTTCTGTCCGAGTGCCGAGCACGCGGCGGAAAAGCCCACGTTCAATGGTGCTCGAGCTGCCGATGATTTTGACCAGCTTATCATTTTCTGTGTGTGTGAGAGTGCTATTGGTTGTGCCCCAACAACTAGAATTTGTAGTTTGCCCAAAAAGAATGCAAAAGGCAATGGGTTTGTTTTTGGTTTCCAGACCCCCCATTTGACACCCAGGTGCCATACATTGGGGATCAGGGAGTCTCGCGAGGTGGCAACTGAAGGCAGTTGCACCGATCTTTCCGGACCATTTCATTCAAGGCCGATCAAAGGAATTCCCTGCAAGGGGGAAATTCCCCACTCAAAGGGAAGGATGTGGTTAATGTGGAGGAGTGTATCATTCCGAAGTCATATTGAGCCGAAAGGTTCAAACTGTCCCGCGGTTGTCGGGGTCAAAGAGGGGACTCACAAAAAGCAGGCACCGAAAGGAAAGCCTGTTAGCCCCAAATAGGCCTTATTATTACCAGTCTCTATTAGCCCCTATTGGGATTTTTGGGGGGCTCTTTTGGGGGGGCTGAGCACTCACAGCAAACTTGATGCTGTCTTCCAGTCTGAAGGGTGCCTTGCTTGCATTGGTTTCGCATGTCTGCGCCACCAGCGGCTCACTCTTCCATCCGCAGAACCGGCACTCATTTTAAATGATGTCCTCAACCCCTTTCCAGCGGCCACAACACCCCACCCGGCGAAGGCAAGTCATCAAGCCTGCCATTTCCGCAAATTGCCCTATAGCACTCCACATGGCACACGCCTTCAGCGCCTTCAGTCGCTTTCGCCGCGCGGCCATGAGCTGCGCCTGGGAGTCGGAGCTGGTGCCGTGCAAGCGCTGCGTGCACTGCCGCTTCCGCGCGGAGCGCAACAAGGACCGATGAAAGCAGGGGAGGTGGTTCGTAGTAGCGTCTTCCCGCTTTCTTGGCAGCACCCCAGTTGATCTTTCACTTGGCGAGCGATATGTTGGGCGGCGAACTTGTCTTTTGTCCCCCTGGGCTTGATGATGCTGGGCTTGGGGAGCAGCTTGTTTCTTTGTGACTGGGTAAATATGTTGCAGGCACCAGTGGTTGAGAAGGTCATGTCTGCCATTGCGGACTTTTCACTTGAGCCATGAGATAGGCCGGGGTCAGGCTTCTACTGTTTACGGATTGAGCATCCGTTGCGAGCAAGCCTTAGAGTGCAGGCAGTTTAGGTTGGCAGCGTAGTAACATTAAGTTGCCCACATTTGTGAACGGCTTCTCGTGTTGCAGAGTAGTACCGGGTACGCGACCCCTCAGTGACGGCGACCTTGAGTATTTGCCGCCAGAAAGCCCTCAGCTCATTCGAATATTCCACGAGAGACATATCACAAACTCCAACCAAAGTATTATTTATGCGTTTCCTGCGCCCACAACACGCAAGTCCTCCCCGGGCTTCATGAGCTGCATGCTTGTTTTGCTGCGCCAAGTCCCACTAAACCTCCAGCGCCTGTGCGACGAAATGCCTGCCAGTGTACAGCAACTTGTTTGTTTCATTCCCTGAGAACCAGAAAGCATTTGAAATTTGAAGGACACCTGCTGCGGCAAGTGCAGCCCCGACAATGCTTGCGAACTGGAAGGCCATGAGGCCCACTGCTCGCGACTCACGGAGCAGGCGGAGACGTCGGGCGGGTATTTGCCAGGAGCATGGCGAGCACTGGGTGAAAGCTTGCGGCTGCTTTTTAAGGTCACTTAAGGGGGAGTGGAAGGGTTGAGGGCACTGGTCTTTCAACTTGAGACCCCACTTGTATCACCACACAATCGTCATTGAAGTCAAAGCCCACATCTTTTGTTTTTGTTTGCGTTTCCCGTGGCAAAATGGCATTTGGTTCTTTCAAGCCTTGCAAACATGCAGCCAAAGGCTCACTTTCCCGTCCATTCCGAACGCCAGGCCTTGAGGAGCTCCTACTGGGAGAAGGTTCGCTGCGACTCTGCTGCGGAGCAGGAGGCGGACTGCTTGGTGGTGCCGAACCGCGCGGGGGAGGGACCCAGGCCTGCAGCTTGGCAAAGCCTTGAGGCTTTCAGATTGCCTTTGAGAATTGGTTTGATAAATGAAAAACGGTTTTCAAGTTAGTTTGAAGCCATGTAGTTACATTGAGGTGATCCTCTTCCTGACCGGCAACGGTCACGTGGACGACCGCCAGGACTTCTTTGGGGGCGGCATCGACCAGCTGATGCGGAACAACGAGCTGAAGAGCTACATCTTGCTGGCGCCCAAGCCATTGTCCAAAACTGGCGTGCTGCGCTACAACGTGCCTTGCCAAACAAAGTTCTATCAAGCAGAAACCAAAATGGACAGATTTGTGTGTGCGTGTGTATTTAGGTTAGGGTGTTTGCGGGACGGCTCCGTGCATCAACTTGACAGACGCTCCCGATGGCAGAATGGCGATGAAGGCCTCCCAAAGTCGGAAAGCCTGTACAGCTATCGCTGGGTGCGTCACTTTCCGGATCGAGGAACTTTGGCGAGGCTGTTCTTTTGATGCTTGAGCTTTGGATTTTCGGGACTTGTGATTTCAACTCTGCTGCGCCCAGTGCGCGGCGACAACTCTTCGTGGCTTGACATCTGTAATTACAATGAATACACATACATATCGGTATGAATACATATATGATCATATATGCATGTGTGTAGGCAATTATCAGTGTTTCTGTTGGGTGCCACTCCATGTTGTTGCCTTAGCATTTTGCCGGCTGATCGACCTGCGACGAATGGCACCGAGGACCAATGGCGCTGGAACTGGTGCGAGGACGGCCTTTGGGCGATGCTCACAGAGATCTTAAGGCGCTTGGGCCCCAGCAAGGCGCGGAGACCGGGCTGAGGCCACGCCCAGTTAGGCGGCGTGGTATTCAGGCATCTCGAGCTCGGGCTGGAATGAATGCCTCCCACAAAGTAACGAGAGTTGAACGGCAGTGAGAACTTGTCCGTGAGAACCTGTCGGAACATGTTTCAGTCGCCTGGAGCGTAGTCAATCCGGAGACCCTTGGCAATCAAAAGGCTGGGGCCTCGTGGAGAGCTACACACCTTCCACCTGGGTCTTCCCGGACATTTGATAAGTCTTGCCACGGTGGGCTAGTCATATTATCTATGTATATATATATACATACATACATACATATATGTTTATGTATTTATGTACTGTTGCATACACTGGCAAGTAGATAGACACGCTTGCCTAGCTTGTGCACGATTCATTGAATCGAGTGGCACAATAGTTCCACTTGGCAAACCAATTTGTTGGCTTGTTTTGTCCCAAATGCAGCACGTGCTCCGGGGTGACCACGAGTTCGGCGCCAAACATTGACTGAGTTTCGGACGAGCATGTTATGTTTCAGAAGAATAAAAGCCTCGTTGGCAATGCGTATGGGCTAAGTAGAGTAGTGTCGTGTGAGTGGTAATTCAGACTGCCTGACTGGGTGTCGAGGAAGGTCTATGTGTTTGTGTGATAGTGACTCGCTGACGGCACGCTGCAGGTGGATCCGAGCCAGCTCTATGCTACTGGCCTGTCCTTGGGAGCTGCTGGCGTGTGGCATTTGGCGCTCAAGTATGGCGCGGCTGGGGGGTGGAGGCATGTCATGGATAGATAGCAGACGTTGGCAACGTCAGACTTGGAGCTGCCAATCTGATCGACTTGCTCTTAATCACACAGGGAGGCTATGACTACACTGTACATACATAGTTGTCAACCCGCATAGAGTTTGTGGCCCTCAGGCTTCTTTAAACAAAAAGAAACAAACACATTCACAATAATAATACCAAAACATGTAGCCCATCTTTGTCATGTCGCACTATTGTCGTTTAGCCGCAGCCAGGCCCGTCAGCGTCCCAAACAGCATCAGCTCGGGCAGCCAATGGGGCCCGTCAGCGTCCCAAACCATTAGCACTTTATGCGGATACCTTAGCTCGCAATACTGGTGACAGGGTCCTTCAGATGTATTCTGTGGGACTGCCCGCTCGGAACCGGTACATCCCCTCGGTCAATTGATTGTCTCATCCACGGGTTCCAAAGGAACTGATGTTTGACTGCTTGAGGATGCAAGCGATACACGCAACCACACACACAGACACGCGCACGCCCGCCCACCCGCCCACCCACACCAGCAGTTCATTTGTGCTACGGCCGAGGCATTAAACAAATAATTAAGCTGGTTTTAGCTTCAGTAGCGGGAACTATAAGGGCTGTTGCTTTGCATGCCCACACCATGACCCCCAGCCTGAGTCCTCCCTTCGACAATCAATGCTGACAGGGTTTTGGAAGACCACTTTCCCGCCCTGTCCACTTCCAGTACAACGAGGGACTCAGTGCCGAGCGTGTCTCGGCAGGCCAATACCTGGCCGGGGTGGCGCCCATTTCCGGGGTCTGCCAGTGGCCCTACGAGAGCTGGCCAAGGAGCGGTCTCGGCAAAGCCAAGCTCTGCCATCCCGGAGAACTTCAGAGATGGGAATAGTGGATTTCTTGGAAACATGACATGATGAGACCTTATCCCACTTTGCAAGTTTGGCTCGGATCGCGGCTGGCTTGGGTTCAAGTGGAGCCACATGCCCGAGTATCCCATTGCATGAAGACTTTGTTGTGTGGCACTACGTCCAGCAACAGGCGATGAGGGCCCAAGTTCAGTCACTCTATGAGTTGTTGTTTCTTGTCGCGGACTAGTGCTGGTTTGGAGAGGGCTATTCCCAAGCTCTAAGCAGAGACGGAACGACAAATAGCTTGTTCTTCTCTTGCTAGGAATCGAGCGATGCCATTGTGTGCAGGAGGATATTGAAATGATGTCAACATTGGACATGTTCGTAGATGTGCATGTAGGGACGCATTTCACAGCTCGCTCGCTCGCTCGCTCGCTCGCTCTCTCTCTCTCTCTCTCTCTCTCTCTCTCTCTCTCTCTCTCTCTCTCTTTTATCTACATATATATGTATGATTGTGTATGACTGTATATGACAAATGTATATTCCTCTCACGAAAGAAAAGAAACGGAGAACAAACAACTGTATACCCTGAAATTCGTTTCACTCGTATTGACATTGGCTGTTTGGATGTTCTTCCGCGATGCGCTGGTCTCAGCAATTGGGAGCGTTGCCGGGCATTGTGTGGCCCTGTGCCACGGATTTCGTCGCGTTGCTACCGAATGTGGAACACAGACATGTGTTGTGTGTGTACGCTTAAAACAGACTGGCCAAAGCACCTAAGTGGCGCAAACGCTGGGAAACACTCCAGATCACCAAAGAGCTGTGAGCGGACATACGCCAGGAGGAGCGGCCCGAAGCGTGAGGTCCTAGAACGCCTCAGCGAGCTGCCAATGCGCGCATATCAGATTGATGTGGACCGAGTCTCGGCAAGGTGCCCGTGTTCAGGTGAACCTCCAAGGACATGAAACTCAAAACTCCAACTCCCAAAGTGGCTGTACATTGAGCACCCTTCTTTGGGGAGCATGATGGAGCCGACAGGTTGTATGCCGCATTCTCTGATGGGAATGTGTGGCAAAGCAGGGAGCTTGACATTGCCCAACCATTCATTTTTCCTCTTTTCAAAAGTTGGAATTGGGTTGATGTTTTGTATTTGTAGAACTTTTGATACAATGTAAATGTATTTTTGTATTTCAAGAGGAGAAACTACACATCATTTTTTGTATTAAATATAGTATCCTCAATGTCAGGCCACTGACCAGGCATTAAAGTCCTGCCAGACCAGAGCAGTGTGATGGTGCCGAGTATCTCACAAATTCAGGAGCAACCTGATCTGCGGCGTCTGTTGTGTTTGCTGTGCGTGGGCCACTGCTTTGGGGTTCGGGAGGATCATGGACATAGGCTGCGAGGCCACTTGGCAAGACGTGGATGGTTTGTACTACAGATACACTTAGTTTTCTTTGTGCATTTTTTGTCACATGTGACAGATGCGCAGGACGTTTGCCACTTTCAATCTATGTCCGTCAGGTGCCATTGGTGGATGTGCTGGAATCCTCACACCTCCTGTGAGCCGCACAAATACAATTCATGAACACCTTGGCATTGAGGGGGTTCTAGCTGAATATAGTGCAATATGGGTGTTATTTCAAGTTTACCAGGCCAGCAGCCTTAGTTTAGGACACATGAATATTCAAGCGTTCCGTGATTCAATCGTCCAGATGTCCAATTCGCAAGGCCATGTTTCCCACAAGATCCTACACATAATAGCAGATGGTATGGACGAACCGCCAACTACTCATTCTACAACTGTCATGTTGTACTGGTTGCAAATCTGGCCACAGAGCGTGGACATGTGGGTGTCTTGAGCGGCGGGCAAATGTTTGCAGTTGGTCCAGATCCATGTGCCTCACCATTGAGGATACTCCGGGACACCCACGCATGACATCGAGTGGCTTTGCTACGGCCTGCAGGAGACTTGCATGTGCAAACCCGGTGAAAGCCACTTGGTGGTGTTGTGATGCCAAAGTGCAGATGCCCGTCCTCCACATGCGAACGGCCTGTGTCATTTGGTTTGTTTAATTGACAAGAGCAGAGTGATCAGCCAGGTCTGCCACGGTCAATGTGGCCATGGGTCAGAATCCAAATCGTACCCCCCAGTGAACATCCCAATCCCCACTAAAATTGGTTCTAAAATGGGTGGTGTCCAAAAATAGACCAAAAATCCGTGGTGAATTCAGCTACGAACCAAAATGGGATCCCGAAACGGTTTTGACCACAGCCATAGGAGGTGAAGGAGGAGCTCAACCTACGCGGCATGGAGCTCGACCGGCGCGTGGACGTGGCAGTCCGGCGCTGGTGCAGGGAAGGCGGCACCTCGGATTCATCCGGCGGGCGTTCCGCTGAGCATTTTTCAGCTTGGCTTCGAGTCGGCCAAAAGTAGGTAGCCAACATGAGAACCCCGGTAAATGGAAACATGGAGCAAACCTGTCGTGGTTTCATTTTGACCCATGCCTGCTTAGCTGGTTGGGCCGGGGTGGGGGGTGACAGATTAATTAACCTGTGGCAGAGGTGTTGTGGCGCCCTGCCATTTTGTGGAAGGAGTCATGAAGATGTTCTGCAGGGCGAAAGTTTCGAAAGTGCCCCTTGCCCAGCATGGCTGTGCCAAATGAAGCGAAACTTGTACTAAAATAAACCCCTTGATTCTCAGGGCAAGTTGCTTGAAAGAGACACCAAGGGCAAACCGATCGCAGGAAGGGTCTCACCCTCCTTGGGTCCCGTTTTCCCCATGTTGCCGTATACCGACCTAAAGCGACCGACCTAAAGCGACACGCGTGTACCGCAGCGGTGAGTTGAGGCAAGCCTTGGGAGCTTTGGGAGGCCAAGGGCCCCTTGAAGGACTGGGCCTACTACGACCAGCGGCTCGGACGGCTTTGGCTTTACTCACCGGGTTGGGTGGGTTCGGGTCAGTTACATGGCACTGGGTCAAATTACATGTACCCAACATAGGAACCCTGGCAAATGGACACATGGATGAAACCTGTGGTCCCATGGTGGTTTCATTTTCACCCATGCCCACATCAGTTGTCAGTGTTTCTCAGTTCAGTGGCTCCCTTTCTCCATTTTGTTTGGTGGGTTCCCCAGAAAACGTCGTCAACCTCAAAAGAGTTCCCTTTTGGAGCCAAGCGCCACGAGCCAAGAGAGTTCCTTTTCCGCTGATTCGGCCAGGTCACTCAGCTTGACCCCTTGTTTGAAGGGTCGTGTCCCAGCGGGACAACCCTCATATTATGAAGCAAGGATGCCCACTACTGTAAGGTTCGTCTTGTCTATTGCTGCAAGATCGTTAAACAATTCACTGCGCATGTTGAACGCCTTTTTTCGTTGGTTCAAGACAGCTAATGGCTCAGTCAACCCTTGACTCTCGGCTTGAAGCGGTGCTTGATCAGTGACTGCTGCTCTGCGACTAGGCTATCTGCGACTAGGCTATGGTTCGCTGCCTGTTGTGGGGAAATAGGAAAGAGATCAAGGGATGAGCCGTTGGACAACCTAAGATCATGTTTTCTGATTCCATTCTGAGGGGATGAGTTGCGACGTCGCATCCGTTCCAGGTGGGGCGGGGACAAGCACTGCCTGTGGAACCGCGTGTATCCGTGGCCCGAGTGGGGCCTGGCTTCGTTCTTCGCAGCCCATCGACTGCCACAGGAGAAGTGCCGGGGCCCCGAGACCCCAAACCGGGTGAATAGGAACCCAAAATGGAACCCTGGATATGGAAACATGGACTAAAACCTGCGGTTTTTGGGTGGCTTAACTTTGACCCACCCCCTTGTTGCCGGGGCGTCGTTTGCGCGGGGCCGGTTGCGAATGCTGTGGACTCTGTAAACGCAGCCAGCCAGCATGCCATGCCCTCCGGAGAAGTTACCAAGGCTGCCCTCTCATGGCACTTGCTCAGACCTTACCAGGATTTGTTGAATTGCTTTGTTGCCCCGTCTTGGAGTGTTGGATTACATTTCTGTTTTATGGCTGGCCGTCACGCATTTGGATCTATGACTTTGCCATAGTCAAGCCGAAGGTTGGGACATTGCGGTGGCCAGCCCACTGTCCGATGTCCTCGCACAGCAAAAGAAGGATGAGGAAGCCTACTACCTGCAGAAGGCGGAGGAAGAGGCCACCCTCGCGAGTTTGCCAACGGAATCGCTGAGGTAATTACCCAGGAACGGCCTTTTACTTGTATGAGAAGCTCAAAAACATATCAATCAAGAATTGCTTTGTGGTGAGGCCGTTGAACCAACCAAGTGCAAGTCACGGCACTTCCTGCTGGCCGAAGACTGGATCACTAAAGTTTGTTCCCGATAAACATTTGCACATGCCGACATCCAGTTGAAACGGCCTTTGTTTGTTGCCCAGCAGTCATGGGGACAGAGGATATCATCTCTTAGTATAACTTGTCATGGGGGTGGCAGACAAAACTCAAGGAGCTTGAACTGCAGCCTTAGTCTTCGAGAAACGCCTTCGTCAGAATCGAGAGCGGAGCAAGTTTGACATATCAATATACATATATATATATATGCATGTTTGAGCACTGGTGCCCTAAATTATCGCGGGAATTCAGGAGAGATGCACATACAGTCGTTAGTTATCTCTGCAACTGCAAGCGGTCAGACCAGCGCAGTTTTGCCAGGCCAAAGCTATGGACGTCGACGCGCCCATGGAAGCCACGTCCCGTGGCTGGAAGAGTGGAGCTATGTTTGGAAGAAGTGGCAGGTTCATTTTGACGTGCTTAGAGGCGTAGGAGGCAAATATATCACATGTACTTGGGCTTGAAGAGTTGCATTCAGGTGTGCTGGCAATCAACCACTCATTGCGTGCTTGTATTCGTGTCTTTCTGATTTGACGGTTTCAGTCCAGCTGCCACTAGAGAGTAGGCAAGCAGCTTTGATGCTGTTGTAATGTATCCCCAGACCCACCTGGTTTGAATTGTGGAGATTGTTGTTTGCGTAAGTCACTAAGTTTGTCAGCATCCGGGGCTGTGCGAGATTAGTAGTAGCGTCCTTGCCGTTGTATGTGTATATATATATATACTTGTATACATAACCTTCCCAGAAAATGGCATTTCCACGCACCACAGTGAGCACCCTGCCCGCATTTGCATTGCATCCGGCCAGGAAAGTTTTAAAGCGTTTCTTTTTTTTTGGGGGGGGGGGGGGGTTTAAGCAGTTTTGGCGCTTTAGAGCACTTTTGGATCTAAGAATAGAGACTCAAGATTCCCATCGAGCCAAGAACAAGAAACCTGGGCATCTTTAATCTTAGGTCCAAAAAGCTTCAAAGCATTTTGGGGTGGATTCAAGATTCAAGATCTAGAGTCTTGGGAATCTTGAACCCTTAATCTTGACCCACACGTGCATGAAGGCGCTTTAAAGCGTCTGCTTTCAGTCCTCCCAGTCTGGGTGTGCACCTTATCAGCCTGTTGGACTTGCCCGCGGTAAATGCAGTTGCAACTTCAGCACACGGAGATCGGAGAATGAAGTGGTTTGAAGAAATCCACACCCACCCTTGGATAGCGACAAACCATTGTAAATTCCAGGTGTTGCATGTTTCTTAGCAGGTTTTGTGCAGAACAGATTTCGTTCAGGGAAATTGGTTGCTTCAGCAGACAGCATGGCATTGGTCAAGGCATGTGCAATACGAGCAGATGTTTTGGTGTTGGCCAAGGTTTGTGAGCTGACTGGCGAAGGGGAGTTGCATATGGAGAGCCACACAATCTGGCAGAATAATATTGTTGTTCCCTTCTGTTGCCTTGCCTTGTTTTTGTTGGTTTTTTTTGGTGGTCAGGTGTCATTTGACCAGTGCCTTGTGGAGACGCTGGGGTCAGATCTCACCCTTCATCCCACGCCGCAGGGTGGGTACTTCGGGCATGTGGAAAAGGTGCACGCTCTGGGCTAGGCGGCCCGGGGGCATGCCCTTGGGAATAGGGCCTTGCTCAAAGACTCTCATTTCCGAGTTTTGAGTTTAAGGCTTATGGTCAGAAACTGGGTTTGTTCCCTTTAGACCATCTGGCTGGGTGACTCTGATCACACTAAGAGGGCCAGCTTGGATGGCCTTCATGGAGGTCAAGGGGCAGCGCGGATCTGCAATCTCGTTTGCCAAGGGTGGGAAAGATGAGCGCAGGAGACATGGAGGTAATGCAGGACAGATGCACAGTGCAGCTCCGTTGCTGGAATTTTCAGTTTGGCTCTTGGGATTTGTTCGCCCTATTTACCACTCGCAGACTCGCAGACTCGGACTAGAGACTTGCTGCTTGAGGTCTTCAGGTCTGTCCATGGGTTCCAGGCCTGACGCTGGCGCGATACGGATATTTGGATGTCTCCCAAATTTGCCCACGCACAGCTCCGGTGCGAGACGTACGTTCCCAAAACAATGTTTGGCTCTCCCGTTGACTCCCTTCGGCAGATTTGCTGGGAGCTTCCCTTGCGACATCTGGACTTGATGAACTAGAAACGGAGGTGATGCTGATGAGCGCAATCAACCGTATCACAATCATTTTGTTCCATGTTGAGGGCGCTGAGCACCTTGTCGCGCAGGAGCCACACTTGTTTCTTTTGCAGGGGATAATCCAAATTGAAATGAATTGGCTAGCTTAGAGCTAGAAGCCCATCGCGTCGACTTGACAGTCCCACCCGCAGGAGCAGAAGAGGCTGCGACAAGACGACACGGAGATGCACGCCGTGCCCGCTTAGGCAGATGAAAATATGAATGTGTTTTTTGTTGACGCGTGGTATCTTTTTTTCTGGGCTGTTGTAAAAGGACACCAAAGGACAACTACAATTTTGGGGGTTCCCCTATTTTTAGACAAGCCCATATGGAGGGGGAAACAACCCAATTGCAGCTCTGCACAAGTAAACAGGCTTGTAGTTTGGCTTGCTCCGAAAGGAAGGGGGTCCTCAGTGGGTTGACACCCAATCTTGAGTTTCTGATGAAATGGCTGGGACCTGATGTCCCTACACAAGCCAATGGGCTGGAACTCAACACGCACACAAACAATCTTCCCATGCCCTTTGGGTCGGCTTGGCTTCCGTGCCCCAAGGGTAGCGGACCCTCGACGTGTCGTGTCAGTTTCGACCGGTCTTGCAGAGAATCGCCTGGTTGGGAACCTTTTCCCGATGCCGGTGAATTGCTTCCTGCCCGCGACCAAAAGCGGTCGCCATGTTTTGAGTGAGCTTCGCTCAAGTTATGACTATGCACACATGCATGTTTTTTTGTTTTTTCTTCGTGTGAGTCAAGCATGCTGAAGCAATCGGTGCTGAGCTCCTTATGGCTGAACCCACGTTAAGTTTTCGTGAATGCTTATTGGGTTAAACGCTTCTCAGAACACTAGCCAGTTGTCTGAAAAGAGCCTTCCAGTTCCAAAAAGCACATGCGGTGGCTCTCCAATGCAAAGAAAGCCTGACTTCAAGCTAAGTGCAGAGTGCTGCATTGTGATGCCTTTAGCTGGCAAGTCAACATTGCAACCTGGACCCTGCCCGTATTTGTTAGCCGAATTTCATTCTTGGCTTCCAAGAAACGAATGCAGGCAGCGAGCTGCCTGGGGCGAGTCGCTGCGCAATCCGCAGCTGCCATGCGCAGCGCTGGCGAGCCTGCAGATCTGAATATGCACACAGCTTCAATTGTTTCGATGGCTAGCAGGTCCTGCACCACTGAATTTCAAGGCGTTCGCTATGGCATGATGCTGTTCCGCTCTTGGGTCGAATCCTATGAAAAGCTCATAACTGGCCTTTGATCGCATCCATCACAGAAAGGTAGCCTGCGGCTACCAAACAAGTGCGACTCATCGAGCTGCGCTAGCTATGTACATGTTTTTTGCAAATGCAAATTGCAGTCAGATTGCAGGTGTCCAGATGTTCGACTAGTTGTTGCATGTTAGAAACCAACAGCAGCGCATCTTGAAAATCGCAAGCAGCAAGTGCCCACTGTGCCTCATGCATGTTTAAGCGCTCAACTCACCAAGCGCATTCTATTGTATTGGCTCCATCCTGGCCACACGGGAGTGTCAAAATAATAGACCTTTTCTTCCGCCCTTCGAAGGCGAGCCTACTTGACACATGTTTTCCCAAAAGCGGACACGCGCGTTGGCGACGCCCTCCCCCCCCCAAAGATCCACCGAATGAGCCAGGGGAAAATCCAGATGAATGAACATCACCGCCTCAAGGCCTCAAGGAGGGAGAAAGAACAGCGGAAGCGAGAGTGTCCAGGATTCAAATCGGTGACTGCAACCACAAGGAATCCACTTGTAAAGCAGACTCAGGTAGACACAACAAATGTGGCATGTGAAAGCCACCGCGGAATCCAGATGCATTGACAAAGAAGCTGTGTGCTACGGAAATTTGCGAGACATGTGCTGCCTGCCCCGGGGCTGAGCTGAGGCTCTGGCAACTGAACCATTCAGAGAAGCCAGGGCATACAGGAAGTAGTAGCCAAACAGCCATCCAAGCCAGGGGTTTCGGCAAACTTTCTGAAGTTGGGTCTGATTTCTTAGAGGCATTGGTTGACGACAGTGATGTCAACGCAAGCTAGGACACACACGCAGAGGCCAATAGTAGAGAATCGAGAGATTGTTGTGCAACAGCCTATGAATGTTGAAGCTGAATGAGCACGATGCTCTGCGCTTGTTGCGCAACTGTCTCTGATTGTCTGAAAGAATCTCACATTATCAGCTTCCTCGGCGCTACTGACCTGACTTCCCTTGTGGCATTCCCGCCGACAGTTCAATGGTTCCTGGTTACAACGGCAAACCAAACGATTGTGTGCCATCAGCCATACAATATAGAATCAAACAGCAATTCTCATGACCATCAGGAAAAATCAAAATATATATATATATATATATGTGTTTAAAGAAAACAACAATCAAGGGACAACCCTGCGTCAACCTTTGTCTAGTTTGATCAGGTCTTGGGCCGTAGTTTGCTGGGCATGGCAGCGCATTCAGCTTTAGTTTTGGACCACAAGACAGAAGTGGACCGACGGATCCATGGTCCCCACCCGTCTTTTCCGTACTTGGCAGCTTGGATGTCCTTGGCTTGAGTTGATTGCTTTGTGACTGCGAATTACTCCCTGCGCAGTGTCAGCTGTTTGATGCCTCAACTTTGGATCCCGGCAACAATTGAGACCTTTGCTAACTCCTGTTGCCAAGCACACTGAGCCGGCTGAATTGCTGAGCCGACTGACTTTGGCTGCGGGCTGAAGTCATAGCTCGGCTGACTCTCGAACCAGAATCATCCGAGAAAACGGGCACACCTCGTCTGATTCGGGCGGCGACCCAGCAGTTGATAGCGGTTGCACCAGATGGTATCGCAGGTGCGGCAAGCCAAGGGTTGAAGCTGCGATGTGTTGTTTCTGTGTTCTTGCCACACGGGTGTATATTGGTTGATATACTACTCCCACCTCCACTGCAGTTGAATGAGCTTGGACTTGAAAATCGCAATGCCTAGCGCGAAGTTGTCACGGGTAGCCGATCGCGAGGACTGCCTGGACCGCTACTTCAGCGGCTTTGAAGACGCCTTGCCGAAGGCGAAGGCAGGGTCCAAAACTGCGGGATGGCTCGCCGCCAAAACCGGCAAGTGGCACAAACGCTGCATCTCACCTTGTCAAAATTGCGGCATGTATCAGAAGCATCTTTGCACATCATCAATCACATACTAGAAGTGTACGTATCTCAGGTTGCCATGCACATGTATGTTTGCAATAAGGCATGGCCGTGATGATGCCTTTGCGGGGACAAAGGCTAATCACAAATATATTTCAAAGTATTGCTCAGAGAGAGCAGCTCTGATGATTGTCTGAGAGCTCACGCGTCTCGACTCAAAATTGTAGCCCCTCAACTTCTTTCAGGAAGCGGTGTAGAAAGACCTTGTCGTGCCCGCAAAGCATGCGCCGGTTCCAGGGGCCAGCCGCTGTGCCTGCTTGAGACAAACGTTGCTTTACCTGTGGCAGGGCCAGCACCCCCCATCACCCCCGTTCCCGCCCCCGCTTTTTCACGTCCACTCCACGCCCCACGCAAAAAACAACAGCAACACCAGCTGAAGCCCGTCCAATGTGTCTGTATTTTAACACTAGGGAGCCGCAACATCTAGGGACCAACCAAATGCTTGCTCTGAAGCGGTTCAAGATATGCAATCGCGCGACCATTGCACCAGGAAACGTCGCCGCTTCATTTCCATCAACTTAGGTCTTGAACCCTTTGGGGTGAACACGAATAGACTTGACTCCATCAGCGTGCTGACCGACCCGGATTTGTTGAAAGGGACCCAGTCAGATTTCTCAAGTTTGGGGCCAAGGCGATTTCCGGTTCTGCCCTCAAGTCCACCCGGAACCCGGCACCCGGTGGATTTGAAGCCAGGGGCCGGAGCCAGAGGAGCGGCAGACATGGGGCGGCGCTGAGATGTGCCTTTGACATGCGCTTCGGCGTTGGTTTGATGTGGTGCTTGTTGTGATTGACTGCCGTTGCGTTGATTTCTTGTTAAAGCGTCCTTGAGTACCGTTGGGGTCTTTCGGTCTTGCTGAAAGTTGCCTCAACCTAAATTTTGAGGCTTGCAGAAGATGTGTTTATTGCTGCAACGGGCGGCGTTTCCTAGATTCATTGTAAGTCTAATTGGTTGTTTGAATTTGGGCCCTGTAAGGCTGATAGGCTGGCACTCCGTGGGCAAACCTCGAAGCCAAAGCATGAGAGAGTGGCTTGGATACCACCGTGAAACAGCCATGGTTCCCTCAGGGATGACTCAAGATGCACAAAGAGCACTCCATGTTTGAACGAGTGCATGGACTAGTACAACGAGATGTTTGGTGTGCAGCCCCCAAAAAGCATTCACTGGGAGTTTGAGGCGTTTGATCACTGGATTCCTGAGACTGCTCTCAATTGCACTTCTGCTTTGAGTCGCTGTGTGCATGCAAACTATAAAGCTGGGAAATGGCACGCTCCAAATGGCTGGTTTCATGCTGGTGCCCCTCAAAAAGGCTGTTGCCTTGCATAGGCGAGCTGTCGTTGGACATATTTAGAGAATTGGTGAAGTTCCGCTCCAGGAGTTTGGCAGTCCCTCACTCCGACGCTCACAATTTCAGCTACAAACCATACCCCCACTTCCACTGAGTCATGCAATTCCCAGAGGGATTTTGCAAACAAAAAGAAAGAAAGGAGCAGGTCCGGTCCTCTGCATTCAAGGCAGCTGGCAGGTTCTGAGTGCCTGTGTTTCAACGTTGGAGTGTACTGCTAGAGCCGAATTCCGCCAGTTTTTGTCTGGGTGCTGCTCCGCATTTGGGTTGCGATGGATCGCATGTTCCGTAGAGCCATGGTTGCGATCCATCGACGGGGAACTCGACAGGAGTCCAGTTCCTCTGGCGAGAGCAGCTCCGGCAAGGTGTGGACATGGCGTTGCGTGTCTTTGTTTATTTGTTTCAGCTTAGTTTATTTATTGGTTTGTTTGGCTGTTTGCTTTTGTGCATGTGTGTTTGTTTGCTTTGTTTGCTTTGTTTGTTTGCTGGTTGGTTGGGTGCCTGGCTGGCTGGCTGCTGGCTGGCTGATTAATTGGCTGGCTGGCTGGCTGGCTGGTTGGTTGGTTGGTTTGATGGTTGGTATGTTGGTAGTCGGCCGGGGATTTGAACTTTGGCCCACAATGTCGGATCAGGCGTGTTGAGCATCCAGTAGTTCAGCTTGCCAAGCTGTGCTTCGCCCAAAATGCCAGGGCTGGATGTTTTGTCGCAATCATGGTCAAAATATCCAGTTCTCTATTGTCCATTTTGGAGGGACATGGGGGGGACTTACAATTCTCAGACACGAAGCGCGGATTCAATACGTTTCGCAGGTCCTTTGAGGAATGCACATTAATCATGGCTTAGATGTGGAAGCATGCATGCTCTCCTCGGGATTCCATGTTGCTATTTCCCTCTGGGCAATGTCTGTCACTCAGGCAAATGTGGAGATGAATAGCACCTGCTCAGATCTTATGTATATGTATATATATGTATATGTGTGCATTACCTGGTCACAACATAGCTGTTCTTGGCAAGTTGGCCATACACGTTTCGAAGCAGGTGGGTTTTGGTCCAACTGTCTGTGGGACAGAACAAAACACCTCAAGCCGGCACCTTCGGAGCAACTTCGGTGCTAGGTTTTTTGGGCAGCGTTTGTTAGTGGTTTTTTCATGGGGCTATGGGTCAAAATTAAACCACCAGGGGACCACAGGTTTTGGTCCATGTTTCCACTTACTAGGGTTCCATAATTTGGGGTGCCTATTTTTGACCCACAGCCATGTCCAATTTCCAGCTGTTTTCCTCTGTCGCCAGACGCCGCCCACCTGCCGGCCACAGCGGAAGCTCCGGAAGCTGCAGAGTCGGGGCCTGAGCAGACTTGGGTAGGTTTTTTTTCAGTCAAAAAGCTCTGGATATGGGTGTCTGCTTTGTTGAGGGTGCCCTTTTCACGTGGGTTTCAAGGCCGAAGGAAACACTTCGTTGCTCGGAAGCTGTGTGCATCTCCCTTGATTACCTTTGGGGCCCGGGAGGCTTGGCAGACAGCATTTGGACAAGGACCGAAGCAGAAAATGACGACACGCCAACAAATCATGTTGTTTTCCCCCACAGAGTTGCGTGAGGAAGGGGGGTTCAGTGTTGGGGGGGATAAATTAATAGCCAAGCCTATGGCTAGTACTAGAACATCATACAAATACATATATACATACTTTGGTGCATTTTGCTTGGATGTTCGGACTTTAGCTTTTTGCCAACTAATTGGTTTTCCATTAAACCACTAAAAGTTAAACTTTTAGCAGGGGAGCAGAAAGCAACCCAGCACATATATATATATATATATATATTCAATGATTGGGTAGGAGGGGAGTTTTCACAGTAACGTGGCACTGAATGGCAAGTGTTGGTGTGGTCGAATTGGCTTGAATATTGGTGCAAGCGACAAGATCAGGGTAAAAGATGATCAAACCATATCAAACCACTGAGAGTGGAAATCGGTTTGGGATCCCTTCACCAGGGCCATGTTGACCCTTTCGGAGGGCTCCGAAGGGGCAATGTGTGGTAGCGCTCTACCCATTTGCTACATCCCATTTGGGTCATACCTTTGCTCCTCGCTTCCTTTTCGCTTTAGCGCCTTCCTCAAGGAAGTCCGTCCGAAGCTTCTAGTTGCTTCGGCCCAGAGTCTTTCACCCGGCTCTCAACTGTGTTTGTTGGTGGCATCCGGCATTGCAGGCCGATCCCCGCATTTGCTCAGCGAGCTGCCTGCTAACTCCTTGTTTGAGAGAATTGAGCCCTTTTGGACGAGTGAACTGTGCGATGAACAGTTGTTTGCTTGGTGAGAGAAGATCGCTGCCCTAAATTGTTGAAATGCCCTGTCTTCATCAGGTTCTTGTTTCCTCGGCAAATAGCACCAGTGCCACATATAGCCACGCATTGCCGAGGCAAAGATGTGAGCGTCGTTTGTTGCCAAGTACACGGCCTGTTTCGGTAATTCTTTGATGTCCAGTTCTGACCATGGTTTTTCGCTTGGCGCATCCGCATTATCACTCCAGGTCCAAATCCTGAGGCTCTCTGAGGAGTGAGCGTCAACAAACCAGCCAATTCCCCATGTGTGTGTTTGACCTGTTATTTGCAGTACTTTCAGCACACGGGACTCTAAGAGACCACCTCAGTGACTGCGCGCGGACTTGCGCCGCGGAAGTCCGCGTCATTCCGCGTCAATCTGCATGAACGGAAGAGTTCGGGGTCAGTTGCAATGGACCACACGCGTCAAACCCTACTGGAGCACATCACACCAACAGCACCGCCCAAAACCTGCAGATTTGCCCTGTTTCCACAGCGAAATCAGACATCACCAGTCTTCTATACTTTCCAGAGCGCCTGAATGAACGCCTGACTTGACGAATCCACTCCCATGCATTCTGGGGCGGATTTCAATGCAGCAAGTGCATGTTGGCCATTGCAACTGATCCCGGCATCTTTCGTTCATGCAGATTGACGCGGGGTTCCGCAGCGTCAGTCCGCGCGCAGTCACAGGTGGTATGAGGTCTCTTAGAGATTCTTAGAGTCTCATGTTCTGAAAGTATTGCAATACCATGTCAAAACACACATGAGGACTTGGCCGGTGGCTTGTTTCTGCCAATGAACGTTGTTTTGTTGCAAGGGGTTGTCCCCCCCCCCCCCCCGTTCCACACACACACACAGCTCTGTGATTGGTGGAGCCGACGTACTGCAAGTTCTGATGAGTCTCTCGGAGAAATTTGGGGTATGATCCTCACTCCAGCTCGACCATTTTTCCTCAAGTTTGAACATCCGGACGTTTCTTTTGAGGGTTTTCTTTTGGAGGTTGGCTCCAAGGGAACCCCATGGGAAGCTTGAAGCCACCATTTTCGGAGTGGGGACAAGTCTGATTGCCGCTTCAGTGACTTAGGTCGCAGTCAGAGCGATGATGCGCCCTGGCCTCAGCACATGTTGGGTGCGCGCATGACACCCTCACGATCCACAACCCGGGTGAGCGAAGCTTTGAGGGTGAATGGCTTGGGATCCACCAGGTGTTCCGAATCCTTGCATCACGATCCAGGGGTGGCCCAAAAGGTCTGTACTTACTTCTCTGTATGTCGTTCCACGTGCACGGCGCTGCTTATTGTGTTGCTTTTTGCTGATTGGTGCACCTGGGTTGGCCAAATCGTCTCAGGCCAGAGCCAGCTGAAAAGGCAGCTGCCGAAGAGGAGGTCAGCGCAGTAGCTGCGCCATCATCATGCGTCAAAAAGGCAGCCCACGTCATCAGCAATGCCAGTCCATTGTCAAGGGGAAACGAGCAACAGCATGGCAGAAGCAAGGGCTCCTAACACATAAAAGACTAGCCAACCAACCAACCCCACGACAAACCATGGCATCTCATCCTACTCACTCGCGAAAGGAGAGCTCCTCTTCCAGCAGCTCCTCCTCCAGTTGCGCGCCCAGTCGATGGTCGATGGTGGCGCTTTTCGCGACGCACAAGTGGTTGGTGCTCGAGTCTAATGTGTTCAGTGTATTGACATCTGGTTTGGCTGACGATTGGCAGAGGCGCTTGTTCACGATCAACTCGACTGCATCAGAATACTTCAAATTGGTAGTACGGATGTAGTGCAGTGCTATGGGGCCCCACGCGAAGTCGGTACATCATAGCGACCAGCCCTTTCGGCTTACCTGAAGCCAACGTGAGCCGAAGCGTGAGGAATGGCATGCCAAAGCAAGCCAATTTGCTACAACCTCCCTGACATTTAAAGCTAGACGTGTACTGTACTTTTCTGTACATGTTTCTTACTCCGTGCAGGATATTGTTCATGTTCTGTAGTGGAGCAGCTCTTCGGGTGTAGCCATTCAAAGAATAGGAATACAGGCTATCCAGTTGGCAGCAATGCGCCTGTTGTTCGGTGTAGAGGAACAAGATGAACCGCCGGAGTGTTGCTGAGTCAAGCTGTGACACTATGTGTTGCGAAGTGCATACATCCGCTACATCTGGCTCCAAGCTTGCAGCACACGTCTGCTATGTGTGTGTGTGTGTGTGTCGTTTGGACGAACTTTGGCATTTGTACAGCTGACAAGAACTCGCTTCGAAGTCACAAAATTCTTCGAGCGTAGAATTGACGAACAGCCTGTTCATCCAACGCAAAGACAGCGCTGCCTTTTCCAACGCAATAGCCGTCCCCATGGGAAAACTCTGCAGTGTGCCCCAAGTGAAATCTAGCAGAAAGTCAAAGGCCCAGCTTTGACATGTCAGGCGTTCTGCTCTAAACACGTTTCTTTGCGATGCGCCATCAGAACCTGCCTGGTACCGATTCAGACATCAAAAGAACGTTTAGGGGTTTGTGCCGCATGTTCCACATTCTTGCCTTCCTCGCAAACAACTTTACACTTGCAAGATCCATACCTATGTGATTTGTTTTGCCACATTCAGATCAAACCCGGGCAAGGACTTGATTTGATGGTGCGCGGGTTGATGCCGTGTGCTATGTCAGATGGAGTTTGAGCGTGCGCTCTTTCGAATCCATCAGTTGCTTAGCTACCAAGAAGCTTTAGACACGTTGCAGGTCGCGACGGACTTGGCTGTTGCTTGAAATTGCTTTGCAGATTAGCAGGGTACCCCCAAACCCTCATTCGTCTTTATTTGCAGAGGAACCTGCTCTTTTGCAGGCCCCGTGTCCGCTGATTTGGGGCCAGGGGGCCAGGGGAGTGAATCTCAGTGGGCAAAGGGCGCAGCCCATGAAGTGCGGTTGCACCTCTAACCCAATCCGTGTCTTGAACATGGTTGGGCGCTGATTGAGCAAGTGCACTTGTTCCTTTTTGGTTTTATTTGAGTGATTTTAGTCTCTCGATAGACGCGCGCCTCTTGAGTTCTCTGAGAGTGACTTCTGCAAAGGAAGGCGCTGCTCACTGGACCTCTGCGGCGACTGCGGCTCCAGCTCGAAAGAGTCCTGCCCCTGTTCATCGCGGTGCCTCGACTTAACTGAACCGCCGGCTTGCTCGAATTCAGTGAATGGTCCTCAATCCCTAGAGGACGTCAGACTACCATGAGGATTTTCATTGAGATGACCGCGAATGCCTGCAGGGCCCAAAACAGCCAATCGTTCTCAGCGTGGACCGAAGCCATTGACATCGCAGGCACCAGTTGAAGTGCTGGGTTTCTCTTAAACTCACAGGACCCCAAAATGGTTGGTTTGCTTCTGGCTTCCCAATCAAAGCCACCCCAGACAGGGTACCCTCAGAAAAGACACACCCAGCTGTTGAGTTTGTGCCCAGGTTCAGATCGTTGTCCTCGTGGCACTGCATCGCGCCTATGTGGGGCAGTCCAACTGTTTGCCACAGGTCCTGCAACATGCGGGTCTGTGGAACGACGCTGGGCTGGAAGCTTGGAAGTTGAAGGGGCAGAACTCGGCAACCTTCTGAGAAGTCTGAAGTGTATCAGTGTCGTGTTGGCCAACCGTTTGACCTTTTGGTGAGCCGGTCGTCCAGAAAGTTGTGATATGTTATCATTCGGACGGCAAGTCTCACAACGCGTTGGTTTTGGGCGAGTTTCAGTTCAGCCTGGGTTGCTTTTGCTTCCTTGCAATGATGTGACCCAGAGTCGAGCATTGTTGCTGGCCAACATATTATATGCGCGACTGCCTTTATTTTCAGAAGACTACAGTACAGGCCGGGCGGATGCGTTTTCGGGGTAACATACTGAATCAGGTACAGAACGAGGTAGGAGCACCTCCAAAACGAGGTGGAGCCATAACATACAGGTGGTGAGATCACAAACACATTGACATGCGGCGTTCGAGGTGGGAACACCCGACCATTCAACCATGCAGCAAATAGCTGCCGTGGCTCCTACGTTGCCTTTGGTTCTCACAAACTAAGCGCTTAAGGCGGCTCAGGCTTTTTGTCTGACTGTTGTGTATTGGCATGTGTTGACACTCAACAGCCAGTTGCAGCAACGAGGAAGTGCAGGTTCCTGAGATGGTTCGTGAGTCAAGAGGAGAAACTGCTCAGGCACACCAGTTTGAGCAACATTCTGTCCAGTGGCAAGTTGGTCCCTAGAGCTATTTCCGTTTATCTCACCCCGTTCGGGGAATGCGCTTTCTTGGAACCCTAGCAATTGGCTCAACACCTTGGGGTGGCCATACACATTGGTTTGAATTCGGCCATGAGCAATCTGATTGGTAAAACCTTGCATGCGGTCGCGCTTGTGCTGCTTAAGTTCACATGATACGTATGCATATAAATATAAACATACAGTCATAATTATATATAGACACCTGCATGTACACGGCATAAACATGTGTTGATCCGCATGTCGAGTTCTGCTTGAAATCAACAGCAGTCCTGCAAGCTGCCCTGGAACCTTGCACCTTTCCCCCTCTACGCAGCAACACCTTCAATGTTACTTGTTTTTTTTCTCCCATGGGGTGGCGTTTGTTCCTGTGATTGTTTGGGCACACGGGATTGGTACACCACATTTCTCATGCTTGTCAGGGGCCCAAAGAGGAACCATTACAATAGGGCGCTCAAAAGGAACCCTATCAGCCTCTACGGTTGCCCCGTGTTCAGATTGGGGGGCGACCCTTGCCAACCATTGAAAGTCAGCCAGGACACCTTGTCCCAGCCGGTCCTAGCGGACGACGCAGTGCTCTTTCTCAGCCTCAGCAGTGGTGATGGCATCACCGACCTGACCTTCGTAGAAAAAACGCAGCTCGGAACGGGCTTGGGGGGTCCCTCACGGTGCAGTAGTTGCAGCAAGACGTCATGCAATGCACCATAGCGGCAAGGGCACCTCGAAGGTGGTGTGCGGTCAATGCCTAGAATTTGCAAGTTGGTAGCCATCATGGAAATTGCCCAAACTTAGGGTGGTGTACTGAAGGACTCTACGGTATGTGACTGCTTTTCAGGAAATCAGCTTTGCAATTGCAACGCTGGTTGGTTAAGGTTTGATCAAAACAATTGTTCATGTTCCATCTAATGACTGTTGTTCCTTTCCTTGAACTCGCCCCAAAACGGACCCGTCTCGTTCCCACATCATTTTGGGTTCTCTGGTCGCCTTTCCCAGTCCGAACTCCTCGGTGGTGTTCAGCGAGAGCAACTCGCTGGCGCTGTACCGCTTTGCGCTGGACCGGGAACTGGCACAGCTGCGGAAGGGGGTCTTCCAACGCCACAATTTCGAGGCGCGGGAAGCTGCATGTTGCCGAGGAGTTTGGGATCGGATTGACAAGACCTTCCAGCGCTAGGCCGTTTGGATCGAACTGGGCATGCCATGTCCTAGGTCAACAGGAAGTGGTGCTACATGGCTAACATGGTCATCTCGCAGAGCAGCTTGTGGGTATGCCATGTTCCTTACTTGGCAATGTTTGGTGCGAAATGCGCAGCGATGCGCACCAGAACATGGTGGTTTGTCTGCAGGGTTTGTATGCAGCTCGCCCTTACTTAACGAACTTGGCGGCGTAAGAGTGCATATGATGTAAGTCTCCACTTGCCCGTCCAAGCTGGAGCCATTCATGTGGCGCACGTTATGTTGGAGGGCGTTGCCAACTTCGTCCTGCATTGGATTGGACGCGTATTGGTGGATTTCCCGATCGCAGCCACTCAGCCACTCAGCCACTTGGAGTGGCTGAGTGGCTGAGTGGCTGAGTGGCTGAGTGGCTGAGTGGCTGAGTGGCTGGGGAGTGGCTGGGGAGTGACCGAGTGGCTGAGTAGGTGGCTGGGGGTCAAAGTGGCTGAGTGGCTGGGGGCAGAGGGGGTAAAGTGGCCGGGGGTCGGAGTGGCTGGGTCAGTGGTGGAGGGGCTGAGTGGCTGGGGAGTGGCTGGGGAGTGGCTGGGGAGTGGCTGAGTGGCCGGGGATCAGAGTGGCTGAGTGGCTGAGTGGCTGAGTGGCTGAGTGGCTGAGTGGCTGAGTGACTGAGTGGCTGAGTGGCTGAGTGGCTGAGTGGCTGAGTGGCTGAGTGGCTGGGTAGAGTGGCTGGCAGTTTCGATCTTGGTGAATTGGATAAACAAGTAAACAAGTGCTCCTTTGTGAGAGTGTTTTTTCCTCATTTAATTAAGCCGTGAAAAGGGAAAGAAGGGACCTCTTTGTGAAAGCGTCTTGCCCCGTCCAGAGGCGTAATCAACTACGAATTGCGCTATTGCCATGATCTCGAATGTTTGTTTTGACCACGTGAAGAGGGCGCTTTGTGAGAGTTTTTTTTCCGCATTCAACGACCGTCCAGGGAGCAATGTACTACGAAACGATGTGCTTCTATATTGGCCGTCGCAATTGCCCCGAAAAGGGGGCCCTTTGCGAGAGTGTCTTTGTCCACGTTCAAGGAAGCCATAAACATTGCAAAAAGGCACTTTGACAATGGCTCTGTTTTTTGAGACCTAGGCTGTCAAGACATCTGCCTGCGTTTTTTTTTTTGACCGCTAAGCCCGAGTACAAAGTAAGAGAAGGGACCCCATTGTGAAAGCGACTTGCCACATCCAGGGGAGTAATCAACTACGAAATAACTATTGCCATGCTCGAAAGTTTGTTTTGACTCAAGGAAGCCATAAAACAACAAAAAGGCTGAGTGGCTGGGGGGGCAGGCACTCCAAGTGGCTGAGTGGCTGAGTGGCTGCGGATCAGTTTTCACCCGGATCGCTCATCCTCTCTGTTATCAAATGTCGTGCCACCACGGCAGTTCTCGTGATGCTTGCTTGCTTTCATGACTGGTTGTACAAGGGCTCTGGTCGCTGGAACAGCGGCGTGTTTGTTCTGGCGCGTGATGATTGGCTTGTCGTATTTGCAGCGGCTGCAGTGGCAAGCGGCTACGGAACCACGCGCAATAGTAATGTATACAAGCCGGTTCTGCTCCAAGTTTGAGGTGCTGTGGATGTTTGTGTCCTCTAGTGGCAGTTTTTCCAGCATGATGCCACACAAGTGCAGGATTGTGCAGGGTTGTCAATATTGAAAGTAGCCAAACGGGTTGTGTTAACATCGGTGTTCAGCTACCCGACGTTTGTAGTTGAACGTTGGCTTTATCTAATGCGAGGTAGGCAGCACAGGCTCATGTGAATGGCCTTTGGACTACTGGCGTAGTCGTGCAGAACATCCTGCCAGTGTCACGCGACCTAGCTGGGCACTGCGCAGCACGAATGGCGAAGCGAAACCAAAAGCTACATGCTACATCTTTCAACGTAGAGCTTGAACCCTTGATATTCCGAAGGTCCATGCTACTTGCCAGTTGCCAATTTTGACCCCACATCTTTGCAGACAGGTCTGAAGAGGTGTGTTCGCGCCGTTTCGAGGTGCACAACGTCTCGTTGTCCGTGAACTGCTACTGGGCCTATGGGTGATGGCTGGGCGCCGGTCAACCACCATTAACCGGAACCTCAACCAACCTAAAGGCCATCAAATAATAGGACTCCCAGAGAACGGTGACAGACAAATGATGCAAGGAAAGCCAACACAAACCAAACACACCAACCCAACAAAGCCGGCGCAAGTGCGCGCATCCACGCCCCCACGCGCACAATCCGACCCCACACCACACGCAGGGCACTGACTTCAGTCTGAGGTTTGGCTCCCTACGGCCCCTTGGCGCAGGCGCTGCAGGTCTTCGATGCCTGGGACGGCCTCGTGATCAATGCACCTCGGGCCGGTGGGGTTGGCGGGTTTCCGCGTGGATGGCCCCAGAGATTTGTCCGGAGGCCTTTTGGGTTTACGTTTAGTTTGACAATAGACGTGGTCCCACCGCTTCACTCTCTTTAGGCGAACTTTGGTTCCCACAAAGAAAAACTAGAAGACAGGTGGCACGAAAGCATTTTTGCGGCGCCGGCGCTCGTGCTCGAGGAAAGTTGCTGCGCGCCAGTGCTTTGTAGCGGAGTGATTGCCCAGAGGGAGGTGTTGCTTGCGTGCTGTTCGCATGCAGCACTTGGCCGCCGCATCTGTCAAACTCTTCAAGCATCAAACGCAAGCAAATGAATCCGGGGTGCAGAGATGTTGCCAAGGAGGACGTGTGGCTTGTGTGTTGGCCGGACGTTGCTCTGCGCAAGTTGCTTAGTGCAAGTGACCATGCCGATCTCCGCAAAGGGTGGGTTCGCTCCCTCCGTGCCGCCTCAAAAGACTAAGCTTAATCTCGTGTGTAAATTTCTTCGTGCGTGCTCGAAGCTGTGCATATAATTTCGCTATGCGTTTCTCCGTGCACTTTTCCTGTACAATTTATCTTGCATTTCGCTATGCATTTCTCTGTGCACTTTCCCTGTGCAACTTCATGTAGTTCGCTATGCATTTCTCTGTGCACTTTCCCTGTCTGTGCACTTTCCCTGTGCAACTTCCCTATACGTCTTTCGATCTCCATTTCTCTACGCGCTTTCCGTGTGCAATTATCCTGTGCAGGGTACAGTTTCCCAGCGCATTTCGCTGCACGTTTGCTTTGCAATTTTCGCTATGCCTTTCTTTGTGCAGTTTCCCTATGCATTATCTGCGCATTTTGCTTCGCATTTCTCTGTGCACCTTTGCTATGCAATATTCGCCATGCATTTCTCTGCGCGCTTTCCCTGTGCAATTTCCCTATGTATTTCGCTATGCTTTTCTCTGTGCACTTTCGCTATGCATTTCCTGCGCATTTCGCTTCGCATTTCTCTGTGCACACTTTTGCTTTTGCTATGCCTTTCTTTGTGCACTTTCCCTGTACAGTTTCCCTGTGCATTTCGCTCCGCTTTCTTTGTGCACATTGCCTGTGCAATTTCCCTTCGCATTGCGCTGCGCATTTCTTTGTACACTTTTGCTATTGCTATGCCTTTCTTTGTGCACTTTCCCTGTACAGTTTCCCTGTGCATTTCGCTCCGCTTTCTTTGTGCACATTGCCTGTGCAATTTCCCTTCGCATTGCGCTGCGCATTTCTCTGCGCACTTTGCCTGTGCAAATGTTGCATTTCACTGTGCAGTTGAGCTGTGCGAGCACTACGATTTTACCTCAGGAACCCTTCGCAATGCTTTCGGGAACAACATACATTACATTCCCACTGGGTGCTCCACTGTTGCGTGGCTCGAAAGATTATTCACATGAGCACGATTTGACATGCGCGGCGTTTACGCGTGGCAGTCTCACCCAGCCGTGACCGCACTTTACACTTTTTTCCTTGGTGGCCTTCCCTTTGTTTTAGTGGTGACCCAAAAAGTGTGCACTGTTTTTGGGGCTGGTCACTGGCCAAGTGAGTAATGTTTCAGAGGGATGCTATGTAATAATTTGGGTTTAGTTTTTGGATGCTATGTTGGGTCACTGCTGCGCAACGCTTTGTCGCACTCCACGTACTGAAGCACTCGTACGGATATCTTGCAACAAAAGCCAGCGGATTGTGGAGCTTACTCCGGCCCCAGCCCTCCTCCCACCTTTTCCGCCCAGTGCGTGTTTTGTGACGGTACCCTGTTTTTGGATTGAAGGGAACCAAACAGGACCACCAATTTGGGGGTCCCATTGTGTGACACATAGTATCTGAGGAGCTGGCCTACGGTTTTCATTCCCGGGGCTTTTTGGAGCGCCTGCAAAATGACGAGACCTTGGAAGCCTGGGCTTGGACAGAGGACCAGGCCAGGGTTTGGGGGGTTTGGGGGTTTGGGGGTTGGGGGGTTTGGGGGTTTGGGGGTTTGGGGGGAGCCCTTGGATCTTGACAGCAAGTCCCGAACATGTGCTTCTGGGTGCGGAACAACCCACATTCATGTGCGATTTGTTGCCAAAAGGAAACGGAAAGGGGATAGGTGATTTGCCTGATCCCTTATTTAGCACCGAGGCCTGCTTAGCTAAATACCTGTTGGACGAATATGTCGTTGGGTGTCATTCGGCTGCTTTGAATGCTCCAAAATGTCACGAAGTCTGAAGTCCTTGTCCAGCTTCTCAGATTGTTGGTGATGCCGACCCAAATAATTGTGGCTGCCTTGTTTTCCTTCTTTCGGAGCTGGACGGAGCCGTTTTGTGTTTGTGGCTGCAGGTCTTGGAAGACCTGAGCATTTTTTGTCCATCAGACCATGTGCAAGGAAGCAGGGCCACGACTATTCCTGGGAACATGTCAGAGTGCCTTGTTTTGGTGGTACCCTTTAACGGGCTGGTTTTATGGGAAACGAACGGGAAACCATTTTGTGGGTTCCCCCATTTGAAGACAAACCCATGTATTATATACTACTACGGACAAAGGAAGCAATGACCGCTCCAAGACTCAATGCTTGGATACTCGGGCAACAGACAACGCATATGACAATTGCAGGTGTGTACCACCACCGCCCATGATGCAGGTAAGCTCATGTCAGCAGAACACATGTTTGGATTTTGATCTAGCATGATGTTCTGCTTTCAGTTTGCTTTCAAACTGATCTTGCCATGTTGGTAGCAGCAGGCATCAAATGGTCAAGTGCTGTCTGGTCGTTGTGTGCTGTAGAAGTCGAATGATGCATCTACCTGCACTTGGTCAAACCCTGGGTCCACCGCGTCAAGATCAGATTGATTTCTCCGCAACCTTCCGGAGATGCAGGCTCCTTTTCCTATGCCCTATTTTGACTTTGGCCGTTTCCAGGCGTTATCAAAGTCAGACCTTGGCGTCGCATCCGATTAAGCTATCGGAGCTGGGGCCCGTCTTCAGTGAAATTATGCCTCAAAACGAGTTCCATCGGACAGGCCTTTTCGATAGCGTATTGAAATCTTGGCTCCCAGCCATCCCCTTAGCCTTTTTGACTTTTAGTGTTTAGTGGGGGTTTGCATTTGACCCACCAGAAGTTGAACTTTTAGCAGGGTATCTGAGGGCAGCCCAGAAATGGGACACCTGGAGGCTCCTGCCAGCCGGTTGCATCGCTCGTTTGGACGCCTTTGGGCATATAACCTGCCCTGGTGATACATATTCGTACTTACCCTATCCAATGTCAAAGATCCAGGTGAGCTGTTCAAGCCTCGAACTCCTCAGGCGAAGATTTCCCCTGAGGCTCCCAGTCATGTTGGGTGTTTCGCCCAGGTGGAGTCTCAGGGCCACTCCCTGGTGCTCTCCTTGTTACGGAAGGCCATGTTGCTTCTCAGCGCCTCTTTGCGCCTCCGCCGAACGGTTGGTGGCTTAAAGAGACCCTTGCGCACCCAAATCTAACTTTGGTACGGGTTCTCCACTGGGCACCTGGAGTGTGTGGTTTGTGTGCCTGTGTGTGTGTGTTTTCTTTCATTTATTTGGATTTCACCGTATTTTGGGATAGATTGGGGAATCGGTGGCTCAGTGGTTTGATTGGGTGGATTGGGTGGATTGGTTGGTTGAGATTGGGTGGGTTGGGTGGCCCTGTGCAGATAGATCCAGAGTTCCCTCGCGGTTTCATGATCGATTGCCAAGCTGCCAGCAAATTGCAAGACATGGCCGCGCCACAGGGCGTGATGTAGATTACTGCGCAAGGTGGCGGGATGCATGTTGCTGTGCAAGGTCACCCTGGCGGAAACTTACCCTCTTTCCAGCGATCATGGAAGGGGAGAGGGCTTTTGGAAGACTACCATTTGCTTGCAAAAGGGTTGGACAAGGTTTGCCTTCCCAGCTTGACCTTTTCTGGCTGGAGGGATGAGGGAACGAGCTTGGTTATGAAGGTCGGCAATTGGCCGTTTTCCTGACAGACGATTCCCTCGCAGGGCACGGCAGGGTGATTAATATGTAGGTTGACACCTCTTCCTCATGGACCAAGATTCAGGTCCTTTTAGCCGACAGAGTGCATGGTTTGCAATTTGAGTGTCAAACACGCGAAATACAGAGGTTATTTCTGCTGAGTTTTGAATGCAACAGCGAGAAGTACCAAAGGCTCATGAGTTTGTCAGAAAGGTGCTTTATCACATGCCTTGGAGGACGTGTGTGTGTGTGTGGGCCAGTATCGTTGAGAACAATTATCTCCAGCAAAAAAGGAGTTCTGCATGTTCTTTTCCAGCGACTTGTGGTTATCCCTTAGGGTTGACGGGCAAAACGCACTTGCCCTCCGACAATCTTAGAAGAGGACAAGGTTTTTTCAAGACGCAGTTTCCAATCCCTCTTTTTTTGTTTTCTTGTCTTCTTCTCTCCTCTTCTCTTCTCTTTTCTTCTCTTCTCTTGTCTTCTCTTCTCTCCCCTCTGTCAGTGCCAAATTGTACGTGATTCGTATTTCCCCCTCAAACAACACCAACATGAAATGCATATCTTGTTTGGGTTTGTTCCTTTTCATTTGTTCCAGCTCCTCAGCTCCCAAGGCAAGCTCCTCTCTTGGAGCTCCATGTCCCGTGTCCCTTGGTACCTTCTAACGAGGTACTGAACGACCCCTTTTTACCCCCCACCCCCCCCAAAAAAAACAAAAGAAGAAGAACAATAGACATCCTCATGAGGTACCAAGGGATTTTCTGTGTTGAATGTTGATTCGCCGATTCGCCCGAGGTCCTTCGGTCTGATCTCCGCCGTCACGGGGCTCTTCATCCGCATCGCGGTGCATGGCTCGGCGGTGCTGATGTTCCCCATGGCCCTGGCGGCCCAGCAGCCCAACCAAAGTGAGGCTTACTGCAGTGCGAGTTCCGTTGGCCCAGGTGCCATCTGGCCGTGGTTGTCAACACCGTTTTGGGATCCATTTTTTGGGGGTTTTCGCTGCACCAATCATGTTAGAACCTAGTTTAGTGGGGATTGGGATGTTCACGGACGGGGTTTTGACCCATAGTCTTATTGGCTTCCCTTTGGAATTGTCCCCTTGCCCCCCTTCCCCGCTAAGATCTTTTCCCCCCTCATCCCCCCCTGAGATCCCTTTGCACCCTAAGACCTTTTCCCCCCCTGAGATCTTCTCCCTTTTCCTCCCTAAGATCTTTTCCCCTCTTTCCCTGTTGAGATCCTTTCCCCCCTTTCCCCCCTAAGGCCTTTTCTCCTTCTGAGATCTTCTCCCTTTTCCTCCCTAAGATCTTTTCCCTCCTTTCCCTGTTGAGATCCTTTCCCCCCTTTCCCCCCTAAGACCTTTTCCCCCCCTGAGATCTTCTCCCTTTCCTCCCCAAGATCTTTCCCCCGTTTCGCTGTTGAGATCCTTTCCCCCCTTTTCCCCCGATTCAATCAAGTCGAACCCTTTTTTAGAGAACCCCCCAAACCCCCCCTATGGGAACAGAGTCCCTTTTTTGGGATGATTGTCCAATTTTTTGCGAGCTGCACGGAATGCACGTGCTGGATGTCCAAGTGTAGACTACTTGCCTTTTCCGTAAATTCTGACCACGCTTCATGTGACCTGGTTTGGCTTGAGCATGGCATGACCAGTTGTATGTTACACTGCTGGATGACCAGTAGTTGTTGCGACTTGGACCCTTAAGCCGGGCAAAGCAAAGAAGCAACACCATATCTGCGCAGTGCAAACATCTAATAACTTCGAATGAGGTTTAATCTGAACCACTGTATGTTCGCCGCTAATATCCCTAATAATTTGAACCGGGGAATCTACCTTCTGAACAACCCCCCTATCATGCAACTCCATCCATTCAGCCACTGCCAGTATATTTGTCGCCTCAAGTGTCTGCAATCACTCTAACTTCTCGTGTTCTCCACCACCAAGTACCCCGTCCTGCACCCTTACATGTCCCAAACAAATAGAAGCAGGGGAGTCTGAACAACTGCAGTCCTCTTCATTCGATGCGGATCAGGATCTGTTTGCTACGCAGTGCATTCGTTTGCCCACGCCTCCACCTCGGTCGCCCACATCTGTTTGCAGGATCTGGCGGCCTAATGCCACCACTGAGCTCCTTTGTGTTTTCTCAAATCATATAGCTCAAGGTGCTTGAAACCATGGAAAACGATAGGGGACTCAAAAAAAAGCGATACCTTTGTGTTGCAGACCAAACGCTGGAAAACGATAGGGGAATCTCTAAATTCGAACGTACGTACTGTGAACAGCAAATTTTGACGGAACTTCATATGGCCATTCCATTGGGGCGGCTGAGGTACTTGGGCATGAGCACCAGCCGCATGAGTCTGCACATCTTGTCCCGCAGCTTTCCCTGGATCGGCGTGCACGTGGACGTGCTGCGCGCGGGGAACCGCCCCCTGTGGCCGCTCTTCCGGTCACACCTGGCGGCTGGGCTTCAACATTGGACTTGCGCCGAGCATGGGGCAGGCAAGCCCAATCTCTAGCACCCAGGTGTCAGGTGGCCTACTATCGCGACCCAACTGACAGGTACAGGAAACACAAAAGAGCAAACTGAACAAAGCGCAAACACTGCTTGCAACCGGCCACGAAGCAGTGGTTTGACTTGGTGGCAAGGTTGTTAGCTCATGTTTCAGGTGATATTCTTGTCACAGGCGGCACTGAACTCTTACAGGAAAATGTGTCTTGTGTTTCTTGTTGCGATTGTTTAGCAGCCTGTGCTTGGAGGAGGCTGTTGTGTTATCCAGGAAGCACTGCATGAATTCTGTTTCAGAAGGATGCCGGCTTGGTGATTCTGCCGTGAGTGTTGAGCAAGTCATTATAGAACTAGCCAAGTCAAAGCAATGGTCGAGTACTCCATCGCAAACAGGTACCCACTCGTCTAAGTGTTCTCATTTGAATTCTTTCAGACTCCTAGGCACTTTGAGGCGCCTTGCTGGGGAACTTGAACAATATTTTTGCTCGGGTACCTGACAAGCATAGTGAGTAGCAAGCGGTTAGCACACAAGTTGTGCACTATAATATTGCACCAGGTTGAGCATGCCTACTGCCTCCTGTATGTTAGAAACTTGAGAAATCTGCTGGTTGAATCTCCCTTTAGAGGAAACGCTCTGTCTGGGGAATCCCCTTTTTCCCCAGAAACCTTTGTTTTTTTCCAGCCGAGTCAAGCTGCTCATCGGGGTGTGTCAGGTGTTTCTCCTCATCCAATCCTTCGCCTACTTGAGCTGCAACCTGGCCTGGCGGTTCTTGCTCTATCGCAAGTCCGCTCCCGAGGGCTTCGAAGAGAACATCTTCAGCTGCCCACCTCAAAATCCTGGCAGCCCCCTCGCTGCGTCGCGTCGCCGCGTGTTTTTTCGGCCCCCATTTGTTTCTTTTTGTTTGGCAGCAAACCGTTGTTTTGTCGTAGAATAGTGCATCCCTGGGTGCTTGGGATAGTGATGAGTTGTGTTTGAGTGTTCTTCTGCGGTTGGTTCTCCGTTAAAGATGGCCAACTGAACAATGGGCGCCTTTTCTCCATGGCCATGCAAGGCTTGTGTTCCGTCATCGAGCTGTTCAACCTCATCTTCGTGCGTTCAGTGCCAACGGCAGCCTTGTACCCCAAAGTGGTGACTGCAGCGGTGGTCTACTTGCACTTCTACATCTTGAGTTCCTTGTACCCCTTCCATGGCCTTATGCTGATGCTCTGTACATCTGTGTGTGTCTACACCATGGTCTACTGTCTCAATCACTTTGAGGAGCCAGAATGTCATGTCCACGCCTGTGTGGTCCTGCGCAGATCAGGCACCCTTTCTGCAATGGAAGCTGCTGAGAATCTACTGGAAGATATTTTGTTGAGCTGCAATCCTACGCTGCATGTTTCTCAGCCATAGGGGACTGGCCATGCAATAATTTGGCGTTCCGAGCAGAAGATTCATGTTCAAGCACTCAAGCAGATAGGCTACCCGCTAGTGTCCCCCCGGGCAAGAAAGGAAGTTGATATAGAATCAGTAGCAGTGTGTGTGTCTGTGTGCGCATCCCAGCACTTCCAAGGAGCAGCTATCCATTGTTCTCGCGCTTTCTCCTAAAGACAATTCTGTTGAGGGAACACTGTTCGTGACGGAATTATAATTCAGTTTCAGCAAGAGTCACACATCCACCATCATTTGTATGAATCCGACTCTACGTTGACGGAGTGAAGTGTTTGACCTTTGAAAATGCTTCAATGTGCTTGTCTCCATTTGACGCTGACGCGTGCCCGCCGAGACGCTTGTGGACTAGAGAGAGATGTTGAGGATATGAATGGATTCGATATTTGAAGCCGTTAAGTGAGGGCCACGCTGGGCATATTGTGCGAGCCGCTTGCAGCCAATTTTATACAATGGCAGGCGATGCTGAGGATGTTGAAGCGTCTGATTTTTGGACCCCTTAAGTGTCCGCTTTTGGAAGGCCAGTTACAAGCAAGGCCGGGGACGTTGCGTAGACGCTAAAAGGGCAATGCCAAGCTTTCTGACAAAGAAACCTGCGCAACGCAAGCTGAAGATGTCCCACGCAATTCGTGCGAAAGAGCCACCACCCGGGTTCGCGCTGCACCAGGACTTGAACTTTCGAACAGCAGGTTCTAAAAGACAACGCGCACCCCAGGCTCTTCCCCGGCAAAGCCGCACATTCGACCTTTCTAGATCCAAACTCGATTTAGAGCAACAGAACAAGCACATCACAAAGAGCACCAAGATCAGCACATCAGGATATCAAGCCTTGCAATTGGGCATTCGCATCCTCGTTGAATGCCGATGTTCGGGAAATGCGAAGCTGCTTTGCAACCCAGATTTGTCGGTGCCAGCATATAGGCAAAGGGGCTTAGACAACAGCAGGTTACTAGACCATCTGAGCCTTGAAATTGGGGACCTCGAAACTGACGATTGAATTTTCTATTGCAAGGGTAATACGGATGATTGGCTGATTGGCCTATGAACCTTCGGCGTCTGGGAATCCAGTGCTCATGAGGAGATGCGCCTGTGGTTGTTTTGTTTCCTTTTGGCCTGCCCTCTTTGCAACCCTCCAAGCAAGGCACTGAGCCTCGAGCTGGAGGGAATGGCCCATGTCTGAGAAGAAAAAGTCAACAATGCAAAGTACTTGTAATTTAATTCACCAAAGTCGCGAGCGAGATCCAGGAGCCGGCGCTGGCTGCAGATCCCTTCAGCCACAGCACACCCACCTCCGCGCACCCGCGGGCGCTGTTTCTGCCGCTCTTGTCGCCCTCCTGGACCCTTGAGGCAGCACCCGTGATCGTTGCCTGAAGAGGCTGAAGCAAGCTTCCCGATCCATATGGGTATGGGTCACAATTAAAGCACCAGGGGACCGCAGGTCCATGTTACGACTTACAGGGTTCAATTTTGGGTACCTATTTTTGACCCACAGCCATATTGTATCTTCCCCCTTGACAGGTTTGCAGAGCCCAGTTCCAGAGTGAGCTGTGGAATCTTCCACGGACAGTCCCCACTGTAATTGGATTTTGGGGAAGTGTGCTCACAGGCCGATTTCTTGTTTAGGTGCTGATTGCTTTTGGATTTTGGTCAGGTCAAATGAACGGCCGAGCCAACAAAGGGCCAAGACTTCAAGAGCCCAGCATTGCCCCAGTGCCATTGCCACGGCTCAGTACATCAAATCAGATGTTCAATGACGTCATTCGGTTGGAGTCGAATGTTTTGCCAATTGTTCATTGGGGGGACAGCCTGGGAGCTGCATCAACTCAAGGTACCAACCCAAGGTGGATGGGCGCACGGTGTTGACCTTGAAATGGCCGGCCTGGTTCGGTGAGTTTGTATTTGATTTGTCCAGATCTGGACAACTGCTAAACATGCCAGTTGTGCAGGGTTGACTTTTTGATAGCTGTTTGAGTGCTGATCCCAACATACTGTACCAGCTCTGATGGAAATGAGTGAGCCATTTGTCATATTGGAAGATCTGATAGTTGGCAGATGGTCATCGCGATGACCTAAGGCATGTTGTTTTGCCCGAGCCGATACGGTCAATTGCCTCTCGGAAGGGACAGGCCTTCTGAAGAGTTTGAGCCACGAGAAGCCAAAACGTAGCAGGAATTGGGCGGGACGATGAGTTGAAAAGTTGGGTAGCATATCCCCTGCGTTTTGTCGTCACATCTCATCGCTGCTTAACCAAACGAGCAGTGGAAGTGGCAGAAATCGAGAAATCAGTGTGCCCAATGCAAGTGGATTCAAGATTAGCTAATAAGACCATCAGACTGAAGCCAGTAAAACCGCTTCACTTACATCAAGTCTCAAATGATAGCTAAAGTTTGTAAATCGCACAGTGAGACTTGCAGTGCCAAACGACGTGATAAGTTCAGAACCATCTGGGGGTTCTGGGGAAATCACAAATGCCCGCTTCCCTTACACCGGATGCTTTCCTTTGGAGAAACTAATCAATACTAGTAACTAGTACTTGTACATGTATACACATGTACATGCTAAGTACCTCCCGGTCGACCTTGATGACCTCATTGCGGCTCAGTGGAAGCGGCAAGTTGTCGTGCAGGCCGCCCCGTTGTGGACCATGTTCTACTCCGCTGAGCCGGGGTCGGCGTTTCCAGAGGATGCCATGAGGCACATCCAAAGCGAGGAGTACAACATGCCATAAGGGCAGCGTGCAGATGTGGGTTGCAACATCCTGTGCCATGTTATTGGACGTGCCTGGTTTGAAGCCTTTGGCATTTCAGACGTTTTTGGCTATCAACTGATCTAAGTGGCTTAGGTGCTTTTTGAGTTCAGACGTCCTTTTCCCAACAAGCAGAATCCACCTGCAGCCCCGGAGTCAAACCAAACTCCCATAGCATGCACTTGGCAAACAATCGCTGCCGCAATGTGCTTCTGCCAGCTCGGCCTGCAGAAAAGGAATCGCGACCTCCAGCCGCAACTCGCGAAGGAAGTTTGACCCTTGTGGAGAGTGTTTATGAGTGCTTGTAACTTTGTTGTCTCAAATTGCAGGCAATGTGACCAGTCACAGTATTCCAATCATGTTCTGCATGATGTGCTGGAGCGACCAATCAGCGTATGTCCACTCACTTGAGCCCGAGAATTGCCTATTTGGCACGGAGTTCCTCCACCTGGTCTAGCCGCATTATGTTCTTTCTCCCCAGGTAGCATTAGCTATATTATGGGTTCTGGATTCAACTCAAGCCACATATGTTTCAGCTACCTGTACCCGGCAGTCTCTCTATCAACTGCGCCGTTTATCTTGCTTCCTGACACTTGGCTGGTCACTCGGGGGGTCAATTTCTCATTGGCTGATGACCACACTGCCTGGGCGCGATGAGTCGTGCGGAACAACAAGCTGCAAACACCCGTCCATGATTGAGTCGTTGAATTGCTTACAAGGTCTAAGGATTTTGCAGTCAAAGTTGCCCGTGGACACACGGGCAATGTTAGCATTGGCGAGATATGTATTGGATTTGGTTAAAGGTTGGACAGCATCGACGTTGGGTCCATGTCTTTGGCCAGATTTTCGGGTATTCCACTCCTGAACCAGCGGCATTCTGATGTTAACTCATGTCTCTTGTGGGAGGCAGATTCAGTTGCACAAGTGGAACCAGTCCCTGTCCTCCAAGATGTTGCCAAGGGGCCAAGTTTTTGGCCCCCCCTCGTTTTCAAACCACTGTTGATTCCCTTGCCGAACTCGCAGATTTGATGAGCGCGATATCACCAGCCCCGCTGCCCCATGAATTATCAGAGAAAGAATTGCGGGCGATGCTGATGTGAATGGTCCGATTTTTGGACCCATGCAGTGCCAGCTTTCAAAGACCAGTCCAGGATGTGAACAGGCCTGCCGCGCTACACTCCTCCCCGGGATTTTCGTGAGCGGCGAATGCGCCGAATCAGCCACACAAGAGTGTAAGTTAATTGAAGTTGGTGGGGTTTGGAGCCGACCTAAACGTATTTGGTGTTGGATTTGTTTGGTTTGCAGTTTTTTTGTTAGCAGCTTTCTTGCTGCTCTATTTCGGGCTTGAATTTGCGGAGGGCCAACTATGTCTCGAATGTGCTGCTTTGTAGTGCTGGGCCTAGGTTAATGTGGGGGATTGGGGGGTGGGGTCATTTCCACATCAAGCGTTCTGTCGTGTCGCGTCGCGCCGCTGCCTTGATCTTATCGCCTGCAGCCTAGTGCGGCGGATTTAATTAATGGTTTTGGCACCTTATGGTGTACGGATGAGGAGCCATTTTGACCTCAACAAGGAGTCACCCGAGCTGGGGGGGGAGCACTCAGAGATCAAGGGCGTTTGAGTCTCACCTAGGCCCCTCAGTATTGCCCTTTTACCCTTTCTTGGGGGAGGGTTCCCCTACTAGAATAGACTACAGAAAAAGTTGGTACTCTTATTCTAACCTCTCTACTGGAGGGCCTAGTCACCCATGTCATCACAGACTTCTTCCCGGTGACGGTGTGCACAGTTAGCATCCAGGCCCTCGCCAAAGACAGCGCGTGGCCTCCTCAGATGAGGACACGGGCTTGGGAGCATGCAGGCATCCTGCGTGTGCCTGAGGCAGGTCAGGTTGGCACTTGCATCCGCCAGTGTGTCTGTCATATATAGATGTTATGTATGAATTATATATATATATATGTATTGCTAGATGTTGAAATGGGTAATTAATCCTTCTCACGGAGGCCAGTTACTGTGTTCTCTGGTCAAATAAAGTTGTTCAGACAGGCTCGTATCCCTGCCGGCTCGCCAGGCATGAAGATCTGAGAGGTTCTGTCTCTGAAATGCCTCGAAGCTGCTGTGAAGCAGCAGTGGCAGTGGTTCCTGTGTTTATGTCACGTCAATTCCGGTTAAACTGAACAGTTGTGCAAGTGTTGCAAGAGCCTTGGCCATTGCTTTTCGGTCTGGCAAGAAATGCGTCAGTGAGTCCCCTGTATTTTTTGTTACGGGTTGTCTAAAATTATCCGCTGTGGGGATATTACAGATTGTCCTTCGGAATCATTCCGTTCCAACAGAAGCAGCATGGCCGTGCAAGGCAATAATCAAACAGCAGGGGCCCTTCCGAGAAGAGACGAGTCTTGCATGCAACCCCCTAATTACGTACTGCAGCAAATTCCTAGCACTTGGACATTGTCTTGTTGCCATAGCAGGGCACCTGCCTGGCAAGCACGCTTTGAGGGGCTACATGGCACGGCTCAGATCTAAAATATCCTTGCACAGAGCTGAAGCGACTCTAATATGTGCAATGTTAGCAGTTAGTAGAGACTCCTGACCGCAGTTTCGTAGAGCCCCCCAGTTCGCGGCCCAGTTCGCACAGGAGACTGCCAAACCAGCAGCCAGCAGGGGTCCTCAAGCAACGGACTGGGTTGTGAAGACATGCATGTTTGAAGGAGGGGTCAACAACACATGAGGGTAATAGGCGTCTAACCGCACGGGCCATCGCGAATCATCATGCTCTTACTTCGATAGGGAAGTAGTAAGCTTCAGTGTCTAGAACTCTCAAGCTCGCAGTAAGGCGGTAAGGATGTTACCATGCACGACTCAGCCTTGTGTTGTGCCTTCAAACGGAATTTGGCGATGATGTGATGCTCGTGGATGAGATTCCGGAGGATCTCGTGCAGGATCTCGGGCAAAGTGAGGCACATCACTGGGCCAAGACTACAAGTCGCCAGCCGGAAGTAAGGCATCTCAAAGTCACCCTTTCCCATGTGCGAGCTCCTTTCTTTGCCTTCGCTCGTTATTTGAGATCAATTCATGTCCATGTGCCCAAAGCCCGCGCTCATAGCATGAGGCTTCTAAGAAGGCCTATGTAAACCTGCATAAACATGCTAGTGAACCGACAGTAAATGGGTTAAGGGCGATATGGTATTCTTGTTTGTCGCTGTGGGTACCTTGTCGATATTTTGTCCCAGGCTGTCGGTCTCTTGCACATTCACTGAAGCGTGTGCCTAGGCGCAAACGAGGCTCCTTTGCCTTTGCCTCAGCTTTGCCAACTCTGCTGCGATGCCGAAAACTCTTCCAGTGTGGCACGTTTAGCTGTTGTACGTTACATCTTTCCTTGGAGCGATGCAGGGCTAAGCTGACACCAGGCTGTCGGGCGGTTGGTTATTTGGTGGTTTGACTGGTCATTTTGTTGGCTTGTTGCTGGATTGGAGAGCTGACGTGAGCGTTCAGTTGTGGATCAGGCAGCTGATTGCTTCACGACGTCTGTTCAGATGGTCAAGCATTAGCAAAAATTGGCAATATTGTCAGAATGGGTCAAACAATGCTTAAGTTGCGGGCAGCGACCCCCCCACTGCAATAGGAGTAGGATTCAATCTGAGCGGCCATGATGTTTGCTGTTTACTGTTTACTGGTGTCAAGCCGCATCTTCTGGGATTCAACAAATATGCCACCTGGTGCTGATTTGCTGTGTAAACATAGCTGGATTTGTTTACATGTTTGCATTGTGCCTAGTTTCAAGCCGACAAGCCCGAACAGCATTTCAAGTGCGAGTAGCTCCCAACATCTTTGCCACGTAGCACATGTGGCCAACCTCTCCGGCATAAGATATACAACAACTTGAGACCCGAATGGGAACGGGCGCCGCCTCAATGTTGTCAGCCATATCCTAGTGTTCACACACCAGAACTTTTCCCAGGCAAACCTGGAGGTGTGTTTGGGGGGTGGTAGGAAGCTTTCAAGGGCGATTGCTTCCAGACGGCCTAGTTTCGTCAGTCCTACTTCGCTGAAGGGGAAACTAGCTCAAAGTTCGTTTTCGGGCGAGATCAGTAGATTGATGTCTTCAGGGAATGTCTATGTGGTGTGGTTGCCTGGGTGGATAAGTTTTGTTTGCTTCCGCATGATCGACCCACAATTGGCGACAAGCAGGAGTCAGCAGGAGGTTGAGCATTTGTTGGACGCTGGTCAACGCGCCTTAGCATCAAAGGCAGGACTTGAATTGGGCATTGTCCAGAGATTTGTTGTTCAGGTGGAAACATTGTTCAGAGATTTGTTGTAGGTGCCAGATCGCAGGCTACAGCTGCGGATTGCCACGCTGAAGAAGTGCGTACTTGTCGCTTTATCGCTCTCATAGCATCAATAGGCCTTCGAGCATGAACTTGTGCCTTCAGTGCTGAACATGTGTTATGCGTTTTGTGGAAGCCTCTGTCGTTGGAGTTAGCTTTATTTCTATTGAGCAATGTGTTCCCACCAGGATTCAACCACTTACCTCATCGAACACCTTCTGGCGTGCTACTGTATCTAAATGATACGCATTGCGTCACCGCAAAGTAAATGTATACGATGTGTATATATATATATACACTTATATATACATATAAATATATATATATATGTATATGTCGGCCATACTCATACGCATCCTCCACATCAGCACATCTATCGAGTCAAGGCCATTGGATCCCCGAATGCGACTCAGAGCCATGCAGGACGCAACGAGCGACGCTTGTATTCGGCCACCCCTAGATTGGCTTGGATCCTTGCTCTGGGGATTTGGCACCCTGGCATCAAATGGGAAGCCAGACCTGAGCCAGTCACTGCATTTGAGTCGAGCTTGCACCATGTTCTGCTTCTTGTCATTTTTTGCGGGCCAGATATCTTCGGGCTCCTGTTTGCTAGCAATGCTGTGCTGAAAGGTTTGCATGTAGCGCATGACGGAAAGGGCACT